AGCAGATTCTGCATGGTGGAAAAGCCCTTACAGCCAGAACCTGAAGAAGCACCTAAAATTACAACCCAAAAGATTTTTAGGAACTGCAAGGAGGCCCCTGGAAGATTTGGCAATGTACTCATCCTTTCATTGTGCCTAACAGTATCCAAAGGGAGCTTCCTGCCACGTGAGTGCAGGCCCAATCTCCATAACAACCACTCACATATGGCACTTAATCACTCCTGCAAGCCTCCAGTGCATCCCCAGTTTCAAAATACCATTATAGGATCTTCCTACTTGTTCCCAGGAACGGGCATGAACCACCACCACTGCTTCCCTCTTCTGAGCTCTGAAGTAAGTCAGGAATAGGAAGACTTGCATTCCCCATTTTTACAGACAATCATCCCAAGGAGGCCAAGCAGCTTGCCCAAAATGAGATCAGCAGAAGCACATTTAGGAGTAAAGATAATGAACTCACTCCCCATCTCCTCCTGTCCCCAACCTTCTCAAAAACATGAGTAATCTCATCATGAGGCCTGTTTTTAAATGGTCCCTTGGCATAATCTCCCTCCATACAGTAGAGAGACAAGAGATCAGCAGCAGCAACAAAAAGACAAGGGGCAAAGAGCAAAGAGATCAGCTCCAGCTTGAGAAAAGTAAACCCTAATTCTGACTTTAAGTTCTGTTCTTCACTCAGTCAACTAAAGCAAAACATCTGTTAGCTAACCAAAATTCCACACACAGCCCCTGTGAGAAACACCCTGTGCCCAGAAATCCATGCTGAGCATGAAATTCTCAGGGATGTATCTCTCCCTTTCTCTGGTCACACAGTAGCCACAGCAATGCCACTGCAGCTGCTACAAAGTCACCAGCAGCAAAGGGACCTCCCCTAGCCCCGAAGGGAGCCCCAGAGCTGCCCTGCCCCAGGCACAGGTCAGGCTCTCAGAGGGGCAGGAGGGAGAACAGACATGGACTGTAAAACCTTTCCCTCCACAAAAATGGACACAGCTCCAAAACTCCCAGCACCACCAGCTGAACCAGCTACTGGGGCGTAGCCCAGAACACACTCATCAAACCACAATTATTAAAACAGCATGGCAGCTACTTAATTAAAGAGATTGCATTTGAAACAAACTTACCATCTCTGTCTTCATCATGAATATTCAGATACAAGTATTCCAGTCCTCTTCCTTTCTTGCCATGCTCTGCTCCCTGTATTTTAGCCATGAGTGTGGTTTTGCCTGAACCATCATCACCTGCCAGTAAGTTTGTAGAGGAAAAAAGACACCTTCAGAATTACATCTGACTTCACAGAAAAGATTTTTTCACAACTTGCTTAATTAATGAGAAGCATCCTTGTACACTTCTGAATCACAGTTATTTGCTGTTCTCTTTCAAGTATTTCAGCTAAATCCAGTGGCTTATACCAGAACAATAAGAATGAAGAACTATCTTATTCTCTATTATTACTTAAAATAGGCTATAAATCTAACAGTGGAAATGAAAGAGAAAGCAGATCTATAAGCACAAGACAAGACCATAAATCAAATTACATAACCCAACTGTAACGAACCCATGTGTCAGTTTGCACCAATCGGTGTTTGAAATACACTTTGTTTCTATAAATAAAAAAGCAACAAACCAACACCCAACTGGTCGCGCGTGTTACTTACCGAAAACAAGAATATTCTTGCCCGATGGCAATTTAGATCTGGACCGTGTGGAGACTTCGCTGAGGATGGAGGACCTGGGGAAGCAGCAGAGCGGCCGCGTTACCGGCTGTGACAGCACCATGAGCTCAGCACATCCGCACCCACAGCCGGCACATGCGGGCTGTGGACGAGCAGGGCTGTCACAGCCACGGGCCAGCTGCACTCTGAAGCACACAAGTGTGCCACCTTCTACACAAGAGCTTTTATGATTTCTAAACCACGGGCAGGGACATTTAAAGTTCTCCTCCCTTGCAAGAGGCCGCAATACTGCAGAACATTACTTTTCAACTAACTCTCATCACAATCGATTGGTGTATTCGACATACGTCCTTCTGCCACGATAGGTATTTTTTAAAGCGTTCTTTAGAAATAAAAGCCGAAAACACACGAGATCGCCTTTGCCGGAGCCGGCCCCGCGGACGTCCCGCAGAGCCGCGGTCCCGGGCCCCGCTCCCCCGCTCTGCGTCACCCCCGTACTCCCGTCCCTGGCCCGCGGGGTTCCCGTCACGCACGCCCGGGCCCCCCGGCGCTGTCCCCGGGCCCCGCCGCCGCCGCCGCCCGCGAGACCCAAGCGCGGCCCCGACCGGCCGAGAGCCCGCGCTCCGCTCCAGCCCAGCGGAGCCCGGGCTCACCCGGCCGTGCAGGCCCCGGGCGGCCGCGGGCGCTCACCAGAGGTTCTGCCCCTCGTCCTCCTCGCCGGGCAGCTCGGCCCCGCCGGGCCCGTCCGGCCCCAGCAGCTTCTTCTCCGCCAGCACCGGCGCCATCTTGGAGCCGCCACAAAGAGTGACTTCACCGGGCCGCGAGGACCCCGCCCCGCCCCGCCCGCCCGCGCGCGCCGCCGGCCCCGCCGGCCCCCGCGCCCCGCGGCCGCCCCGCCGGCCCCGCGCGCGCCGCGCCCGCCCCGCGATCAGGCGGTGCCCGGGCAGCCCCGGCCGCGGCCCGCCCTGCGCGCGCCGGCCTAGGGCCACCAGCGCCCCCTGCTGCCCGCGGGAGCGGCACCGCTCCGGAACCTCCTCCCGCACCCCGGCACCGCTCGGGAGCCTCCGCCCGCACCCCGGCACCGCTCGGGAACCTCCTCCCGCACCCCGGCACCGCTCCGGAACCTCCTCCCGCACCTCGGCACCGCTCGGGAACCTCCGCCCGCACCCCCGGCACCTGCTTAGGTACCTCCGCCTATATCCCGAGTACCTTCCCTGGGACTTGCTCAGGTACCTTCTCCTGATCTTCGGTTCCTGTCCTGACACTTCTGCCCCGGCTCCTCCCTGTCCCCCTGGCACCTGCCCTGGTACCTCTCCACAGCCGCGGTCCCCACCCTGCCGCGCCCCCGCCAGTGCAGCCGCGGTGCGGGCAGTGCCGGGGCAGATCTGGGTGAGCGCACCGTGTAAATTGCTGCTGACTGATCAAGCTGTCATTACCACTCCATCCTCACACGCCTAACACCCTCTGTTTGACCAACGGAACCAGGAGAGCACGTCAGGGTTTTTACAAACGGACTTCCCTCGATGGTTTGTCAGTCATTCCAGCTTTTCAAAGTGCTGAAATACTGCCCTGGGTGGCCCAACCAGCCTAAAAGTGACATCAACTATTCTCATGCAATTTTGGTTTTGTAGTGCCTGTTACATGTGGATTTCAAAGCACTTGTGCAGGAAAATTAAACTGATCAATGCATCAAAATCAAGTGATCACGCAGTCAGTCCAAAGGAGAGCAAAAGACTGACTTGCACAAATTCACACCTCGGGTTTCTGCCTGTTCCTGGTCCATGACTTCCCTTTCAGATCCCACCAGAACGTTCCAGCGATGTGGTTCCAGCCCCTGCCTGCCGAGAGGAGGTGAAGCATGAGCAGAGGCTGCCCAAAAAGGCAGCAGGAATTCCTTCCTTGAAAAGCCTCAGAAGTTCACAAGGCACTGAACAACTGGAATAACTTTCACCTCAGTCCTGCTCCAAAGAGGAGAGGAGACCAAAGGCCCCACAGGGCCTTTCCAACCTGAACTATACCTAAGGTGAGGTAAATTGTCAGTATTGCAACATTCTCACCTTGTGGCAAGTAAAGATTTACACCTTACATATTTTAGCCACTCGAGACATATTTCAGATCTTGACAATGTGGATACCAATACACATTCAGCCAAAGGATGCAGTAACAGATGGTCTGGACTAGGCTGGTGTCCTGGGGACAACCTGGAGCGTGTGAGGGACCCCAGTGTCCTCCTTGGGGACACCCCACCTCAGGAGCCCTTCTGGCTCCCACTCTGCCAATAGTTCCACTGATACTCAACCCTGCTACTGGCAACAGCTCCACTCAGAGACATCTTTTATAGATGTTTCAGTATTTTAATAATAAAACCCTCAAATTACAACAGCTGAAAATATTGGAAGGCATATTTATTGCATCATTGGCATCATCTTTATTGCAAGTCTCTCAGGTTTTGGTTACCTTGCCTGTTTTTCAGCATTTAAGCCACATCATAGTGAAAACCTAGTGCTAATACAACAACTAAACCCTTTCCATAATAAAATAACTATTGATTCATCCTTTCTTTATCAGAACAAGTAAAAAATACAACTGAAATACTAAGGCTATCACTGAAAAAGTGAGTTACTGAGGCTTTCAGTAAAGCTTCCTATAAAAAATGTGTAATTAGCGGAAATTCTGGTTCTGCTTACTTATTTGAAAAATACACCAGAAAACTGTCCAATTATAAACAGAAGCCAAATTCTACCAGTACCTGCTCAGTTCAACAGTGAGTACAGAATTTCTGTAGCAGTGAAAGATTTGCCTCCTCTGTGCAGCAGTGTTTAACCACAAATTCAGTGGTTTCTGTCACAGAGACATTTTTCTGCACATGCAGCATATTCAACATGTGACAAAATATTCCACCTGCTTTAAACATTTCACTAATTAAGAGGAAACAGATTCAGACACAACAACATTAACAGCACTTCCAGACATAAAGTATTCATTTTAGCAATATATCCTTTTCTTACAAATAGTATAGAGCAAGCAACAAAAGACAAAAAATTAACTCAAAAATTGCACAGATCAAATGCTCAAGAAGGTTAAATTATGTTCCAAATTAATGTAATTTTTACCAATAGAGATTTTGTTGCCTATGATAGCAATACTTAAATAAACTGTCAAGTTATGGTAAATTAAAATTACAATGCATAACAATTCTGTCAGTTGTCACTGAAAAGCAGGAGTCCAAGCCAACATAAATTCTCCAAGGGCTTGAGTTGTTCTGGTAATACCTCACTGTTTACAAAGGCTGTTCTTGAACATTCTGCAACAAAGCACTCACTGATGATGTTATTGATGTCCTTTGTGGGCTTTTTTCATCTATAAAATGGAGATAAAAGAGAAAATATCAAGAGAAATGTTGCCCCAAACCACTGCACAATTACAGAGCAGCTTTCCATAGACAAAGACTTGTCACTTAATTGCTGCCATGGTCTCCAAAGCACAGGAGCAGTGCTCCCTGTGTGAGGGATGCATGGATTTATCACTGGGAAACTGCTGCAGAAGCTCTCCCAGACCAGCATCACCACAGAGCTGAGCAGAGAGGAGACCAATTTCCTGATAAACACAGGGATTAATTTAGAGTCCTTAATGACACTCTCACTCTCTTTGTACCCTGCCAGGTGGCAGTGGTGGGTTCCAAGGCTCTCTGGTCTTTTCCCTACTTGAGTTCTCTCTCTCCAAGCACCAGCCCTATGGAATTACACCAGAGGCCATTCTCACGGGCACTGCACTGACACAAGGCACAGTCCCATGGCTGCACACTCTCAAAACCTCTCTTTATTTCTGGAGGTCAGCTCAGGGGCTAACAATGAAAACTGGGCTCCCTGCATTTGCCATAAGTAGAAACTTCAGTGATGAGTACCTGCACCTGTAACCTGTAGTACTTCTTGGAAAGGTCAACGCTCGTCCGTCCCTTCTGGAAAGGGTAGGACCACAAAATCAAATTCCAGTGGTTGCCCATTTTTTGGACACCTTTCAAAAGGCAGTTGATTTCTTCAGTTGTGAAATCTTTTCGGACTCTTCTCTTGTTCAGAGGTCTCATGCTCATGGCCAGGGAACACATTTCATTGCCCTGCAAATCATTATTTTGGTGTCATTAAGAATTATGTAAATGTACATACTATTTTGCACGTGGAAGTAACATGTTACAATTCAACATTTAATAGTTGTAAAGAAATGGGCCCACTGGCAAGGGAACAGTGCTTTTCCAAGGTTTCTTCACTGTCACTACTTACTAAAATACAGTTTTAGTTTTTTTTAAATTTTTCTGTGATCTTCATTTCTGTTGTGCCTACATAGTTTATTCTTTTAGCAGGTTTATTCCTTTAGGTTTCTGTTACTTCCATACTGTGCAAATCTTCATCAATACAGGAAAAATCAGACCTTCAGATCCACCATTCTGAAAATATGTCAGCTGAAAAATGCTGAACTCAATTCAGGGCTAAATCAGTGTGACTGGAGTAGAATCAACACAGGAATATTTTTTTAATAAGGTTCATTTTGCTACTAGGCTCCTGTTAAAGGTGACTAAAAAAGAAACTACACAATTCCTACTGCTTTTATTTGGCCATTTATAAACATGATTAGGCTTTGCATAACTAACCTCATCTTTGTCAAGTGAAGGTATGCAATTTTCTTTTAAATGCTGACATTTCTGGCTGCACATCTCTTTGACTCTCTGTCTCCTCTGGTTAGCATCTTGGGATTTTTGTAAAGCTACAAAATTGTGAACAAGGACTATTTAGTCACTTAAAGCTAACTAAAATCTACTGAAAAACTGGATATAAAACTGTAAAGGAGCATTTATTCTATTTAATCTGAATATGTAAATGTTGCTTTGTTAGTAATATCTCATTCTCCTTAGATCTTTTTCTCATAATCCACATTAAGACATAGGGACTATTGATGAACCAGAAGCAAATAATAAGATTATTGATGTTCAAGTTGATTTCTGTGAGAGAAAGTGTAAAAGTTTATTTAAATGCATAGCCATTTACCTCCAATGGCAAGAGCAGGTGCTTCTTTCAATCCCCTGACCTGAACCCAAATACTCATCTTTCAGTTGTGCATATCAGAGAATTCATTTTCTGATAATACTCACAGTTTTCATAAGCAGGTGTCAAGTTATAGTTGCTAGTCCACCTAGTATTTCTACTATATTCATCTCTTTTTGAAGTATTAGATTTGTCTTTTCTATTTGGAGTCAAAAGAATGCCTTAAAAAATAAACAATAAAACATTACACACCTGTATTAGAAAAAACCCAAATCATAAAACATAGGTTATGTTTTAGCAATTAAAATTTAAGCGAGAGCTATTTTTTGAGCCATACCACTAATCTGGTCTTGGAAGAAAGACTGGAAAATTCAGTTTACTTCAGCTTACAGGAAATGTGTACTTGCTAAAGATAATATATTGTTCTGATGGGCTTTCAAGATGAAATCAGTTGCTTTGGTTGGATTTTTTATGTTTTAAAATACCTTTGTGGCTTTCATAAGACTCAATTACTGAATCTGATGGGGAAAAATATAAACAAATTTCAAAATCAACCTACTAGCTTTAATGCTCTATTGGGCATTAATTAAATAAAATAACCATGTGAACAAGGGTTTTGAAAATAAGAGTACTAAAAATCAATTTTTGGTGGGAATTTCAAAATTCAAATTTTAATTCTCATTTCAAAGAATTCATTCTTAAGGATTCCCCTTGTAGCTGTGTATCACAAGCCCCAAGTCTTTAGCAGAGCTCCCAGCAGGAACAGGAATTAATCTAATGGAATAACATGTTTGGAACTGCATAAGGAGTGGTGCTGAATCCAGGTTCAGGCAGCTAAACTCTGCTCTGAGCCTGACTAAACCCCTCCATTTTAGAAAACAATGCCACAAAAAACTGAGGAATAGCAAATGCCATGGAAGTAACCATGACAGGATTCAAAACAGGATCAATACAGCAAGTGCCAGATAACTTTGCAGGGAAATAATGTGCATTACACAATTTCATGATTATAGAGTATGCATTTTCTGGCCTAATAATATACAGATTGTTCTCAGAATCTAGAGGAAAAAAAGAAAATAATTTTCTATTCACAGTCTCCCATGATAAAGTTCTGCAAAAGAATTAATAGACAGCAAGGGCTTTTCACACTAGTTTCCAAACCAAGCCCTTACTTTGGAAACTGTCCTTCTTGCTCCTGAAAGTTGGTATTTCTTTATGCAGCCTGTCTTTCTTCACTGAGGCCAGCGGCATTTCTGGAAAATATAAGATGAACACCAGTACAAATGCCAATAAGTAATAACTGTTTAATTTTCAGAATTCATTCTTTAAACCAGAAAAAAATAGAGGATGTGCTTCTATTTAATTCATTAAGACCTCTAAGTATCCTAGACCCATAAGTGTATCAGGCATGGTGTGGCCAGCAGGAGCAGGGAGATCATCCTTTCCCTGTACTCAGCACTGGGGAGGCCACACCTCGAGTGCTGTGTCCAGTCTGGGCCCTCAGTTTGGGAAGGGCCTTGAGACACTCGAGCGTGTCCAGAGGAGGCAACGAGGCTGGAGAGGGGCTGGGAACATAAATCCTGTGAGGAACCCCTGAGGGAGCTGGGGGTGTTCAGCCTGGAGAAAAGGAGCCTCAGGGGTGACCTTATCACTCTCTACAGCTCCCTGAAGGATGGTTCTAGTCAGGTGGGGTTGGTCTCTGCTCCCAGGCAACAACTGACAGAACCAGAGGACACGGTCTCAAGCTGCACCAAGGGAAATTTAGGTTGGACATTAAGGAAAGTTTTTCACAGAATGAATGATAAAGTTCTGGAATGGTCTACCTGGGGAGGTGGTGAGTCACCATTCCTGGATGCATTTAAAACAAGACTGGATGTGACACTCAGTGCCATGGTTTAGTTGAGGTGTTGGGGCATGGGTTGGACTCAATGACCTTGAAGGTCTCTTCCAACCCAGTCATTCTCTGATTCTGTGAATATTGAATGAATTTACTTTGGTGTGATGTCATACATTTACTCACACATATTTCAACTTAATACATTCCTTTCTCTTAGGACTTGACTATTTCTGGCAAATGTGAGAGTCTTATGAAAGCCTATAATGAGCATCTGTCACCATGGCAAGAAACACAAAATCCTTCAAAACAGGAGTGGCCAGTTCTGCTCTCACTTAGTACAAATCACTGTAAATCAAATTCAACGAGTGAGTTCAAAACAGCAAGACAATCAGAAGTAAATAAACAAAAGTTCAGAATTTTAAATGCCATTCTAAAGCAAGGGTTCCAAGTACTGAACATAAACTCCATACTCTGGTGAGTGGCAGATCTGTTGTTGTTACCAGCAGCCACCCTGCGGAGCTCCCCTCGGTATCTTTCTTCAGCCTCCAGGATAACTCTGTGGTGCTCACACCTGTGCAGGCATCTCTGCAACATCTTGGTGAAGGTTCTGCTGTTCAAGGACAGTCCCCCTGCTGTACAACCTGGGAAAAACAGGATAGTGCAGAAATAGCAATCACTGCTTCTAAAGGAGCCACCACAAAGTTCAGGGTTTTATTTTGCTCACTAGGATCAATATGACTTCAGGTTTTCCATACTCATGGCACTTTTATGTGCCTTCTTGAAATACTTTGTTCTCTTAAAAAAAAAATTGTTTTAAACATTTTATGGGACTAAGTTATACTGCACTTCCACTCCAGAAGTACTGAGTGAGGCACGGATCCTCTACAGAACTACAAATATTGGTGGGATGGGAAGACATAGGCCTCAGTTCCATTTGCACATTTATCCAGGAGCCAAAATATATAATGTGCTATATATTTTTTTTAAACTTTGTGTTGTAACAGTTACCTGTAATAATCTGAATCAATGGTAAATCTAGTTTAGGCATGAATGGTCTCACAGGAAGCCTTGCTGTTCATTTTGAGGACATTCCCTAGGGTAATTTATGGTTTAAGATATCCTTGGATGCTCTCATGGATGCTCTCATACATCAGCTGAAGGAGAACTTGTGTGAGGAATCACAGGGAGGGCACAAATCCATATCTGTAACATTCTGCCTTAAGATAAAGCAGTGCTAAAGCTCAGCTTGAATTTAGTTTGACAACTCTGATAAAAACAATGTTCAAACGTGGGTTATGGGCTGCTTTAGGGGTTGTTTTCTGTGGGTTTCTGTTCTGTTGGGGGTTTTTAAATAAAGAAACATTGGCTTGATTACAAAATCCACTCACAAATCCAGAGTACCACCAGCATTCTCATGAGCTGCTGATGGAGCAGGCTGAGGAATTAGAGCCTGGGGTAACAGAGGGCTGTAGTCGTGGATTACCATGAAACTGCCTGCCTGTGCTTCACAGCAGTGAGGGAGAGAGGGGCTGCAGAACACTGAGGAGGTTTAGCAGGCAAAGAAATGAGGGAAATGAGCAGGGCTATGTGTTCTTCCTCCCTCTCTGAAGGCAGAGAAAGGAGGAAAACACCTGCTCAAGTATTCTTCTAATTATTCTTCTAATTAATTCAAGTTACTGTATGTTCTGTTTGTCAGCAAACCCACATTATTTCATGGACCAAAACTGCAATTTGTCAGCTTTATTTCAATATTTATCTTTTATATTGGAGGTAAAAAAAAGGAAGGAAAGGGAAAGGGAAAGGCTCAGGTTTTGTTATTATGTAAGAGGTAACAGAAGAGATGTGTTACAATTTCTGTCAAGTCAATCCACTTACTGCACTGCTGACTCTTTAAGGCTTCTTTAGGTACACTGGAAAGAAAGATCTAAGATAATACTCACCTAAACACCTTAAATCTGCCATTTTATGGGATGAAGATATAGCTGAAGTACTTTTGATTCTCTCAGTTTTCTCTGAGCAGAATGAATGTTGACCTAAATGAGGGAGGAAAAAAGTCACTAAGAAATATAACCCATCTTTTGCCATGGTAATCATGCATCAGCATAACTACATCCAACTGCATTTTCTATTTGTAGATTATTAAAGTATAATTAATAGAACAGCAGAAATCCAAATGAAATTTCTCAAGTTAAATGCCTCACATTCACATTTCTGTAATTCCAGAATAACCATGTTCAATTAAATGTTTATCATCACTCTCCCAAAGGATATTACTTCAACTTGTACATAACAAATGAGCCCAGTAAACCCATATTGCTTAACAAAGTGCTATAAACTTTATTTTTGTTTGGAATCAAGTGCTGAAAAATGCAATGTATTGGAATAATACATATTCTCAGTTTAAACAGGTGTAACCTGGAGATCAGCTGGACACCTGTAAAGCTCCCATTCTGGCAAATTCTAATCTAATGAATACTTAACAATTTTATAAATTAACAGGAAAGTAAACAGTGAATAAAGATTTGATTGAACTGATCCCAGTTCAGAAATAAATGTATCAGACCAGGATTCATGCAAATCTGGAAAACTTTTCTCTTAAACACATGTTCATCATGTAGGAACAGCATCAGGCAAAAGTCACTCTCACAGGCAGGTTCTATCCCAGCCTCACAGGCACAGGACCAAACCTCCATTTTCTATTAGTGCCTTTCACTGGTCAGTACAGATTAAACACTAAACTTAGTCTCTGATACATTCATTTATACAATTAGAATCAGTTTAAAAAAACAAAGCTAAAATACGTATTAGAACAAAAGTAGGATAAATGTTCTCCTGGTAAAATTGTGTACAATATAAAATACCAACACTGTGCAAACCTGTTGAAGGATATTACACATAAGGCACCTCTGTCATCTAATGATACATAACAAGTGATAAAAAGTAGTGATAAATGTACACAAAACTAATTAAAATCTCATTAAGAACAAAATCAGCTCAGAAAGGAATATGTTAGCTATTTGTACCTGATGTACACGTCTGTTTCATATTTCTAACAGTCTCTGCTGGTTGTTTAAATAACTGTTCACTGGGAAGATCAAAATGTAAACAAATTAAAACAAATAAACCAATAAAAACAATGTTCATTTACCTGCAAATGAATACACACATTCCAAGGACACAACAAAACCCCATATTAAATATATAAAGAGAAAACTCTAAAAAAATTATTCTAATTATCCCAAGCTACTGGACTTATGGCACCCGGCATGTAATCAGTGCATGTTAAAACCTGTTTCCCAGAGATCTGTGACTGGCATTCTGTGCAGTCTGTTCAGCAGGGAGTGCAGAGCTGCTGCTGGTTTCCAGAGTAATTTGCAATTCAGATTCACATAAAGATTACCAAGTGTACATAAAGCTCTCACAAAGTCTCCAGAATACTGTACCCTTCACCATTTGCAGCAAATACTCTAAAAGGCAACTGGTTTTCTTCTTTCTTAGATTAATTAACTTCTGTGCAACCAACACACTGCTATAATACCCTGATGGAGCATTTTTGTGTCCCTGACTCCCTCTGAAAGCCACAGGAGCAAGAAGCCTGATCCATGGTTACCTTCCAGTAACTCCTGTGCTCACACAAACACATATTTCAAAAACAGATTTTTTTAAATTCATATTTTAAGAATTTTGTGCATCAGAGCCCAGAACAACAACTAAAGAAGCTGTGAAATTATGCTAACCAGTAGCAAAGCAAAATTTACCTGAATTACCATGGAAAATATCCAGGCTCTTGGTGATTTCTGTGGTAGTTGCAAAGTAACAATATAATATCAGGAAACTGCACAGAGCAAGGTGCAGTTAAAAAAACACAAGAAAAATGTGGAACTCAAAAAGTCCAAAACAAAATATAACCCCCCCCCCAAAAAAAATGTAGTTGTGCTTACACTTTTCCATTGACTGTCTTGAGGGATATTCCAGATATAAACTCAAGAGAATGGAATCTGTATTTATCATTGCAAGTTAGCTATAAATAATTTGGGGTTTATCAATAGGAAAGATAAACACAAGCAGCAAAAGAAAAAGAAAATTAGCATCTGTATGAGAGCAATGAGGAAGAGAATGGTTCCAAAAAGGGCTGTTCCTTTCCCTTCCCATGCAGGCCAGCACTGGAACATGAGGGGAGAACAGCAGAGGTGCAGAAACTTTTCCCCCTGCTTTGCAGACACTCCAGTTTAGTATTTTTCCAAGCAATTCTCTACCTGTTATTTCCCTAGTAAGTGCACATTACAGAAACCATTGTAGTTTTGTCCAAACCAACAGCTTAAATCTTGATCTGTTACACCAGTGAGAACTTTAGGGCAAAAGCCATGGATGATTTTCAGCACTATGCTGAAGGCATTCAAATGTGCCCTAAAAGAGGCACTCTGTACACCACCAGCACTCAGAGAGCAGCAGCTTTGCAATGCCTGTAATCCTTGATCTGTGACCTCAAAAACAATCTCTGATGAAAAACACCCATGGTTAGTTACAGATAATTTAAAAGCCTGTCAATCTGGAATGACCAAAGAAAAGCAACTTAGTATTTCTGCTTAGGTGTAAAATTCTCACCCTGCCTGAAGACCAGAGCGACTTTTTCCACAAGCAGTTTTCCCATTTACATTGTGAGTTTGAGGTACACTGTCTGTTTGCAGCTCAGTGACTGAACATGGAATGTTCCTCTGTTCAGTTTGTCTGGTAGAAGCTGCATCCATAGCATTCACTGTTTCATTTTTTGGTGGAGCAGAAGTTACAGATGGAGCAAGAACCTGATTATTCAACTTTGAGGTCAACTGTGGACAAAAGACGACTTTCTGTGTTCCTTCTGTGTATTTCTTTGGATCAACAGGTTTCACTTCATGGGATTTTAATGCTTCAGAATTGGCTACTGAAGATTCATCTACAAATATTTCTCCTTGCACTCTTTCCTGTATTGAAAAGTACTGGTTAGTGACTATGTGAGCTCTATAAAAATGTTAAATAAATCCAGTGCCAGGATTAACTAGATAGTCTAACTCTGACAGTTAAGCAAATTCCAGAGAAGCTTCAGAAAACCCCCTGACCAAGCTGAGAGCCAGCAAGACAGCAATGCCACTGAATGTGTTGAGGGGATACTTCCTAAATGCTAATTTCAGGCTGAAGCAAGGAATTTGCTACTAAGGCACTGCTAGAAAGTAAGAGCCATCTAAATAACTCATAAACTTGCTGTTCCAAAGCCACAGATACACAGCAGCTTTAAAGCACAAGGAGAAAATGAAACAACTTTATCTCAGCCTATGTTTGCATTCTCCTTTATCGTCTATCCCACCACAGCCATACAACCCTGGGCATTTCATGCATGCAAATATTAAAATTATAGGTTTGAATGCCCAGCAATTCAATTCAATTAATTGAATTAATTAAAAATTAATTCAACTTCTTTTTCTATCCCATAGAAAACCTGGGGTTACAATCAACAAGAATACTTCATACAATACAGATGCCTCCATTCTCTGCACACCTGTAACTCAGTCTGATCTACAATACTGATAAAAGCTGCAGGTTGTACTTTCACACAAATCCAACATTTGTTCCTGGGTTTTTTGCTCGCATGGAAATTATCTTAAGGATTTACTTTCTCTTTCTCCTTAAACTCTGGAAAGATGTGATTAGTTTATACTATTTTGGTAAATAGGCCAACCTCATCGTGCTGTTTTTCAATTGAGTTTATTCTGTGTAAAATTTCTTTTGCTTTCTTCCAGTAGTCTTGCAGACATCTTTTTCTGACTTGCACATCCAATTCTTCTGCATTGTTCACATTTAATGACTTATCACATAATTTCAGAGACAACTGTTCAGCTTTATAAAATATAAAAAAAGATTAATATTTAAAATTTTATCAAGTAACATTTTAAAAGTATTTATTATATGTTAGTATGCTGAGGGACAGCCCCAATAATTTAATGCAAAATAACAATTTTTATAAACCTTAAATTTATACATAAATGTTAACACACTTGAAATATACACTGCAGTTACAAGAGGTGAACTTGCAATTATAGTTCCTGTAAACTTTTTTCACAATGATGCTGTGAAAAAAAAAAAAGCTTTTTCATTGAATTAGCTCTGGGTTCTTCACCAGTACGAGTCTCTGCTTTTTTAAAAAACAATTCCATATTAATGGACACTACAAATCACACCTCCCCAACCTTACACAAACCTCTCAGTTGTGCTTGCAGCACAGAAATGTGGATACCTGTTTATTTTTTCCTAATTAGCAACTGCACAACCTCCACGCTCTAGAGATTAGAAGACAAGGTCTCCCTGTTTCATGGGAGGGATTGTACAGATAAGTAATAAAAAAACTGAGATGGGGGACCTAAAAATACATCCTATTTTAGAAAAAAAAAATCAAGATTTCTTAATGTTAGAAATTAATGTAGACACAGTGATTTTGGGCTTGATTATCTCCTGGTTTATTCTCTCCCTCTAGTGGTACATCCCCAGAAGAGAGCACCCACTGGGTGTTAAATGACAATGTTTGTATTCTCCACACAATTTATAGATGGGAAAGCTTTAAGAACTGGCCCTCCATGGAGAGGTTTCACAAATGCATTTTTGCAACACTGTTGGAATTTTTACTTCTCTTTTTTCTGCCTAAGTCAGTTCTTGATGACAAGTAAGCAACTTTCTGTGCAGAAAACAAACATCTTTTGGAGTACACAGAATTACAAAGCTGCCACAGTTAAAATCACTTGGGGAATCAGCAGAAGCCAAAGATGGAAACAATCACTCTCATTTTTAAAGCAGGAACAGCAAGCTTACTCATTTGTTTGCAGTTCTGCAGCACAAAAGTAGCAGCTTTGATGAGTTCCTCGTCCTGAGATTCTGTCAATACCTGAATCATAAGTGGCAGACCATTGTTCTGCAGCAGCTCACACTGGTTCTCTTCTAGAACAGGACATGGTAAAGGACAGCTTTGCTTTCAGCCCCACACACCTTAACCTTACAGTAATTTTAGGGGCCAATACTGGCAACTCTCTGCAAGTTTCTGTAGAAAGAGAGATTTTCATTCCAGACCCGAGCCTGCTGCAGTGACAGCAGGACAGCTTTACATCCCACAGGATGATGTGACCAGGACTCAGATTGCTGTAAGAAAACTGAAGGATCACTCAGACAAATTATACAATGGAGTTCCAAGCTCATTAATTGTGGCCTGAAACATTTGAATAATGACTCCTGTATTTCCTCTCTTCCATTACCTGCTCTTGGAGTAGATATGTGACATTTCTGTGAGGCCTGAGATGCAGAAATATCAAAATCTCAAGGTTTATAATTAGCAAAATAAAATGAGTAGTTTAATCCTGGTCTAGCCAATCTGTTCCAACTCATTTATTATGTAATTAGCTGTATTTTTATTGTGATCTCATTCACATACGTATTCATATAACTGATAACTTGCTAAACATAGTTCTTTCCTCTTTACACTTAATAAAAAAAGAAATAAAAAATTTTAACATTTTTATTTTGACAGTGTTGATATTTTAAGAGAAACCTTTTTTCTGTTGAAACAACTGTTCAATAATTTTTTAATAATTTTTCAATTCAAAAGACATTTTCCATTAAGTCTCGTTTCACTAATTCTTCATGAGAAAATGTCTGCTAAAATAAATTTATGACTGATTGAGCTAATTACTGAACACATCATTGGCACTCAGAGGATGAAAATCAACCAGGATTTTCGAACATAAGGCCTTTTTCTTGTTTATCTAAACATACATGAGAAAAACCAGAAGTACAAATGAATTTCCCTTTCTATTTGCTTGCACTACCACAAAACACCAACTGAAGTGCTGTATTTGTACCAGATGTGCTTGGACAAGCCCTGAGGAACATGACAAAAACATTTCAGGGCTACCAACTGCTTCTGTGTCTTGAAACCAATGCACTTCCATGGCTTTTACAAATAGCACTGGCCTTGTAAGCACTGGACAGAAGCTGTATGTGCCAAGGACCATGAAAAGGGTGCTCAAGAGAACTCATTTACTGTGTCTGGATTGCAGTAGCTTTCAGGTCTGGATCAATTATTCCCTGGGATACCTAAACCCAGCTTTGAATTCTTGCATATTTAGTCTACTTTTCAAAGCTACTAAAGACACTTCCTGCTTACAAGCTTTAAAATTTAAAGATGGAACATTACAGAAAACTTTTTGTTCAAATACTGACATTGTATTATTTAATAGAACTCTCTCTCATGTCCCAGCCTTGATGAAGTGACACCACTGGAGGAGTCACTGGATGAGAATTTAGGAGAAGCTGACAGACAGGAAAAAAAAAACAAATCTTACCACAAACTTCAGTAAGGTGTCCAATTGTTAGAATAATACTGATTTTTTCTCCTGTGCTCAGTGTCTCATTAGACAGCAGCTTCAGCAGCTCTGACACAGTGTGATACTTTGCCAAGACAACACCCATGGCAGCTGTTTGTTAAAATAATTGGAAGGAAAATAAACTAGATCATGAGTGTAGAGGAATTATCCAAGGATCAAATGCTGGTTTTGAGGGAACTGTACAGCGCCCTCAAAGCCTTGGGCCTGCTCAGCTCTGCCCTGCTCCACTTTGAACAGTTCAGATTAGCCCACCCCTCCTGTGCTGCTCCCAAATCCAGCCCTGCCCGTCCTCCCAGCCTGTGCTCCATGGAGATGAGGCAGCAGAAGATCTGATGAATGAGGAGGGCTTTGCACTGTGCAACTTTTGGAGATCCCTGCTGAGTTCCTCCATGTCCTTGGTCAGCTCCAGCATGGAGCCAGAGAGAGTTGAATACAACAACAGAGTATCTGCCATAAAGGGAGCAGGGGGCAAACCCTTCCCGGCACTGGAACACCCCTGCTAGTCCATCCACACTGAGGCCCAGTCCTGTCACACCCAACTGATCTGAAACCACCCTCACAATCAGTGCAGGCTGATGCTTTTAAACTTTTGGGAACTTCCATTTGAAGCTCTTATGGCAGAAGTGGGAGACACACCAACCATGGCCACAGCCCAGGTTCATCAGCATCACAGGTTTCTGCAAACCTTCTGTGGAAAACACAAAACCTCATCAGGAGAGCAGTACCCAGCCTGCAGACCAGAGCAGAGTGTGCTGTGCAGAAACACCACATTCCTTCAGCTCCACCTCTGAATTACTAAAGCTTCCTTAAGCTACACAATTTACTATTCAGGCATAGGCCTAACTCCAGGATCCAAACTGACTGGTCAAATCCAGGCCCAGAGCTCAGCTTTACTTACCCAGCACAGGCTGTAGCATCTTATTTTTAATTTGCAGTTGGGTTTAAATTTAACTGTATTTATTTTAGCAACAATGGGACAGTAATCTACCTCAGACAAACTGAATCACTCCCCACTTACACCTCTGAATTTTAAAAAGCACTGCAACATCCACTGGGATGTGCATAACTTAACTGCCTTTAAGCATTCATTTCTGCAACTTTTCCACCAGCACAAGACTTTAAAAATTGCATTTTAAAATTACCATAGACAAAAAATGTCTTTTGACTCACAGTTAGTAGCAATGCAGGCATCCAGAGTCTTTGTTACTACCACGGCAAGCTTCATGCTGGAGTGACTCAAACAAGAATCATGCATAAGCTCAAGGAGAACTTTGGCTAATGTATCCAATCCTCCAATAGAAGCAAAATATTTCTGCACATATGCTTAGTGGAAAAAAGAAAAAAAATGTGATTTAAGTGACAGAGTTTACAAATTATTTTAGCATTTCACTAAGTAAGTCCATTAGAGTTTTTCTGTGCACATGTTAGTCATTAGATTTCTTATACAACAGAAGCTGGATATACATTAATCTCAAGAAATGCAGTAAATGCATATAAAATAGCAACAGGAAAACATGACCCTAATTTGTGCACACAAATGGCAGACATCAAATGGCAGACATCATGCCCGAGTTCAACCTAAGTCATTGTTTTCAGTCATGTCATAAGGACTTGAATTTAGACACACTTTTAATCAGAACAGCTCCCAACAGTTTTACTGACCCTATGAAATGTCACCAGACTGTGGCTGTGGACTTGAGCACAGCGCAGTGTAAGCAAAGATGGTGGAACACAGTGGTCAAAGTCAGAAGAACAGCAAATGACTTTGTTTGAGAGAGAGAAAAATTGACAAGAAAGAAAAAACCACTTAGCTCTCTAATTAAACTTCCTTTTATCAAATGCAAAATGGTGTAAAGCTTGAGCTGCACTTACAGTTATTTGCAACTGTGAGACCAAGAAATGAACAGATGGGACGAACTATCTCAGGCTCTGTGCAACTCTCCAGCCACTCTTTGGCATAGGGAAAAACCGAACAGCAAATGTTTTGATTATCTTCTGCAAAAGTAAAAACAAATTCCCCCAAATCAAAACACAGTGAAATCAACTTCAGCTGAACAGTAAAAATGAAACCAAAGCGTTACCGATTTGGAGAGTATCTTTGAAGTTCTTCCACAATTTTCAGAGCAACACATACCATTCTGGGGGTTGTTGACACAGGCACAGAGAGTGCTGCACACTGAGCACCAGAGCTGATAGCAGGGATCAGAGGTTTCATCTGACAGATTCTTCTCAGACATGGAGAGAGTTGTTCTGTTAAAGACAATGCAAACAAGTCCCAAACAGTCAAGGAAACATGGCTGCTAACCAGTCCATTATTTGTCTGTTTGAATTGCAACCCTGTTTACCTGAACAACTGCAGCAGCAGGCTGATGCAGCCTGTGTCTCTGACACAGGTTTGCCCATTCTCTAAAAGAGAACACACACAAGACTCCAGAGACAAATGCAATTGCAGACAAAATCTTAACAGCAAGTTTGACATACGTACATTCCCTTTCTTAAGCACATATCCTTCCCAGAAGGAAACAAAATCATATCAACATATTGGTAAATAACCTTTCTATGTCTCTCTCTTTCTAGACACTCTCAGAAACTATGGGTTTGCATTTGCAAATTATATTTTTAGAACTAAACCACGTTCTGCTGTTTAAGGAAATCCCAGTGAACAATGACCTACTTCGACAATTCAGGTTCAGTTACATGCAAACATCCATCTTTATAAATTAACTTCACCAAAGCATTGCTTATTGACTGTTCTAGATTTTGGACTGCAGATTGGCAAATAGAAAAGGAGTGTTGTAACACAGAGAGAAAAACCCAACTTACTATTATTTGACACCAGTACTAAGATGACATACACAGACATTCTTTTCAAGTTCACACCAGAATCCTTTTTAATTAAAAATAAAATGAGGTCTTCAAACAAGGCAGAAGTACACAAAGTCTGTTGACAATACACTGAAAACAGAAAGTGAAAACCATTAAGTCCTAAAGTAAGCCACTCATCATCCTAAATGATTAAGTCTCAGTTGTGGCCAGTATGTGGGGAGCAGAGACAGGGCAGGACTATGAAGTGCCTGAGGGCTTCCCCCTGCAGTGAGTTCTATCTACACCAAGCAGGACCCCGGCAAGCTTTGGAACAATCCAGGAGTCATTGAACACTTGTTGCTGAGGAAGAGGGGAGTGCAGGTGTCTGGAAACTCAAAGACACCCAGTGTGCACCACTCAGCAAGGCACTGATCAAATCCAGGCATGGACAGGGCAACTGGGACACCCTCAGTGCCCCTGCTCCACTGACAAGCTTGTAGTCTCATTTTGTGAGACCAAAAGGAAATGGAGACAAAGCAGGAGCACAAGTAACAACAGGGGGCCATAGTGCACTCAGCAATACAAACAATATTATTTTGATTACCATTACTCTCTATAATAATCCCCAATGTAAATAAAGCTGCTTCCTTTACGATGCAATGAGCACTCGACTTGGCAAGGTCATTTATAAACATCAAACCTCCAATTTCTCGAAAGTACTCGCTCGCTTCACCTGCAAGAGGAAAAAAGAACAGACACTTTTGCTTCTTTCTCTGCAAATTGAAAGGCTTCTAAGATTTTCCAGCATCTCAAGCCTTATGTCCTTCAGACATTTTTACAGTGCCCACCAGTTCTTGGCATATATGGTGAACAGAAATGACTGCATTGCTTCTAAGGAAAAGCCTTTCTTACTGTTTTGTTGGCAAATGGAATAGATAGTGATCAAAGCCTCCTTCTGAGACAGAGGGCAGTCCATCTGATATTTAAGGCATTCAAGCAGTAAGTTCAGATCTGTTTTCATATCTAGGAGCAAACACAAATAACTTCACTAAAATTGTTATATTTTCTAGATATTAATCTAGTCAGTATTAGAATAAACCTGTCCAAAATGTAGTATGTACATGCATTTTAAAAAAGGGGGAAAAGTGACCCAAAATGGAGCCACATCAATTCTATTCAGTCACAAACAACAAACCTAGAAATATTTCTGTCCATAGTTTGTTATTTGAGTATGATTTCCTTTGCAGAGTAACAGCCTCCTTGTAATATTTCTGGCCTTTAATTACTAGTAATTCTTAGTAGGTCTGATGTAAATTACTAACTATTAAATTCACAACTGCAAGGTGCATTCAGTGTAAATAATACAGAGCCATTAAAGTATTCAGAGTGCAGTTGAAAATCTATGGAGCAGTAAGGAAGGAGTCCAAGAGCACAAGGCTGCTCCGTGTACTGAGTTACAGGAGACATAAACCATGCAGCTCAGCAGCAGAGCCCTCAATCAGGTGCTTGGAGACATAACACAAAATATTCTCTGGGCTCCTACATACAACCCAAAGTGGGTAAGCAGACTTGGAAAATCTGCTTCTTAGTCTTTGGGCTATCATTAAAAGACTTACTTGATAATTATCTCTAACAGTGACAGAAGGTATTGCTTACTGTAAACCCTTACAAGGTTTGAGGGTTCTTAAAGAAGTTAAAATACAATAAAAATGTGGATAAATATTAGCAAATTAAAAAAAAAATGAGTGACTTTGTGGTGGTGTGTTTTGGCATTGGATTCACCCTTTGCATATCCAATACAGTATCCAAAATTTGGCAACTAGGAAAAAGCACGTTTTCCCAACTCCTCACCACCCCACAACAGGCCTATCAATAAAGTCTGCTAAAACTTTGTAAAATTGATGCAGATTATAATGACAAATTATATTAGATATCTTACCACACTGATTTATCTGCACCTTTTGAGAGTTCATTTTTGTTTTATCTCTGTTCTTGTTCTACAACAGCAAGGAAAAAGTGTTTTCAGTTCTGTTCAGATTAGCAGTGTTTATAATACATGCAGTAGAAATGACATCATTTTTCTAAAATGCACTTTTCCCCGTTTTCTGCTTTTACTCTGTCATCTCTCACACACGCAGCTTAATGTATTCTTGTATGGCAAAGTTTTCCTTTGGAAATACAGTATTTTATAACAGCCCTGCATTTGTAACTACCAGGTTATCATCTTTTGAGAGTGGCTATTCTGCAGAAATCAGGTCGTTCCATTGTACCACTGAGAGGCTTTACTGTCAGTAAAGAATATCTGACAGTAAAAGAATATCTGCTCTGTGCCACTGATCACAACAAAGCTGATCCAACTTTCCTTACAAGAGTGGCCAACTTTGCCATCAGCCAAGAGATGGCACTAAAACCAAGTCCTGTTTCTTAGGGGGTGAACACTATCAAACATTTGGCCTCTTGCTGCTCAAGGAGCCCCTAAACCATCAGCATTGTTCTGGCAGTACTGATCAAACCAAGGGCAGTGAGCACATATTCCTTACAGTGAGAACTCACTGAAATTCACCAAAGACATTGCCACATGAACCCACAAAACCCCACAGCATTGCTTCTTCACAAACCCAACGAGGCAGCCTCTGAGAGCAGAGCAGCAGTGACATTCAGCTTTGGAGGCAGAAAGATGCTCCCTCAAACATGCCCCAAGTCCCAAACACAGAAGGTTGATGCAAGCATCACAGTAACCTCCTACAATTTCTCAAAAAATTACTTCACTCCAGGTAGAAACTTTAAATCAGTGGCGAATGCAGCTTAAGAATGGATTTGTTTTCCTTCTCAAAGTGGAGCAAAGGCTCAAAGCAGAATCATTGTCATCTTAATGAAGACAGCCAGCCCTGCTTTCTCTTGGGAGTTACTGATGGCCCCCATTCCTTTGCTGCTTCCCTTAGAGAGCCAGAATTGAGAGAGTTCATCTCCCTGCAGCCTTTCAGAAGTGAAAACAGACACGCATTTCATTTTCCTGCAAATCCAACCCTGCCAAAAGGAAAAGCTTGCGAGCCTTCCTCACGTCTTTCTGTCCTACTGCCACCACCCCGCCAGCTGAAGAAAAAACCAAACCCACCCAAACAAAAGGAAGGCTGCAAAAATGAGTTCACTCTGGAGCTAATTGCTTTTCAGAAGAGTTTAATTTAATACATGTTTATACAATTATACAATATAGGAAGCAGAAGGGCTTTAAAACTGTATGTATACAAGGACACATCTTGACCTTTTCCTGGATCTTTTTTACTTTTGCAACCTATAGAAGGTACACAAAATAGTATTTATAAGCCAGCCTACATTAATTAGATGCAAACAGCTCACCTCAGTTGTTGCATCACAGAGCAAGGTGGAAAGACAAGCAACTAGATTTATTTCAACAAACAGCTGGCAAATGTTGCATATAAAACTCTTCTCCATCAGTTATGGAAAATAACCCAGTAATATTGCTTCAAACCTCAGAAACCACTCCTGGAGAAGCACAGATCTGTCAACGTGTGTGCTCAGCAGCACTAGAGCACATGGCTGGCACGGTGAGCAGACCAGCCAGCCTGGGCAGGACTTATCCTTGTAAACCCAGGGACCAAAGCCCAGAGGGGAGAAGTGCGGCTTGTTGGCGTCCTGTGGAAACCAAAGCCCACAGCAGCAGCTGAGGCCGTGAGGACGCTGCGCTGTGGAACAGGACTTGGGGGTGTCCTGGCCTATTTCAGCTCCCTCGCACCCTCCTCCCTCAGATGAGCCGTGTGTGATTTACAGGTCATTATCAGAGCTCCACTTGGAAGTCTTAGCAAACACTCCAAATCAGCCCAAATATAAAAGGGAAAGAAGATAAGAAAGGGGGAGGGGGATGAAAGGCAACAGTCTAAAAGATGAAACAGCAGCTGCATTCTTCTGTGGGAAGGCTGGGGAGTCCCGAGGGGGAAAATGGGGCACGGCTCGGGTACCTGTGATCCAGTGGCGCGGGTGGCTCCGGGCAAACCCCGATGCGAGGCAGGTGCCCGCTGCCGAGCGCTGCCCGACTGAAGATGGGATCTGCGGGCTGAGGGGTGGGATCGCCGGGCTGAGGAATGGGATGGGATCGCCCGGCTGAAGGACAGCGGAGACCCCGCCGGCCTGAGGGATGGGATCTCGCGGAGCTCAGGGCTGGGACTGCCCGGCTGAAGGACAGCGGAGGCTCCGCCGGCCTGAGGGCTGGGATTGCCCGGCTGAAGGACAGCGGAGGCCCCGCCGGCCTGAGGGCTGGGATTGCCCGGCTGAAGGACAGCGGAGGCCCCGCCGGCCTGAGGGCTGGGATTGCCCGGCTGAAGGACAGCGGAGACCCCGCCGGCCTGAGGGCTGCGATCTCGCGGAGCTCAGGGCAGAGCCCGGCCCGGCCCCTCAGGAGACGCCGCAGCCGCAGCGCCGCCCGAGCGCCTCAGGGCGCGGCCGCCCTCGGGCTCGGGACAGCCCTGAGCCTTCCCCTCAGCCAGGCGGGAGGCGCTTGGAGTTGTAGAACCGGCAGGGGTGAACGACATCTTTAAGACCATCAGTTCAACGTCAGCCCAGCACTGACACTGCAAACCCTAAAGCACTGAACCATTTGCCAGTGTCAGATCCAGAGGCCTCCGACGGCTTCAGGGATGGCAACTCCACCCCCTGTCTGGCCAACCTATTCCCAGGCCTGAACACCTGAACAGTGAATTTTTTTTTTTTTTCTCTAAAATCTAACCTGAATTTCCTCTCAAGGTGAGGCCACTTCCTCTGGTTCTTAGCGCATAGCTAATATCTGAGTTTATTAGAAACCCATTCTGTTATACACCGTTCTGATACAGGTGTGGACCTGATTGGTCATTTAATCAACACCTTGTCACACCATCTGCTAATTAAGAAGACACCCTTTGGTAAACTTCTTATGAAAAAACAACTGTTCAAAGCACCAGCTATAATTGCCTGCAATAATTTCTGAGATGTAAGTCATTAGTTTCAGCTCTACCTTCCCAGATAAGGTAACCCAAGTAATATTTCATTGGGAGAAACTGCTATGTCCTTTCTTGGAGCAGTTCTGATCAGTAATAATGCTAATCTGGTTTCAATCATGAATTTGGTAATATGGTTCTTAAGGATAGCATTCATTCTCTCCACACCTCCAGAGCTTTGAGGGTGCCACGGGGTATGGAATTTCCAATTTATGTCTAATACAACACATAGAATATAAAATTTTTGAAGTAAAGTGTGTTTCCTTATCTGAGTCTATTATTTCAGTTATTCATATCTGGGAATGATTTGTTCTAATAGCATCTTAGCTACTTTGGAGGTAGTTGCAGTTGAGGTAGCAAAGGCTACCAGTGGGTGAGGTGATCAACTGCTCCAAGAAGATATTTCCATCTCTGTATTTTGGGGAACTCCGTCTAATCTATTTGCATATTTTGAAAGGGTCTAAGGGCTAGGGCTCTTCCCTCACTAGGGTGTTTTCTCATCACTTATTTATCTTTTAATAACTTCAACATTGTCCAGTCACTATTTGGCTACTGCAGAGACTCCCTCACAGCAATAAGTTCTTCAGAATTGATCATACAGTGCTTGAGCTCTCCAGTGTATTCCTCGGTGTAGCTTAATTAAAATTACTGTAGCAATTGCTTTATTCATTATTTGCCTCCCTTTCCTGCCCAGCTGTGACTGGAACTACACCAAAGGGAAAGTGCCTGCAGCCGAAGGAAGGCTGTGCTTGGGTATCTGGTTCTGTTTGTTGTTGCTGCCAGCATTGTTGTTTGTTTCCCTTGTTGTACATACTGGCAAAGAACTTCTCCCATATCTTTGCCTGAAAGCCCCTAATTTCAAAGTTATCATAATTTGGAGAGAAGGAGTGTTGTGGTTTGTTCTATGTTTGTTCGGTTTCCCCCCAGTTGTTGTGTTAATGGTTCTGCCCGAAGGTTCCAGTACATGTCAGTCTCTGTACCCCTCCCACGTTGTCATGGTTCCCTCAATGTATCTCGTTTGTTCCCCTCCCCTGGCTGCCTGCCTGTCACCCAGCGCCCCTGCCTCTTTTTCCAGAAGCTTCTGGCTGGGGTGTTGGGTGATTGGTTCAGGGGCCAGGGCCCCACCCGCAACTGTCTCCCGTTGGCTCCTTACTACTGTCATTCTCCAATGTATCTTCTGTACCCCTCTCCTGATTTGTTGTTCTAAACCCCTCCCTTTCCCTTTATAACCCGGGGCTTTTCCCTGCGTCGGGGCTCCGACTTCAGCTCCCCGACCCGTCACCTTCCCTTCCAATAAAACTCCCTTCCCCAGAAGCCGTGAGTCGCCCTTTCTTCAGCGTCCTGCAGCTTTGGAGTTTCTCCCTGCGGCCACTTGCCCTAAAGCACGGCACCACTTGGGCACAGGGCCTGGGTTTCGCGCCTGGGCAGTGCTCGACTGGCTGGACATTGCTTCTCTAGCCTGGGCATTCTCTATCACCCGGCCACTGCTCCAAAGGAGGTCACATTCTCCATTCCAGAGAGGTCCCACAGACACCTGTCTTTCAAACCAAGACAAGCTGACAATTAACAATTTATTAACAATTGTTTATTAACCATTAACAATTAGTTGTCAATCATGAATTAATTATCAATCTAATAAACAGTTAAGTAATGTAGGTAATTAAAAGATAAGTTAGAGGTATTCACTGGAGCTCAGAAGGGAGACCAGCAGCAGCAGAAGGCACGATGTTGCCGGCTCCTGCAGGAGGCTCCAGCTGACACAAATGCTGTCCCTCAGGTGCTGCTTTCCAGAGCACCTGCTTCTTGGCTCTCTGGCCTTTCTCTCTCTGCTCTACCAAGAATGTTCTGCTCCCGGGCTCTGCCTTTCACAGTCACCTGCCTCATCTTCTCAGCTGGATTCAGGTTAGGAATCCTAGGAAGGAAGGGACTGGTATTAGCCAGACAAACATTCCCAGCCAGTTGATCTGCAACTCGCAGAGCAAGTTGCACAGTATTGCATCCTCTCTCTGTGCAAGCAGCAAGCAGCAAATTAAACAACTGCACTCTCTGCATGGAGGCTGCAGAGGTGCAAGGGCAGGACCATGACCAGTTAAGTGCCTGGGGACCAACTACAGCACACAGGGTTCCATGTAGAGAAGCAGGCCTTGCTTGTCTCAAAAGGAAGCAGAGCTAGGGACTGGCTGGTTCCTGGATCTTTTCTTCCAGATTTTGCAACCTTCCAGCAGCATGATGTTTCATATGGTGTCTTTTCCCAGTGCCTCCCTACCAAGGCCAGATGAGGATCTTTCTGTGCTCCTGTGGCTGTTTCTGCCACCTCTCTGGGGCTGCCTGTCTCCCACCTCCCCATCCCAGCCAGAGGGACTGAAGGGAGGGTGTTAGGGGATGAACCAGGCTGTGCTTGGTGGTGCCCAGCATTAGGACAAGAGGCAATGGGCAGAACCTGAAGAGGAAATTCCACCTGAACCTGAGGAAGAACTTCTTTCCTGTGCACGTGCCAGGTTTCCCAGAGAGGGTGTGGAGTGTCCCTCACTGGAATGATTCCAGAGCCCTCTGGACACAACCCTGTGCCATGTGCTCTGGGATGACCCTGCTTGAGCAGGAAAGTGGGACCAGATGACCTACTGGGGTCCTTTCCACCCTGTCCCACCCTGTGATCACCCAGTGATACCCATCAGAAACATGAGTTGGCAAGGGCTGGATGTTCCTCACCTGCACAGCAGGGTGGTCTGAAACGTCCCCGCGCACTTTGGGGAGAACTGCACTTGAAAGGCCTGCTTCTGGCCAGGAGTGATGATGCCGTGGTAGGGCTTGATGGAGAACAGTGGCAGGCTGTAGATGGCATCTGGGAAGATTTCCAGGGCGGAACCAACACGCTTTGAGCGGCGCAGCCTCTTGGAATGGTCCTGCTGCTGCAGCTGCTGCTTGGAATCCTGCTGCTGCAGCTGCTTAGCCAGCTGCTGCAGCAGCTGCAGCTCAAAAGGATGAGTTTCAAAAGGATGCTCCTGCTGCCACCCAAAACGATGCAGCAGCTTTCTGCAACGCCTTAAAGTTTCAGAGGAGAGGAAATGACCTGCAGAGAGGAAGAGGACACCTTTCAAAGACAAAATCCTGTGCTCCCAGCAGCTCTGCCTCCTGCTGCAGGAAGGTGGAAAAGAGCTGGGATGCACTTGGAGCATCTCTGGCCAAGTACTTTTAGCAGGAAAGAGAGCGTCTGGGAGCAGGGTCTCTGCCTGCAGCACACATTCCTGTGCCAAAGCAGGAGAGTTGGTTTCAGACGGTGACTTTGCATTTGCCCTGGAGTGGGGAACTGCACACAGACAGTGGCTACAGGTCAGCTCACTTGTTACACCATTGTTTTTCCCAGTCTCAGACCTCTCAAAGAATCTGAGATGTCCCTGATGTCCCCCTTCCCAGTCCTGACCCAGCACGTGGCTGTCCTCAGAGCCTGGCTCAGCTCCTTTGCAGAGTAGAAGTGGCAGAGCAAGAACAGAAGGGGATGCACGGCAGAGAGGGGCAAAAACTCTCCAGCTGCAGCTGGGAAGATGCTGATGAAAGTGGACGTGTGGAGAAGGATGAAAAAGCAATTCATGTTTTGGAGTGAAGTGGCAGGGCCCACCCCTCCCCAGGCCCTCAGCTACCAAGTGAAACGCCCTTACGTGTCAGAGCAGGTGCGAATGGCTTCTTCACTGCTTCACTATCTGCAGCTTCCTCCCAGTAGTATTCCAGGGCTACCTTCCCTGTGTTGCATAGTCTGAAACTGAAAAGCAAGAAGGAGGAATAACAAAAAATTTCCAATAAATATAAAGCAAATAGTACAGTAACATTGTCTGATGGACTCCTGGTACCACTTTCTGCTGAAGAGCACCTTCTTCCCCAGGCAACTCTGCCATGCTCAGACTGCTGTCCTGGGTGGTCTAAAAAAGTATTTCAAATTCTGGAAGTTTAAGAGGAAAGGGCCAACATGGTGCCCAGGACATTGAAGCCAAGGGGCTTACTCTGGACTTTAGGTCTTGGTTTGACTACAAACATATTTTTGAGCAGATGATGACAGGTGACATGCAGTGAAAGCAAACCCATGGCTGCTCTCAGCAGAAAGGTATGGCAGCACTGAGGCTCTCCTGACCACCAGCTCCTGCTTGGCCTTGTGTGCATGTAAAAGGGCCTGTGCTGGTTTGGGCTGGGGCAGAGTTCTGGGAAGCAGGCACTGGGCCAGCCCTGGGCAAAGGCAGCTCCTGCTCCCCGGAGGAGCTGTGCCTGGCCTCCAGCACTCACGTGGCTGTCCTTGTCTGGAAGGGCAAGGTATCCTTGAACTCAACCATGGTCGTGCTCAGTTTGAACTGGGTGTAGGCAATAACAGCACTGAGGTACACCTCGGCCTCCTGGCTGCTCTCCTCCAGCACAGTGTGAGCTGGTTCCAGGACTGGCTCAACCACCTGCAAACAGAGGAGGGAGGAATCACTGAGCAGAGCCCAGAAGGTCAGGCTGAGAAGGGAATCGTCTGGCCTCCAAGATCAGCCTCATAGAGGGACTGGAAAGGACCATTCACTTTTACTTCCCTGGAAGGATGACAAAATTGGGACTGCTCTGCTACAGTAGTTGTTTCTACCCACTGATCCAAGCAGTCACTACCACAGCTGTTAATATCCCCATGGAGACTACAGCTGTGTTCCAGTCCCCGTACTTCAACCTTGTAGAGGGACTGGCTTTTTTCCTGTCCCCTATAAATCCAGCAGGTCTCAAAATTAGGGTTAAGTTCTCCTGCTGGAGCTTTGTGGATGGAGAACCCAAAGACTGAAGAGTTTTAGAAAGCACCTTTTCCTTCTTGTCTTAGGAGAAAGTGCTCTCCAGATGTCATGTCTGGAGCAACAGCCACACTGCTGGGAGCTGAGCATGGGCATTTTGGGATGTGAAAGATCTCACTTGGAAATTCTCCAACTGCAGATGTTCTGATTGAAAAGAGGATGGTTTTTAGAGTCCTTAAAATGGTCCAGAAACTCAGAAAGAACCTTCACCCAAGATGAGTGTGTTTGGCAATAATGACAAGAAAAGCAAGAGTCTCAGGAGATGATCCTTCTCTGGACTCCTCCATAGAGTCATACAGTGCCTGGGCTACTCCATGATGAGATATCCCACACAATACAGAGACTACAACTATTCTCTGGTATCCATGCAGACAAAACTTGGACTTCACCAGCATATGCAGGAGAAGTGTATTTCTCTCCACTTTAAAAGAAGAGACTTAACTCCTTGTTTGTGAAAAGGCACCAAATGATATGAAGAGATTTCGAACACCATAAAATGGGATAAAATCATAAAACATTGTCTCCCATTCAACATGGGCTGCAACACTTGTGCTTGTGGCACAGACTGATGGTTTGTGTGTGGCTAAAGGTCTCTTGTCCAAAGGCTTCCCCCTCTAGTGTGAGTGTATCCAGTCACTGTGCATCCACCTCTCCCATGGACTGCACTGCTGGTGAAGCTCATGGCTGTCCAATGCCAGAGGAAGCAGGAGCTGCACAGCCAGCAGTGATGGTGTTATGGTGGTTCTTTTGGTAAAAGCTGGGTTGCCTTTTTTTTTCCTTTTTGCTTCTTACCTTCTCTCTTTTAGGCCACCTGGCTGCTGGGTCTTTCCATGTGATATCCTTCCACGTGACAATGCACATTTGGTCGTCCCAGTCTAGGACCTTCCTTCGTGGCAGCTCAAAGTTGATCTTGGTCACCTTACATTTCACAAGGTGCCTTCTGAAGGTGGCTGGGACATCTGCTTTCAAGATCACTGTGATGCCCTTAGCACAGCCAGGATGGAGGTGTCCCACCTAGGGAGAATCAGGGAGTCAAGACCAAACTGGAAGCACTGCCAAGGGCAGGACTGACAGCAAAAGGGACTGATGTGGTGAACAGCTGTGTCAGGAATCTGCACCTCAGAGTGGATTGATGTGAAATTTGACAGACAAAAGTATGAACAAAAGGTGCCACCTCCCAAAATATGAAGCCTTTTCTGCAAGGCTGGCAGCCTTGGCCCAGCCAAGCCAGGGACTGCATCTCCTACATGGCACTGGAATGGGCTATCAGTGGCATGTGAGGACTCCCTGCCAGCTCCTGGGAACACCAGGGCAGGGCTTGAGCAATGGGGAGAGGCAGAGCAGTCCACGCTCACCTTGGGGGAGAACTGGAACGGGGTGTCTGCCTCCCACTCAAAGCGCATGACCTGCGTAAGGGTGTGGTTGGTGATGGTGAAGGTCCTGCGGCAGCGCTTCCCGACGGGACAGTGCCCAAACTCAATGTGATTGACTCTGACAGCTGTAAAGGAGGAGAGCAAGGGATGTCAGCATGCAGGGAGCTCCACCTGCCCCCCTCACGTGCACAGACACCTGCACGTTCAATGCTTCCTTTCTCCAAGTCTTTCTCCCTCTGCAGGGAGTTCCCCAGGCAGTTCCCCATCCCACCACTTCCAGGGAAACACCCTGACACATCCCTAAGCCAGCGACATGCAGCACAGCACACGCTGCTCTGCATGCATGGCTGCCACACCCACAGGCCACCAAGTCCCAAGGGTGACAGCCCAGGCCTGGCTAGAGGGAGGACACACGTGATCAGACATTGTCCTCTTCCTTGCTCCACCTTGGCAGCCTCTCCTCTCTTACCATCAATGATGTCTTTCCTCAGACTGCTCTTAGCATTCCTCTCCTGGGTGTCTTCCTTTAATCCATCGAGGGTGAATTCGTCCTTGTGGCCTTCACCCACCAGCTCTACTAGGGTCATGCAGACGTCCCCTACTAACAGACCAATCTTCCCTTCCAGACGTTGAGCCAGGGTGGGTTTGAAAATGACATTAAACTGTGCCGATTGCCCATGACGCAGAAGGAAGAAAGGCTGCTTTGGGGGCTTGGTCTCTGCACAGCAATGGAAATCAGAGTTAAGTGATACAGCTGTACAGAGGAAATATTTCCATAGGATAAATGAGGAATAAGAGGTTCAAACCAGCTGCCTTCTAAGCACAGCTTCTACCTGCAGTGGATCCAGACCTTCTTGCTATGTTCACAAGACTGCCACCTCCAGACACATCACCACTTAAGCACCTTAACCTCAGGCTGATGCCCAGCCCTCATTCCACCTGCTTCCAGCCAGCTGCAGCCATATACAAAGCTGAGCCAAAGAGTGCTTTTGGCTTCTGCTGGCTGTCTGTGTGCTCAAGGGCTGTGTCTATTCAGGCTAGTACCTTTCCACATGCAGCAAATACCTCAGAAGGTCCACTGAGGTAGTCACCGTCCCCCACAACTCAACCCACCATGTCTAGAAGAACAGAACAACTTCCTACAACTTGCTAGAAGAAGACCCCTCAAAACATCCCCAAGAAGAGCCTGGGGGACAGACAGCCCAAAGAATGAAACTAACATCTGGCTGCTGCTCAGAGAAGCCAAGAGCAGGGCTCTTTTTTTGTTTTCCCTCTGTGCATGATCGCACTTCGTGGTTAATGAATTTACCGTTTCTGACGAAGTCCCCTTCCACACTTCCAGCGAGGGATGTCTTGAATGTGGAGGCCCTGCCTTTCAACAAGAACACTCCATGCTCATCCTCCAGGCGTAACATAAACTGAGAAAAGGGAAGCCAGAGCACAATGATGCTGGTGTAAGTACAGGATGGCACAGAGACTGACACCACAGTGCTGCTGGTCCCACATGGGAGCCCAGCACCTCTCCCACTACAAGCAGCACTTAGCACAAAAGTGAAGTCAAACCAGCTGAGAAAAAAGGGCATTCAGAGGCATCTGGATAGAACTGACACAGAACCAAACAGGACAGAAAGTAAGGGGCAGAATGTAATTAACCCACAACTAAGTTTCCTTCAAATGTAGTAAACTGGGATCAAATACAATCTAATGGAACTGGGAAACCACACATGTCCATGAGAACAAAAGGTGACCTGAGAGATGGGGGAAAATATTCCACCACCTTTCTTGTGTTCAACTTAAAGAAAAAAGACTGGATGGAAAATTTTCAAGAACTCTCTTTTTGGAGAACAGATGTCAGTCACTTGCCTAAAAAGAATTTCTGACACCTCTTCCCAGGTCTGCCATGTTTTTTGGGACCCTTCCCCTATGCTACAAGCACTTGTTCCCAAACCTTCCTTGAGCAGGTCCTCCTCACCTTGACAGGTTTGGTGCCATTGTTACGGAGGACCAGGGGGAGTATCTCTGAATCCTCCAGCTGGAGCCTCTTGAAGCGCAGCACGGCCGTTCCCCTCTTGCTGCGAGCACTTGGGCGCACGACTGTCACCGGCAGTTCCTGCCCCTTCCCACTGATGATGAAGGTCAGGATTTGGGGTTTAATTTCCACAGAGCTGCAGGAGAGGCGCAGAAACAATTTCAGTTGGCACTGACCCATTTCTCACTGGGCAAGTGAAGCACCAAGGGCCACCCACAGTGTTTTCCCTGCCTGGTGCTCCTGGTGCTGGTGGGGGGCTCCCACAACACAGCCCCCCACCAGCCTCTTCCCAATCCACTCAGGGCCATTCGCTAGAGGAATCTGCTCCAAAGAGCCAGAGCCTTCCACAATAACAGTTAAAAACAATTTCACTTAATTGAATCATGAAGTACAGCAGGTAAATAAGGAGGCACCAGATGAGATATGGCAAATCCCCTGGCTGCAGTGAGATGAACTTATGCAACAAGCAAAAGCACAGCACAAAAGCAGTACAAAAGCAACAAGGCAAAAATAAATCATCGTCACCATCAGCAAAGATCATTTCCAAGAACAGTAAAAAAGCAATTGCTTATTAGCAATTAGACTTGTCTTGTTCCAATTCAGCCACTAAAGGGTTGAGGAAGGGCAGGTCAAAGCCCCAGTTCACAGGTCCCAGGGCAGAGGAATTGGGTTCCTCTTTCATACCAGCTCAAATCACTCACATAAAAAAGCTCAATGAATGCCAGGGAGTCACAGAGGATCACTTAATTTTACAGAAACAAAGAGGAAAATGTGACTGCTGACTTGCTGGCACAGAAACTGCTTCATCTAAAACTTTGTCCTTGGAAACACCCAGGTCAGCTGCAGCACATCTCAGTAACTTCCAATTGGCTACCTAATATTTCCCTATCTTGATAGTTCTTCATACAGAATAAACTATCAGCCTCATTTGTTTACTCTAAGAGTTACTCCTATATCATCTCATGCCAAGTACTCTGCCTAAGGCTACTGAAAGCATTAGAGCTAACAAGAGGCCTGTGCCTTCTCAGTGGAGAGGCAGCTATCAGTGAGGCCTCCCCAGTATTTCACAGGGTCATTTACCCTTTTGGGATGACAAGGGAAGCCTTGAAGATGCAGTCGTAGCTCTGCTTGTCTGGCGGGGTGAAGGTCACCGTAGCAATGGCACAGGATGAGCCACGAATGGACATCTTGACAGGATACAGATTGAAAACGGTGCTGACAGGGATTTGTTCCTTGGGGGAACCCAGAGAGCAGTGTTAGGAGAAAACACCTTTCAACATGACAGAGTTTCATTCATAAATGCATTACTGAGAACAGCCCCAGATATTGTGTCTTCCTTCCTGCCTCCCTGGGCAGGCTTCCGTCCTCCCATTCCTCAGGGAATGCTGACCTTGTGCTAAAGCATTGTGTGTTTTGAGTGCAGGAACCTTCCCCAGCCTACATGGGAGATGGGCACTGCATGAAAGATCCTGCAAATAACCCAGAACTGGCCTTCAAAGAGAAGGAAAAGCCAGGGAGCCTGAGGAAATGCTCTGCTTTGAGCCCTGGCATGTCAGTTCATAACAGCCCCTCTCTGTGTGTGCTTCCAGGAGAGGTTCAGAAGGATTCACTTCTCCCACTGAAGACCCAGAGGTGTGAGCCAAAACCTTGCCCAAGACATGCAGAATTCCACACAACTGTTCCCTGGCTCTGCTGCTCTCCCCTGCAGTTTGACCTGCACTGAGCTAGCTTAGTCTGGGCCACAGGAAGTAACGCATCTGGAGAACAAAGCAGGCTCTCACCCGGCCCTTAGAGGGCAACCACCACCTTGGCTCCTGTTCTTACCTCTCCAGGCAGGATGGAGAGGACCACATCACATGGCAGACGGCCTGCATTGCAAATTCTGAAATGAGCTTCTGCCTCTTGGCCAACCAGAACCTTGTTGAAGATGAATCTATTCTCATCTCTGATGAACAGGCCCGTGCATTCCACCAACTGCAGCTTGTAGTCGAGGTCGGTGCTGCTGCAGATCGGGTACTCCTTGAAGATTAACGCGACATCCTCAACAAGTGCTGTGGACAGACCAGAGGGATGAGCATGGAGAAGCCTCCCTGACCAGAGGGATGAGCATGGAGAAGCCTCCCTGATGAATTTGTCTAGATCCTGCTGGCCTCTCAGAAGCCTTGATAAGCCCTTTCTGCCCGGGTGACTGCTAAACCCAGCCTTGGGTGGGGGAGTTGGCTGTGAGGAAGGAGCTCAGTCAACCTCAGTCTTAGAGAACATTTCTTTCCTTTTATCCTTCCATGCATCCCTCTCAGCCTGGGAGGGATGAGTCCACTGGTGGACTTGAAGAGGGCTGGAACCTCTGAGGATTTTAAGGTGGGACACCAGGGCTAGCGTGCCTCTCTATCCCAGCAGCAAGTTGAGGTGCTGATCAGCAGCAGGTGTGACCAAGGGCACTGTGGGCAGTGTGTACCTGGGAGGCAGGACTCGGCCATCAGGGTGAAGGGAATGCCGAGGGGATTGTCCTTGGGGTCTCTGCCCATGATGTCAATGTAGAGATGCTCCTCACATGTCCCCTCCTGCCTTGCAAGGCATTCCACTGTGATCACCTGCAGGCCACATGGACGGATGGAGCCACAGCAGGGGGACACCGTGAACACGCCAAGATTGAGGTGACTCTGCAGAAAAAGTTCCAGGAGAGGCTAATGGCTAATAGCTGTGCCTTGAGCACCCCAGCAAAGAGTACGTCCTGCCCTGGCCTCCAGCTGGGCCCAAGCACCCAGTCCCAGGGCAGGGAAGGATGACTTCATGGCCCAAAGGCTGAGAGCAACAAGCCAAGAGGAGCTGCAAGCCTGTCCCAAGTGGCAGAGAGAAAGGAGTTTGAATCTAAAGAATGAAGGTGGTAGTTCTGATCCTTCAACCTCCAGAGGTAACACCAGAGAGCAGAAATAGCTCTGAGAAATGATAGGAGAGAGGTAGGGAACTGAAAAGAAGAACAAGTAATGTTGTCTGAGCTCTGTGGACTGGGAGTTCAGTGGGGGATGGTTTTGCTTCTGAGGTGTTCACAGACCTATGCTGGCTTGCAGCTACCAAACACAGGACCTGCTCCCCTCTGTTGACCCCACAACTCCAGGTCAGAGCCAGGCTAAAGGACTGTCAGTGGGACTGAGCAGATACTGGTCTTGCAGACTACGTCCCACCCTGTGGTGATGAGCCCCAGCCTGGGCACAGCAGCATCTTCTCAATCCCCTGCAGCAGCACTGCTGGGCAGCAGGAGTCACCCACCTGTGTCGAGAAGCTTGATTCCTTTCCTGTCGAGTGCTCTGTAGCTGATGGAGCAGATTCCCCTTGCTTTGAACTGAGGGGAGAAAGCAGAGGTATCTGTCATGCTCAGCTCCCCTGCCTCAAAGGCCACAGCTGGCCTTCCTCCTCACAGAGAAAAGCCTTCCTCCTCCTGACGGCTCCCAGAGAGCAGCCAGCAGCTCCCATTGCTGGACTGAGCAGCTCTATCACCAGCTTAGTACTACACATGGGGATACTGAGGTGTTTTTTTGCTCCCTCTCTCCAAGCCAGGGACACAAATGGACGATAGCCCAGGTCTCCTGGCTGCCTGCCACATACCAGCTGTGTGGTGCTGCCTCCTCTGACAGGAAGGGTCCTGCAGGGCTTCTCATACCTTTTGATTTCCAATGCACATGCAAGCTTAGGTGCTTGGCGGATGCAGAATTTGAAATCGGCCATGCCTATGTTCTTCACCACAACACTCCTGGTCTTCGTGGTGCCCATGACCATGGCTCCGAAGTCGGTGGGTGAGGCAGGCACGATGCTGTACTTGCTGTACTCCGCTTCGGCCGACACCCTCACTGGGATGTTGGCGACAGCCGGGCGTCCTCGACCTGGGCTGGCATCTGCCACCTGTGTCCACAGGAAGGGGTGGAAAACAATAAAGAGGCCAGCCAGATTCTCAGCTCCCCTTAACAAGCCTCACAAATGGTGTTGAAAGACTTTGTTTGTGTACGTAGGAGAGAGGATTCTCCAGTTAAAGCCCTCCTTCCATTAGACATCTATCCTGTTTACACTCCCAAAACACCGTGTGATAATGCAGCCCGGCCCAGGCAGCTCACCTGGCAGTACAGGATGGGTTTGTTCTTGAGGAAGATTTCACTCGTGGGGTGGAAGAGCATCTCAACATTCTCACCAGGCTGGGAGGCAATCAGCACGCCCGACTGAGGCTCAACAGTGAAGTGGGATGCCAAGTCTTGCATCTCGGGACCTGCACCCTTCAGTGTGAAACTGGGGAGAAAGGGAAGGAATGGAGATCTCTGCAGTTAAAAGTACAGGTGCCACCAACACAGCCAGGACTCTGCATAGGACCAGAAAAAAAAGGGAGAGTCCAGTTCTGCTCAGGGAATCCTGGATCTTGACAGAGAGTGCAGACAATCACAAGATTACTGCAAGAAACCTTGAGACTGAAATTTTTCATTCACTCCTTTACAGAGTCTCAGAAAGAGAAAGGAGGTGACCACCAAAAAAAGGCAATGAATCTCAGCATTTCAGTGGCTGAAATTTCTGGGGCTCTCCTTTGGGCTCCAGCTGAGCTGTGAAGAACTGCTGGTTTGTGGCTGAATTCTCTGGTAAAATAATTGAGATCAGAGAGCCCAGGTTTTGTATTTACCGTGAGGTAGCCAGCATGGAAACAGGTTCTAGCCATTGACAGAGGGAGAATGAAGGCCTGGGAAATGCTCAGTGCCAGGCAGCAGGACTCACCTGTACTCAATGTTGTATACCCCTTTGTTCTGTAGACTCAGGACTTTCTTCACGTTATCCAGGACATTAATGGTTCCAAATTCCAAGCTTCCATCTGGACCTGCAGAACACCCACAGAGCGAGGTCAACCACGGTATTTGTGAGCTGCTGCAGAATACACCAGCTCACAAGCTACATGGAGGTCTCGGCACAAAACCCTTTTCAGCAAGATCTCATTCTTGAAAGTGTTTTCCAGCTACTTGTCTGCCCTTTCTCTTCTTACTCAAAATATCTGCAGGCTTAGTAGCTAAAGAGCTCGCCTTCCATTTCCTCGCTCCCAAGCACAAATCCAATTATATGCTGTGCTGAGCCTGTGGGCCTTGCCAACTGCCTGTTCACGTCACTATTGTTTCAAAACCCCCAGATCCAATCTGCATATGAAACTGCACACTTCAAAGTTCAGGAGGCATAGACTTAAGGCTGTCAGAGCCCTGACAATGCTTTATTCCACGCAGCTTGCAGAGTATTGCTTTACGTATCCATGCCTTCCTTGCATGCTGTCCCGTCCCATCCCATCCCATCCCATCCCATCAAGTGCTTTGGTTGCCCACCTCCCAAGGTAATGCAGTGCACCTGGACTGCTTTGTTTGGGAGGCATCCACTGACCTTCAGGCATGTCAATGCTCAGAGAAACATCATAGACCTCTGCAGAGATTTCGATGTTTTCAGCCTGAACATTCCCCAGGATGTTTTCTGTATCTGAAACCTGAGGCAGCAAGAAACAAACACTGTTCAGATTATTCTTTTGGTAGAAAGCCTGAAAGTCCTTGTCTCTGTTGGCTGCTTCCCCTATGGCCTCCCTGGCTTCACAAGCATTGGTGGACTCCCAAGCTTTGCTAACCTGTTCCTCTCATGGGCTGCCCCAGCGGGATTCTGCTGCAGTAAAAAACCCTATCAGCCCAACTCTGCACTCCTAGAGCAGGGAATGCTGCTGCTAAAGCATCCTTGAGAGGCACAGGAGTGTAAGAACAACCACAAGAAGTGTGAGGTGTCTCAGAGCAGGTGGCATTGACAACCCTCTCCGATCACCTAGCACCCTGTCTGAAATGCAGCCCCTAAACAGAGGGAAGGGGAACAAAATCCCATGGGGAGATTTTGTTGCACTATGCAAGAGCTTCAGACAAAGTCCAGGAGGAACGTAGAGATCACGCTGCAGTCTGTACCACCAAACAACAACCTTCAACCTTCAACCATTCAAAGGGACAAGGTGGTTGTGGCACAGGCTCAGGATGCAGTGTCTGCTTATCTGGGGGGATGTGGATGCACTGCACGTTTTGGCAAATGCTGTGTAGAGGCAGAAGTTGGGGTCACAGCACCCTTGTGTCTGTCAGGTGCAGCTCTTCCTGACTCTGTCCCTAGGAGCACATGGCTGCTCACTGTGCCCTGCCCTGCCAGGCAGAGCACAGTTCCTCTCACCTCTAGTCGGAGGATCTTCTCAATGTTGCCAATGTGCTCAGCCGTGAAATGCAGTGTCACTTCAAGCTCTGAGCGGGGATCAATGGTGCCATTATCTTGTGATAAGGAGAAGTCCTCAACAAGGTCATCCAGCCCACTGAGCTGCCAGGCCATGGGCAGTAGGGTGTTGTTTTTCAGGACCAAGGTCCTGCTGTCAGTCCTGCAGAGAGAGGAAGGCACTTGGCATCAGCTGCTGGATGGTCACACCAGCCTCACCACTGAATGCAACTCGGAGCAGCTCCATCCATGCCCCAGAAACCAGAGTCAAATGTTTTCTCTTTGTCACCAGTCTTGGAGTGCTTGTGGGATGACTGACCTGTGCAGAAGCAGCTTGTCAAAAGACAGCTGCAGGGGGCTGACCTCCAGCTTCATGTCCACCCCATGGCAGCACAGGCTGAAGACCACTGGCTCCGGGTTCTTCCCAATGCTGCAGATGAGTTTGTCTTCCAGGAAGCCAGGGCAAGTGGGGTATGCCCAAATGGTCAGCTCCTGGACATGGCCCCACAGGAAGAAATCAAAGGAGCTCTGAGTGTGAGCAGGAGGAGCAGCCCCTGGGCACTTCTACAGTGCCTGCTCTACCTGCCCTTCTCCTACCCGCTTCTCCTTTGGTTTCAGGGTCATGCGGCGAGGGCTCAGAAGGAATGTCTCTTCCCCATCATTCTCAAAGGAGAACTGGACCTCTGCATCCGTGGGGGAGTTGTTGAGGATGGTCAGATTCTCCGAGTTGCTGGGACAGTTCTGCGCCTTGTACCTGTCCACAAAAGGGGAAAAGGCTGCAGAGCAGACTGTTGCCTTTGCCACACACCAAGGAGAGCACCGTGTGCACCCGAGGAAGAGGTGCTGGAAGACCCCACTCTAACAAACAAACAAGTGAGGGAAATGGATCCCAGTCAGAGGCATGGCAAGGATCCTTGCCGTACTTTGATGCCTAACCCCTGGACTTGGTGCCTCCATCCCAGAAGCCTGATGATGCTCAGGCTACTTTGAGAGTTTTTAATACAACATAAATTCAAGGGTGCCTAGAAAAATAACAGTACACCAGGCACATTGGGTTCTTTCCCCTTCTTTCTTGGGGTGGCTTCCCTGCAGGATATAAAGAAAGGCTTTTGGAAAAAGAGTTTAGCTGATCTCTTTCATAGACTTTCATAAAAGTCATGAAACTGCTTTGGATTTCATGGATTAGCTCAAAGTCTGAGAGGAAATATAAAGCACCAATTCCCAAGAGGAATGCAAAGAGATAACAAATGATCCTTCTCTCGGGTGTGGAAATGACTTTGGAGTGAAAGGGTTAAAGAGGCAAACAAATCCCAAACCATCCATCAACCTGGCTAAAGATCGTCTGGTTTTTTAAACCATTTTAATTTCATTTCCTTGGGTTGTCAAAATAGACCGAACCCTCCAGAGTTCCGATGGAGACAAGAACTTTAATGCTATTAAAAAAACTAGTGACAGTAAAAGTAGAAATACACAATAGCTTCAATGACCATGTGTTTAGGCAGATTTTATCCAGCAGTGAGCATGCAATGCCATTACAGGAAAATGTAATTCCTGCTGTATGTTCCCCCCAACACCCATTTGCAGGTCAATAATAAAATCTTGTTATAATTACAGATGAATGAAAGTTTTACAAAACCATCTACAGAATAATTGCTTGATCAGGCTACCTGCAGAGCTCAAAGCACTTCAAAAACCACCATAAAGTTCATTTCCTAAGGGGTGAAGCTGAGATGTGGTGGGGGGAAGGAGTTGCCATCCAACATCTTTGGACTGGCGGCAGCACGCGGCTCTGGCCACCAAGGCAGCTACCAAGGCACCCACTGGGTAGGCAGAGCAGCTCCTCCAAGGCTCATTTGCCTCTTATCTGTTCAAGTTCACATCTGTGGTCCTTCAAACCTGTGTCTCTCCCAGGACTCTGCTGGAGACTGCCCTGGATTGTGCCACCAGGACAGCATGTCTCTCCAGGCATGTCCAGAAAAGTACAAGGCCCAGCAGGGAGCACATACCACTGTCTTGATTTCCCACACACCAGCGGTCCAAAGTGGAATTGCTTTGTGCTCTCAACATATTCCTTGAAGATGATTTCATCCTCCTCCATGGTCTCCCTCCAGTGTGGAAACACCAGCCTGGGCAGAGAAAGTGGGGAAGGAGGAGCTATGAGATGCTCCAAGTAGGAAATGTCATCAGAAAGCCATAACCCTTCCTGGTGGCTGAGGTACCATCTGCCTTCCCAGCTCCCAGCACAGGAGGAGGTGTTGGGCCACCTCAGGCAGCACAATCTGCCCAGGCCTGGCTGTGAGTCCAGGGGCAGCTGTGCTGTGGGAGGCTGCCAGGGCCCAGCCTTACCGAGGGTTCTGGCTGATGCTGGGGTAGAGGCCGGTGACACTGCAGGGCAGCTCGTACTGGCGCTTGGACAGCACGAGCTCTAACCTCAGTGTCTGCTCAAACTTCCCTGGCTTTTTGGCGAAGAAGTGGACCTTCAGTTCCACCTCACCCTGGGCAGGCACTTTCCACCGGTACCGTTTCAGCCTGGCAAATAAAGAGGAGGCTTCAGACATTGCTGAGGAGCAAATGAAGCAAGGAGGGTGCACTCGCCATCCCATGGAGGCACTGGCACAGGGTCACTGTGGAGCTGGGGACGATGGACCTTGTTTGGCAAGAGGACCAAGAAGCAGAGGCATCACCTCCTCTTTGTGGCTCACCTGAGGAATGCTGCAGGGGTTGAGGGTCTTTCCAGCACTTTCAAAGTACTTCTGGATCTTGTTGCAGAGGAATCCCGGGGACTTTCTGTTCTCTGTGTGGAGATCTTTGCAGACCTGACTCTGCTGACCACTTTACCCGTCTTTGGCCGCCTCTCAGCAGAACTGCCCTTCGCATCTGGGGCCTTGGCCTAAGGGGAGAGAGAAAAGGGAGGGAGAGGTGAGCCCTGAGACATCCCCGTCCTGGAGAGTAAAATGGGGGTTTGTTCACCAACAGAAGAGAGAATAAATACATAAGTCCACCTGCCCATGGGCTTGGTTTTCCTTATTGGTGCTTGTTTTGCCTAGGATGCCCCTTCTTATGCAAGACCTTCTCCTCAAAGGAAGTTGATGGTTTTAAGTTATTTTTTTCCTTCTTATCTTACAGAACTGCTCTGTTTCCAGCAGAGTCCCATCCCTGACAGAAAGGAGACCTGCAGACATGGGGCCCCCCCATCACATCTTCACTACCTCTCCACAATGATCGCTTTCCATCCAACCTGTCCCCCATGCCCCCATCCAGCCTGGTCCCTGCCCTGGCACCTTCAATGCCAGCACCACTGGAGCACCCACCAGATTGTCTCCCATGGCAGCACCTCCTGGTGCCACAATGGTGAAGGGCTCCACACGCCCTGCAGAGCCCAGCCTCTCCTCTGGGTACTCGACTGTGGAGAGCGCAGCACCAGGGGGAAGGGGAGGGCTGTCAGGATGCAGTCCCAGATCTTTCAGCAGCTAAACAGAAGAGAAAATCCTGTTGATACTTCTGTCACCTTCATCCTCACAACTCCTTCTTTAAAGGCACCGAGCTTTTGGCAATGGGGTTTTTGACTTATAGGAAGTACAAGCGCTTTGCTATGCCCAGTGGGGTGAGCAGGCTCCAGAGCAGATGCAAGAGCAACAAGCGGGACCAGGAGAGAAGCCTCTCCCAAGTGACTCAGCTGAAGAAAACAATGGCCATGAGCTGCCCTGTCCTGGGACCGTTTATATTGATTTCTGGAGACTCTGAACAGATGGGATACTTGTACACAGAGCACTCCCACTTCCTGCCCATCTGAGGAATGGTGATAACCTCCTCATTCACATAGATGCTACAGAGTCATTGTGGAACATCATCAGAGGTCTGGACAAGGCTCTGTGACATTAGCACCTGGGAGGGACGCAATGCTCCAGGGCCCACAACCACGGCAAGCTCAGGATCTGAGCCTTGCAGGGTTTTACCTGTTCTTCTGTTGGCAGCTTCCCATCCCTCAGGATCTCTCCAATCATGGCCTTTGGATCTGTGACCTGGATGTCCAAGCACGGCACCCCGACACGCTTGTCTCTGACTGCTCCTTCTGCAACTTTGCTTTGCGTCCCCGGCTGAGATGACTGAAGACTGCTTCGGCCTTCATGTTTTGGTTTAAGCTTCTTCTTCACCTTCTCCCAAGGCCTTCTGGTCCTCTGACCTTTGTTTCCAGCTGCTGGCTGGGACTTGTTTCCCTTTTGGATGATAGGTAACTGCACGGTACCCTGAACCCGGTCCCAGTAGGAGAAAACCTGTGCGATGTCCTGCTGTGATGACTCATAGATCTGAAACCTCAGGATCAAGTTCTCATCTGGGTCCTCCAGGACTTTGGTTTCCCCCTTCCCAGAGGCTTTGGTTCCCCTCTTCTGTGGGGGTTTGGGTGCCCCCTTCTCTGGGGCTTTGGTGTCCTTCTCTGGTTTTGCAGGCTGCCTCTCCAAGGAGACATTCTTCTTTTCCTCCTTCTGCCTCTCTTCCTCCACTAAGGCTTTTGCCTCCTCCTCAGGCTTTTGAGCCGGCTGCTTCAGCTCCCTTCAGCAAACAAAATAGAAAACATCGCTGAGAGTCACCACCAGAAACTTGGGCTCACTAGTCCTGGCTGGCCCTGCACTCCATTCCTTGATCCTGAGGCCATGGCAGAATTCATTTCTGTGGATTTTCCTCAACCCACAGAGGTTGGGAACATCCCAAGTGAGGGGATTGGTGGAAGGGGACCTCCAGGACCAGCCAAACCTAAGCCTTGCCATTGTAAGGCCTCAACTGTACAATCTCCCTCTTAAGGCACAGCCAGACACCTCCAGCCCACTGCCAAAGGCTGATCCACCAGCTCTTTGTGCTGATGCCTGAAAATGATCTTTGTCTCTTGACTTCCCAGTTTAAAGCAGAGCACAGATTGCTGACATCTGCTTATCTCTCCTACAATTCTCACTCAGCTCATTCAGCCCCCTTCTCTGTGGGCACAGCCTGCTCCTTAATGAGAATAATCCTATCAGTCAGAAAGCAAAGGCTGCAGGAACTCCTTTCCTGCAAGACAGGCTCCTGTCAGCCAGATTTCCTGCTGGAACCCAGCTGTGACCAAGCAAACTATCTGACCAAGTGCTATCTGCCATGGAAATGACTTGAAGCAGCCTCATCTGTCTCCTCCCCATGAAACCAACTTCAGCCTGGCCTGAAAGGAGTCCTGAGCTTCTTTAAGCACCTCCACTCCCAGCTCCACACTTTTCCTGTGAGTCCTGAGCTGGGCTGCCTTGCTGGAGCTGAGCTTCTCCTGTGCTTGCCCACGGCTGCAGCTGCAGGGGAGCCTAAAGGACATGAGCTTTTCTGGCTGCTGTCCCAGCATAAGGAGAACCCTGGCAGATCAGCACTGCAAGGACTTCATCTGGGGCAGGAACAGGACCCATACCAAGGGTTTGTCTGTGCCCCACACCTGCCCATACCACAATCTCACTGTTTTGGTGAAGAAGGGAGATGATGAAGAAGGTGCAAATCAACATTGTGGACTTGAAGACACCTCTAGAGGCAGTGCCAAGGCAAGCCCAGAGCCCAGCTCCCTGCAGGCAGCAGCTAAGCTGGGAGGGCTCAGCACTCAAAGAGAGAAGATGTTGTGTCTCAACAGAAGAAGGTCCTTCCTCTTTTGGGAGCCAGGGAGCTAAGAGAGTGGCCATCCTTGTGTTGCTTCTGGCCTTTGCTATCAAATACTTCTGAGCTCAAAGTCCTTGGAGCAGGGAAACCTTCCAGGGACAAAACTCTGAGCAGTAACCCATGGAAGGCTTACTCACCCCTCCGTCTGTGTACTCTTCCTTTCCTGTAATATTTTATCCATTTCTGCTTTCTTCTCCTCAGGGAGGGCATCATACTCATCCTCATCCATTTGCAAGATGTGTTCTGTGTTCCTCTGCAGAGCTTTTTCCTGCTGCAGTTCTTTAGCACAAACCAGAGGAGAAACAATGAGTGACTGCAAGCAGAGCTGGGTGCTCTGGGTCAGCTGCAGGGATTCACAGCTTTTCCCCACCCAGCCTATCATCCCAGGAGATATTGGGGAGCTCATATCCCTGCTCCAAAATTCAGACAATCTCCCAAACTATGGCCGAGCAGAGAGTTCCTGGACTTTGCCTGGCTTAAGTGCACCAAGGCTGAGGACAGTCGTTTGTCACTGAGCTACAGCAGCTGGCACTTGTGCCCAAGATTTAATGTTAGAGATTAAATCTAACATCTCTAACATCTGAGGTCTTTAAACCTCAGACCTCCTGCAACTCTGAGATGAGTGCTGGTTACACTGAGGCAGAAGGTAAAAAGATTAATAAAAACATTTCTTACAAGCTCTGCTGCAAAACCAGATACACAGAGATAAGGTTGAGGGCTTGATATAAGATTGAGAGAGAAGATTTGAGAGAAGGTATCTCACCTTCCTTCTCTCTTTCTGCTTCCTTCTTTCTTTTAGCTTTGTCCTTGGCTTTCCAAGAAGCATAATCCTGATGCAGGTACACCATGTAGATATGACGCCGGTTCTTGACAGCTTTGAGTACACAGAGCAGAGAAGACTCCAGGCTGCTTGTAAAGAGGCTCTCCAAGCCATCAAAGATCACTCCCTTGGAGCAGTCTTTCTGCTGCAAATAAAGGGAAGAGTAAGTCAGCCATTGCACGCAGGGGGCTCGCAGCTGGACAGTAAGCCCAGATGTCCCAGGGCACCAGCTATCCTTGTTCCAAGTGCAGTAGCTAAGAGCAGCTGGGACCTGTCCCTAGGCTCTGCCAGCTAAGGGCAGCTGCAGCTTCCCCCAGGGTTCCCTGCACACAGTCCAGGATCCTCCAGCAGCCTGTACAGACCTCCTCCTCCTCTCTGAGTCTGTTGTTCAGTGCCTGTCTCTGCAGAGCAGGAATGTCTCTTTTTCCCCCACCCCACACACCTTCAGCCTCTCACTGAGGATGTCCACCAGCAGCTCCTCGGGCAGCACACAGCTCAAGCAGTTCAGCTCTTCCCCACGACTGCTGATGATGTTCAGCTGCTGGGGTGCAGGAGCAGTGGAAACTGTGAACTGCAATGGGAACCAATGTAAGGAAAAGAAACCACGGTGGAAAGCCCTGAACAACTCCCACTGCTGGGCTTGGAGCTGGGGTTCCTCACTAGTGGAGACTAGAACAGACTAGCAGTGCAGGCTGGGGGCTCCAGGGGATGGTCCTGGAGGGCCCATCCCTTGGCCAGCAGAGACCTGAGCTTGCAAGCCCCAGTGCAGCCTCCCAGCACTTTGCTCCCTGCCTGCAGCCACACTAGCCAGGACTGCACTTTGCCAGCAAAGCACTGAGAACCAGAGGAGCTGTCTGCCAGAACACATTCCCAGCCCAAGTCATGGCACGATGGACCCACGTACCAGGCCCTGGCTGGCACAGAGCCTCCACTGTAAGCACTCCCTGCTCTTCTCAAAGACAATGTAAAGGTCCCAGGCATCAACCAGGGCAGATCAAGTTTACCTTGGTGTCCTTTATGTTGGGTCTGTTGGCTGGCTCCTTCTTCTTTTGTGCTGGAGGGTTCTTGCCTTTGGCATACTTCTTGTTGAATTTTTCCCCAGAGGCTTCTTTATTCTTCCTGTGAGCAGTGAGCTGAGGCCTTTTACCTGCACAGGGGACAGACGGTTCAGGGGGGCTTTGTAAAGCAAGCAGGCACCTTTCACTGCAATGGGCACAACCTTGGGCCCTGGAAGGAACATGGCACTTGTTCCCCAGTCTGCTGGGCACTGGCAGCACTGTTTCCCAGAAGCAGCTCCTTGCCTGCTTCTCTTACCAGCAGGTAAAAGCATGCCATACTTGATTTTAAAGCCAGCACTATGTCCCTCCTAACAACTGTGCATGCAGGTGATGCTGCTCGCTCAGCAGTTCCCCTGAGGACCAAGCCAGAGATTTGTCCTCCAGGAGCATTGTTTCCATACACTGCACCCATCCTGTATTCTCATGTGGAGACCTGCAGCCTGCCCCACTTGCATCATTTGTCTCCACTGAAGCTAAATCCTCCTTGTGGGAAAACCCCAGATGGGACTCAGACTCTTCTTCCTTCCACCAGCTCCCAACCCAGCCAGGTTCAAAACTGAACACTGCAAAACTTTCCCCTGCACTGGACCAGGTCTGGCCTCACCCTGCAGTGCTCAGGGCACCAACTGCCCAGGAAGTTTCATAAATGTCTCCAGTCTCACATGGAGAACAGCCCAACGAGCTGTGTAACCTGACAGTGGCCATAGATAATTCTCTGGAGAAAAGAGCTCATCTGGACCATGTCTCTGATTGGAAATTCCTCTGGGAGGCTGTCCTTCCCTTCCTCTTGTTTGCAAGGTTACACTCATAGTCAGCCCTCCTGTGCTTAATGAGTCACTTCAGAAGGCTTTTTCCTTGTTCAGGTGGGCAGCAGTTCTGCCTGCTGCCCATGAGGAGCAAGCTCAATTCAGCTTTGAGGAAATATAAAATATTTGGGAAAGAGACAGGCGTGCTTCAACACTCCTAGAAAAACAAACATGTTCCAAGAATAGCAGAAAAGGGGGCTATAAAAGAACCCCTGACTGAGCCCTTAAAAGTATTTTTTTTTAAACAAGCCAGAGACACACTTCAGCCATGTTCCCTGAGAGACACAAGGACTGGAAAACTGCCGCTCTGAGTAAGCAGAAGTGGACAGTCGTGGTGGGTTTCTCAAGCACTGGCTCTAGCATTTCTCCTTACCAGCATCACTTTTGTGTTTACCTTTTTGCTCCATGGCAGCCTGGGTGCAGAGCTCCCGGGCACGGAGCCCCGCTGGGCTCCCGTCCTTGGCCATGGCCTCTTTCACCGCGGTGTCAATGGACACGCAAGCAGCGTCGTAATACTGACACAGGCCTGCTGCTATCTCTGTCTTTCCTGAGAGAGAGAGGAGGGCTGCTTGGTGACACTGGCACAGGAGGCATTGCAGGGACAGGCCCTGGAAAAACCTCCAACAAGATTTAAAGGTTAAAAGGACAGTGGGAAAGCAGGTGTCCCTCCAGGGGAGGCCATGAGGGAGGCAGCTGCAGTGTGGGTACGAGCTCTGAATTCCAGAGCCAAGAGGATCATCCAAGAGAACCACCTCCTGTTCAGCTGAGGACTTTGCCTTAAGCACCATGGCCCACCAGGATGTGCTCCTCCTGCTTGTCCCCCTCCCCACAGCCCTGGGCTGCAGCTCACGTACCTGCCCGGGGTGGCCCATGGACGATGACAACCATCCCTCGGTGACTCCCAGTCTCTTTCAGCAGGGACTCAGGATTGAACAGGACAGTCCTGTGATGTGCTGCAGTGCAAAACCAGGGGGAAAAGTCAGCCTCCTGCCTACCTTTGATCCTCATCATCCTCCCCATCTCCTCAGATCCCAGGAAAGGAGACTTGGTGAAAGCAACATGAGCTTGTTCTTTTGTTGCTATGAAGGTGCAAATATAAAAGAGCCAGTGATATTAGACCTGGTCCTACTGGCTGAGGAACTCATCCAGCCCTAGTCTTTGTGGCTAAGGGAGACAAGGGAATATTCTGATTATTTCCCCAGTCTGTGGCAGGAGCTTGCTTTGGCTACACCCAGGATTGGAAGAGGATGCTACAGCCCTTCAGCCAAGAGTTCCTCCACCAAGCTGGGGAACAGGCAGCTGCTAAAAGCATGGGCTTTCCCTGGAGAGCAAGGTGACAGAGAGTTCAGGGTGCATGGGCTGGACTCCCTGCTGTGACCACAGTCCACACAGGGACACTGGCAAACCCTCACTGTTTTTCTGACCTGCTGCTGCCTTGCCCATGGCCTTGGCTTCAGCCTCAGCCCTGGCCTTGAGCTCTGCCTTCAGCCTCTTCTGTGCTTCATGGTCCTCAGACCTCACTGCCATCCGCAGGATCTGTGTGTGGAGGGAAGAGAAACCATACACAAGATTCCTTTTCTTGCCTTTCCTCACACAGATTCAATAAACCTATTTTCTGGCTCCTCCCTTCCTCCCAACAACACAAACTATTTAGTTTAGGTCCTCCCACAGCATGTCAGCAGAGCTGGCTTTGCCCTGGGGATTGCCTCCATCTCCCTGGCACAAGCCTGGGAATGCTGGAGTGCTGTGAAGCTTGGCCAGCGTGTCCATGGGGACCAGACCTGCCTTCTCACCTTCTCCTTCTCAAGGTACTGCTCATCAAAGTCCAGGGCGTAAAACTCAATGGGAAATTTGCACGGGTTCTTCACCACCACTGTGGCTTCCACCCCATCGCTGTCCACCAGCATCCATCCTATCTCTAGTGCTGGGGGTCTGAACTCCAACCGTGGCTCCAGACCTTGTCCTGAGAGGTACAGCTTTAAGCGATTGCTGCTCCCATAAATGTTAAGCTCCAGCTCATTACTGTAAGACCTCTGTAAAGAGAAAAGTGCAGGAAACTCATCCATGAAATCTCAGATGACAGGACCCCAAATACAATGCTTGCCCCAAGGCTGGGGTGTTATCAGTCTCTCCAAGGTAAATGGAAACCAGGTATTTACTTATGCTAGGGACTAGAGCATCTGTAGTAGTCTGGGTCTGAGTAACTGGGATGAACGCTGGTGTGCACTGTAACTGGGTATTTGGGAATCAGATGGATGTACAATGGACTGTCAGACATTTTCACCTAGTCATGCAGGAGTGCAATGCTTATGGGAAGGGCCCTCGAGGTTACAGTGTCCAGACACAGTCCTGGCACTGCTGCATCAGGCAAATGCCAGCTCCAGGAGAGGCAAATGAGCTCTTGCTGGCCAGAAATAAGGGTTGCAGCAGTGTCTCTCAATTGTCAGCGTCCGGCTAGCTCCCAGCACTGCTAGCAGCACGAGGGGACACTTCTCCCGAGAGCTGGCTTCGGGATAGCGCCTAAGGCAGTGCCCGGCTTGCGGCTGCAGGCACACCTTGTGCAGGACGGAGTCTAGTAAAGGCTGCAACCAGCGGAAAGAAGAGGGCAGACTCCAACTGTGGCTTAATCCAGGCTTTAATTAATCCCGGAGGGACCGACAGGAGAAGACGGGGGGGGGGGGGGGGGGGGGGGGGAAGAAGGGGGGGGCTGACAAGGTTTTAAGGGTAGGGAGGTGCCAGGCATTGGGCCAATGGGGGTGCAGTGGGGAGTGGGGTCCAAGGGATTGACACGTGGGCAACACCAACAGGAAACATTCTGGGGAGGGGCCCCGGTTCCTCAGCCGACCATCGAACTCCCCTGCTGGAACATTCTAGCAGTAAGGGTGGGCAGTGAGAGTGATTGGCGGGGTACCGGGGAGGGGTCAGAAGAAAAGATCCAAGGGTTTCCAGGGAAACCAGGGCGGAGTTTAGGGGATACATTGTTGGCTGGGGTGGAGCCAGGAAGACAGACAGCTCCAAAGGCGGGAAGGGAGAACTGGGGCAGAACCATTTTCAGACAGAAGGGGATTGGAATAAAACAACCTAATAACTTAACAAAACACACTACAACAAAGGGTCATCTTCTCTGCTTAGTGTTTGGCTCTGGTCCAAGCCAGACACAAGATGGTTACATTTCTTGAGCAATTAAAAGATCCCTGGGACTGTGTGTGGGCACAGAAGCACTTGTGGCCATGCTGGTACACGCTGCCAGTTTCCGAGACCCAGCAGCCACAGGCAAACCACTTTTGGGAATGCTTTGTCCTTTAAGCTGAATCCCCAGCTGCACAGGAATGTGCAGGCAGGCCAGAGCCCCAGGGACTGCTGGCAGCACCCCACTACAGGTGACCGTCCTGCCGTGCCCAGGAAGGTGGGGTGGTGGCTGTTTGGTCTGTCAGTCCTGCAGCAGGATGAGCCATTCCAGGATTATCCTCTGTGAGTGGGCAGCTGCTCTGCACTGAGTGTCACAGCTGCAAATACAGCCAGGCAAGGGGGAGGCTGAGGGGAGCTGGGCACATCCCCCCCATGTGCCAAGAGGCAGCCTCAGAGCCCTGGTGCTCTCTGTGCAAGCTCCCTGTGGGCATTTCAAAGCACATCTCACACGAGTGCTCTGTGGGGTGAACTGAGCCATGCAGAGTATGGGGCTTGCAGAAAGCTCCCTGTGAAGGCAGAGCTCCTACCACACTCTCTGCACCAGGCCCTCATTTCCAGACAGCCCTGACAGCCTCCTGGGCTAACACCCGCCAATCTCACCTCTTCCTTGGGTGTAAATTTGATTTGCAGATTCTGGCACCTTCCTGCACCAAGAGTTCCTCTGGGGGGCTTCACTTCAAAGGGACAGGGCTCATCCTCCAGCGCCTGCTGCTTCTGATGTACGGCTGGTGTCATGTATTTGCACTGATTGCTCTGGGCACAGAAACCAATCATGTGAGGTCTCCTTGTGCTCTGAGACACTGACACGGTGCTGAGAGCACCCACAGCCAAACCAAGTGTGGGCCCCATAGCCTACAGCAGGAGGGAAGCCCTGGAGACAGGGCAGGCAGATAGGGAACTACTGTCCTCAGAGGAGGAAGAGGAATGGGTGAAGATGGCAGCAAAGCAAAGCATCAGCTAATGGAACAGCTCCAGGCAAACCAGCCTTGATCTAGACCCTCAGAAGCTTCCTCAAACACGCTGTAGACCCAAGTGCTCAGGCAGCCACAGGAGCAGAAAGGGCAAGAATCACAAAAAAAACCCAACCAAGAAGTTCCGTCTTCAATGTTGCCTGTGCTTTACCTTCTGAACAGGCTTTACGGACCATCTGCAGGGTACTCGGAACCAGTTGTAGAGATGGACTGTCTCAACCTTGCACTGCCCAACCACGACAGCAGAGTAGTGCAGAGTGTTCTTGGAAAGTTCGATTGACAGTTCAGACACATTGGCATGAAGATGGATGTTATATGTGGGGCCTTTTGTCACCTGGAGAAGAACAGAGAATTCAGCGGAGCGTGCAGGTGACATCTGCTGCCCAGCCTGCTGCCTGCCCCAGGAGCTGTGGTACCTCTATGGGCAGCAGCACATCCACATCCCCCCGTGGCCGCCGCGCACTTTCAAAGCGCACGTCAAATTTCTTGATGTAGCTGTGGGGCAGGCCCTCCACCTCGTCCAGGTCCACACTGAAACCTTGAAGAGATGAACACAAAGCAGCTGAGATACACCAGAAATACAAAATGTGTCATAAGCACATTAAGGCCTTACAGGTGTCCTGGCTGAGAGGTCTGGCAAAAGCCCCACGCCGTGCTGTGACCTGGACAAAAACTTAAGAGTGCACCTGAACACTGCTCAGACACAGTGAGCCACTGGGGGATGGAAGGGCAGCCTTGCCTCAAGGCCTCTTTTGGAAACCTCTTTTGATCCACCAGAGGATCTCACAGGCCGTTTCCTCAATAAAGGCTGAATATAAGTTCTGTGACAGTGTGAACTCCAAACAAATCACTTCAAAAACACAGCAGACCCCACTGGTTGGCAAAACAAGCCCACAGAGTGCCCAAAGAAACCTGATGCCCATGGGAGCCAAGGGCAGAATATGCTGAGAGGTGACCAGGGCGATGAGCCCATCTGGCCTCTACACAGGAGCACTAGGGCAGTCACAGGCAGGCCAGGTCCCTGGGCATGGCTGGCCAGGGGAGTTCTGCCTCTAAAGCTCCCAGCAGGGGCACTGAGAAGAAAAAGCTCAGAAACCTCCCCAAGTTCAATGGCTTAAGCTAATCTGTCTGAGACACCTCCTTCAAGCCCACAGGAAGTGTCTCCAGCACTGCTTACCTGTGTCCTCCAGGACAGATACATTGACCTGGAAAGACACTGGGATCTGCCCATGGTTGGTGATCTCCAGAGTGCTTCTCTCAGTGAAACCCTTCCGGACAGTGCCCATGTCCAGGACATACTCGGGCAGCGCAACTCTGCAAGGAAGATTAAGGACAGTCCTTAAACCACAGCCTGGCTACACATCCAGGTGGATGGAGGATACAAATACAGTGGCTATTTCTTTATTCACTGCTGTAAAAAATCAGCTCAAGCCCATGAAACCCATGGCCTGACCACCTGGCAATGACTTTGGGAAGTCAGGAGTGCAGGTCCTAGGTTTTTTCAGCTACTAATGGTACCTGAAAATAAGTTTAAAATGGACACTGGCCACAGCTCCTCTGCCATGAAAACCCAGTGTAAGTGAGAATACTAAGTCTCCACTGGTCTCAATGAAACTGCGTAGCCTGCCGTACAGCCTGAGCCTGAAATTGCTTTGGGGTCTAGGAATAAGGTTTGCCTGCACAGGAAATCTTCGTTGCTCTGCAACCAGATCACACGATCTGTTCTGCAGAGCATCTTCTTCCTGAATTGAAGCTCCCATGCTTGTGCTGCATCATGATGGTGCAAAGGGATGGACCAAGTTACCTAGATAAGCCCTGCCACCCCACCAGGGTTCAAGCCATCTGATGTTGGGTTTTAAAGGGTTTGCTGACATGTGCAGTTCCCTTCTCCTTTTGTTCAGTGTCACAGCTGCACAGCTGTTAGTTGGAAGCAAGACTTCAGCTGGGAGCTGTCTCTTTCAGAGCTAGTCAGCAGGGACAGAGTCTATGCTGTCTGGAAGGGCTTGAAGGTCTGCACTGGGTCCCCCAGCTCTAGGGACAGAACCCCACAGCTGTGGGGAGCTGAGCAGTCCAAAGCTCAGCGTGGTGCTGGGGAAGGAAGGACACTCCACTGCTCACAGGCAGTGTGTCACAGCCACCAGAGCCTTTCTGTTCCCAGCTCTGCAGACCCAAGGAGCTCTCAGGAGAAGAGGACATGGCTGGGTGTTCCCCTGGGGCACCTGGAGATGGGAGTCCCTACTCACTTGACAAGGCTCTGGCACAGCTCCTTGTCAGGGAAGCTGCTCTTCGGGGGCTGGGATGTGAGCTTTTCCTGCAGCTCCAGAGCAGCCTTCTCTATCAGCTTCCTCACCATGTTTATCTGCAGCTGACTGTTTGGCTGAGGAAAGGGAAGACAGGGGCTGGTTAGCAAAGGTCCTTCCCAAGGTTTACACCTGAGAAAGGATCCCACCCCACTCTTGTTGGGAGGGGGTGTGGGATCCTCCTGTCTGGCTGCTCAGTGCCTGTGACACCTCCTGCTCTCTTAGCCAGGACCTCATCTCCAGGGAAGTAACTCCAGCATCTTTGCCTGCCCAGACACTGTCAGCAAAGCTGATCTGGCCAGGCAGACAGACAAGCCAGGAACCTTCCAGAGCTCCAGATACTTGCCTGCCCCCAGCCAGTACCCAAGCAGCTTGGACAAAAACTGTCTTGAAAGGGGGACCAAGCTAGTGCTTCTTGGAGATGAGCACCTCCAGCACAGCCCCAGGGCACAATCAGGCAGCTGCTGTTAAGGGCTGTAAATCTGGCAGGGCTTGGGTTGGAACCAACAAACTGCCCAGCAATGACCTGCATCTCCTTCAAAGCACAATCAACTCCATCCCTGGAGCATGGCCTTCAGGATCTCTCCCTGGGCTAGCCAGGAAGCTGCTGCAGCCCCAGAAGAGACCATGAGCAGAGGGGCAGCCCTAGGAGCAATGCTGAGGTGACACAAGGTTGTCAGTGGGCAGGGAGGTCCCAGGTGCCATCAGGGCAGTGGGGAGCTGCTGTGGGCTGCAAGGGGCTCAGGTGACATGGAGAGGGTGGCCTGTGCCAAACAATGGCTGCAGTTGTTCTTACTACAATGCCAGAGTCAAGGATGCTGGGCTGCAGGTCCTGAGTCTTCGGAATCAGACTCTTTGGAGTCTCAATTTTTGGGGTCTGAGTCTTCTTCTGAACAGCTGATTTATTCCTCTGACTGTATTGTTGCAGGGGTTTCATGAGCTGTGTCAGAGGCTTCTCATGTGTTTCTTTTCCTGAAGGAAGAAAACATCCACAAAGAGAAGTGTGAGCAAAGTGCCAGTCCCATTGAAGCTGGGAAGTCCCTACCTCCCAACACTGGTTTCTTCCAGAAATCCCTCAAGCCATCTATGGGAAGTGGATGCTGCTGCTCCTCTCTGAATCCTCATGTTCGCTCCCACCCATCTCCCTCCCCACTGAGGAGCAGCTCATCCCCTGCAATGTCACACAAACCCAACCCTGCCAGAAGCCCTGCCAGCCTCTCTTACAGCTTTCCCAAGCCTTTCACTCTAGCCATCGTCCTTCAGGATCCTGCCAGATGAGCTGGCAGGCTCTGCAGGGTGGTTCCTGGGACAAAGTTCACATGGGATCCTCTGCTCAAGACTCATGAAGCAACTAGGGGGCTTGACTTGGTCTGGGAGTCCTGCAACCCTCCAGGCTTGGTGGAGGTTGGCATGAGCTGCCCTCAGGGCCTATGGTAGGGAATGAAACCAGAGGGGCCCTTCCTGGGGGCAGACAGGCAATGCCCACCTTTGATGTTCCAGGGCAGGTTCAAAGTGATCATAGGAAAGGATGCCTCTCCTTTCAGGAAGATATTTTCTGGTTCCAGGTCACCCACTTGAAGCTGATAAGTCCTGCTGAAGGCTCCTGGAAATCCAGGCATGTAAGAGAATTCCAGCACTTGCTTCTCACCAGGTGCAACAGAGCCCTGCATGGACAGGAGAAGAGAGAGAGAATGCATCAGAGTGTTTGATGGGGATGGCTCAGGGCACAGACAGGCTGAGCAGACAGGTTCTCATCTAGAAGAAACCATCAGACCACATCACCTTAGCGATAAACATATTACAGTGTTGGCTTTCACAACTGTTAGAGTAAATACTATGTGGTTTATAATGTTGACTTTTGTAAAAGAAGTTTTGCTAAAGTTTAGAGTTCTTTTAATGCGAATGTTGTGTTGTGATACCAACGTTGGTGAAGAGTTGTTGTAGTATTAACACTTAACCAATAAAGGAATGGAAACCTGTTGAATGTGTCAAAAAGTAACAAATGACCAGGACTAGAACAACTGCACATGCTCCAAAAAGGTGAGACAGAGGAGGAACTATGTTAAAATATTTCAATATGTATAAGCATTTGTAGATATGGATTAGGCTGATGCAGTACCCAGGGTGTATCAGGGGTGTTGCTGTGTTGACTGGTCTGTGCCTCTGGCTAAGCACCCAAGCCAAGCCCTGCTGCCGGCCCATGGAGCCCGGCCCCGCTGCCGGCCGATCCAGCCCCGGCCCCGTTGCCGGCCGATCCAGCCCCGGCCCCGCTGCCGGCCGATCCAGCCCCGGCCCCGCACGCTGGTGCGGTTGGCAGCATTTGCTCCATCTGCCGAGCAGGAGCCGACACAGCGCCTCAGGGCTCTAGCAGTGACGCTCTGTCCCCGTCCTCTGTTGCTCTCTCCGTTTCTCATTTTCTCTCTCACTCTCTTTTCTGTCCCCTTCTGGTCGGGACCATACCCTTTCTTTACCAATAAACAGTTTTCAGATATAAGGGTGCGTTTGTGCCTTATTTTCCTCTGAGAAATCTATCAAAAAGAATTCTCCTCTGCTCCCCTTCCAGCAGGACAGGACAGTGACCCACACACCTGTGCCTCCAAGCGGTGTCTGCCTCTGACAGCAGAGCCACCCACCAGCCAAGGCCGTGGGGGAGTCTGTCAGGAGAGCACTTGTTTGACCTTCTCTGCCCACAGCAGAAATTGCTTACAGCCCTGTCTCTCTCATGGCTGGGTTTGGGGTTTTCCTCTCCGACTTTCCCCCTCCCTCCCCCCAGTTTTTTTTTTTCCCCTTTAACACTCTCCGGGGCCACCTGACACAGGGCTGGGCTCAGTCACTTGTGCTACTTACAGTGGTGGGGTTGACCAGAAACACACCAGGCAGACGCTGGTCTGCAGGGCTAGGCTTTAGCACCCAGTTGAATTCAATCTTGCCAGTGTTCTCCAGGGTGACCTTGCTGTGATGAATTTCATTAAACATCTGGAGAGAAGGCACAGGAGAGGGAAGTTACAGACCCAGGCCTGTTGCTGGGAATCTCCTTCCTCCCTCCTGGGCTTGAAAGCAGACACATCATGGGAGCAGGCACCAGGGAGGAGATAGGGGCACTTGGGAACCTGGGGAACCCCCAGGCCCAGGGCACCTGCACAGCACCAGGGAGCCCTGGCAGCACACAGAGCTGTGGTAACAACCATGTGAGGGCCAGCAATAAATGAACCAGGGCACACAGGCCCTCTGCCCTCTGAGGGGTCACCAACAGCCAGGAGAAACAGAGACAGCACTGAGGCATTCCAGGAGAAAAGGCACCTGCATGCAAGTATTGGCAAGCAACATGCATGCAACAAGGGAGTCACCCAAGGCAACACAGACAGGGCCAGCAGCTGGAAATATCTGTGGGCTTTCCACTGAAAAAGAGTGAAGTGGGGATTATTCTGGGACAGTCTCTCCAAATATAGTGACTGGAAGCCCAACTTCTTCCCTTGATTATTGTGTGGATTAAGCAAGAGCTTTAGACAAGAGCATCTCCTTGGAGGTCAGGCTTTAGGTGTGGATCAGCAGAGAGATGTCTCAGGGACACACCCCTCAGAGCACCCCCACTGGGACCCTGCCTGCCCCAGAGGCAGTGTTAGGTACCCTGAAAAAGAGGCATTCCCAGCATTGTGGAGAGGGTTGGAGATGGCCATTTTAGAGCAGCTTGGATGCCAGATGTGTCCCTCAAAGGTTGGACTTCCAAGCCCCAGAGCCAACAAAGGGGCTGGGAAGGGGAGGGAGCCCTGGAGCGAGGTGGGCAGGAACCCACCAAGGCAAGGAGCTGTGCCAGGGATGTGTGTGGTACCTGAGAGCCACAGTTGGTCTCCCGGGGGCTCACGGAGTAGCTGATGCATGCAGTCTCCCCAGTCAGCACCACCTCGTAGGTGGGGCCTCCCTCCACGTGGCACAGCGCCGTGACATCGGAGATGGTGTTGAAATGGCTACAGAAGGTGAAGGAGACCTGCTGGCTCTCTCCTGGCTGCAGCACACCAGACAGTGGCAGGATACTGAAAACCTGGAGGACAGGAGAGATTGAGCTGTTGAGCATGGAAATGTATGCAGAAGAGCATCTTGGAGCAAAGTGCAGCTGTGACAGCAATAGGCCCAGAGGGGCCTATTCCCCAAACACTGCCAGAATCACCCTCATCTCATCTTGCATCCAGTGCAGGGACCATGGGGAAAATCTTCTCCCATCCTCACGGGTCAATGCATTAATTAATACACTACATTAAAGTAAATGTCTCCTGGCAGTAGAAATTCTCTCTGATGCACAACTTGCCTTTAAAAAGCCTTTCTTACTGCTTTTAGAAAAGGTGGACACTCAGAGTGAGAGCTCTTGGAGCTCAGGGAGCTCAGAGAAGAACTCCAGCCCAGCTCATCTGACTCCTGAGGCCTTTCCCCTTTCTCTCTGATATATATGGTGTGCTCTCAAGGTGCCTCAGCAAAAGCTCCTGCAAAACTTTCCTATGAGATGAGGTCCAGGGGGAGCAGTGCCCTCCACAGGTGCTGAACAGCGTCCTTGGGCAGCCCTACAATGTGTCCTGCAAGGCCTCTCCAACAAGCAGCTGCTCCAGCAGCACTTTGTGATGGGCCTGCAGGGATGGGAGGTCCCTCTGTGGCCAATGCTGAGGGCCCCCAGTGGCACTGGCAGCTCCAGTCCTGCTTGCCACACTGACAATGGGCAGTGAGATTCCCTCTTACCTCCTCTGCTTCCAGGGGAGTGTGCAGTACATCTGTGGGGGAGATGGTTCCCACCAACCCTAGTGGGATGTAGTACCGTCCATGAGTTTCTGCTGGCACCTGGAAAACAAGCCATTTTCTGTGCTGGGAGGAAGAGACAGCCACTTTGCAAAGTCTCCCTTTGTAAGACAGCTCCAGCAGGGCAATAGCAGCTCTGGGTGAAAGCAGAGCCCTGCAAACAGGGAGTCTGGCTGCCTTGGGAAGAGGCTCCATGGAGATCAGGATCATCCCAGCTTGCTCTGGGAGGCAAGCTGGAGGTCTTATCATCATGCTGCATATAAAAGCCTCATCTTACATTGTGAAGGAAACAAGGCAAAAAAATCCCACACTCAACACAGGTCTGTAGGATCTGAGTGAGCTTCTCCAAGGAAAACTCTCCTATTTCTCCCTCCCACACACTCCATGTCCAGCCACTGGCCCTGCTGCCGAGCCCACTCTCAGGGCACAGCACAGCAGGGCAGCAAAAAGGGAGCTCAGCAGCACAAGCACGACTTGTTGGTGGCAGGCTGGGGAGGCAACACAAGCACTAGGTGTACAAGAAAATCTACCTCTGCTCCTGGAGATTGGGCAAGATCCTGAGATTCTTTCAGGGCTGTGACTGGCTCCTCCACATTTCTAATCCTGAGGCGTCTCCTTTGAGATGCTGAGGAATGCAGACTGGGTCTCTTCTCCTTTGGTGGTTGGGGTTTGAATTTATTAAGCTCATATCTGGAATATAACATAACTATGAACAGGGACCTGCAGTGGGAGGGAGGGACACCTGCACCAGCAGCTCCTGGCCAGGATGCAGCCCCTGGGTGGGTGCTGGCACACTGAACTGAGAAATGGTTGGATCCAGCCCTTCCCAATCCAGGCTGGAGCAGGTCTGTTCTAAGGGCAGCCCAGGGATGACACTGAGGTGCTGCAGCAGCTGCAACTGCTTGCACTGTGCAACTACAGAGGACAGGCATGAACACCTGGTGGGGATGCAAAAAGCACAGTGGGAGTGGCAAAGACAGAGAAGGCAGCAAAAAGGTGAGATCTGAGGCACCAAGGGGTAGAGCTGGCCACTGATGAGCCAGCACAGCCCCCACCCCCAGTGCCCAACACCAGAAACTGCAGCTCTACCAGGGATTTATCAGGAATATTCCCCTGACACTGGTGGGGGGTTGGTTGACATTGTCCAACACTCCCAGGTGACTCAGGTCACATCCCCCATTTTAAATTGAAGCAGGTGCTCAGGGTAACTCTGCTTGTGTTTCTAATGCCATGTGAGGGACACAGCTGAGCTGTGCCTGCCTGTCACCCTGCTGAGCTGCAAGTGCTCCCCACAGTCAAACACCACCTGGATGCTCCATTCCCAGACAGGCCTGTAATGACCTGCTCCCCAAAGAATCACTGTCTTTAGCTTTGTAGCTTGTTATCTAAGCCCGGGTTTCATTTCTGGATGAGGTGCTCTCTCATCATAACCCCCAAGAGATCCCTAATCATCTATTCCACTGTCTTTAGTTGTAATGAATGGTTTGAGGCAACTTCCCAGGACCATGGTGCCCAGACAACGACATTTTTCACTCTAAAGTAGAAACTCTCTGGGAGGCAGGGATAGGAGATGATGTGATGAACAAGTCCTGCTGTCAAGCACTACAGAACCCATAAGGGACATGTTGCAGTGAGGGAAAGTCAAAATGAGTATCAAGTGTCACAAAAAAAGGAGTGAAGAATCCGAGGTGTCCACTGAAAGCTGACCCCTGGGAAAGAAATCGTCCTGGCAGTAAAGGAGTTGTCTCAGAAAAGAAGGGAAGGCTGTTCAGCTGGCTGTTCAGCATCAGCCCAGGCACTAAGTAGCTCTTTGTCTGGTGTTGGGACTGTCTGGGCATCCTCCAGCACAACACAAGGGAGGAAGGTGAGGAGCAGAGAGCAGCTCCTGCAGAGAGGACCCATCCCAAAGCAGAGGGGCCAGAAGGGCCTCCAGCAGCACTGTGGGAGCTGGGACTAGGAGCCCTTCATCAAGGTGGACATTGCCTCATGCCACAGAAGTCTGAGAAAGCAGCTTTCACCCCAGCTTTCCTTCCCAGGGAAACCACTGGGAAGGGGGCAGCACCAAATTGGTAGAAAACCCATTGCCTGAGCATCCAGCCTGAGCACAGCTGGTCGGTGTTATTTGCATAAGAAAAGGTCAGAAGCAGTCTGTGAGATCCCAGGCAAACAGTACAAACAGGACACCAGCAAGAAGAGCTTCAAGGAGAGGGCAAAGGTGCACATACCTCAACCTGTAAACCTGGCTCTTGGAGTGGAATGACCAGCGGTACTGGACGGGCAGTGGGCTGCAGTTGGTCATCTCCAGGGAACGCACTTCTTCAGCACCAGCCACGATGCAGCCAAACTCCAGGGAGCTGGGCTGCATCTGGAGATTTGGAAAGTGCACTTCTCCCCACAGGATGATGCGCTCCACAAAAGGATGGCCCCTGACCAAGTTTATATTCAGAACCTTCTCTTTTTTCCAGGTCTTAAAATCCAGTTCATAAGCTGGGTCAAACACGATGTAGAGATGACAGGTCTCCCCTACATCCACTCTCACAGGCTGCAAGGAGATGAGCAGTAATTAATCACCTGTGGGATGATGTCCCAAGGTCTGACAGCATGAAACAGTAAATGCTCCAAGTGACCCCAGCACGGGCTTCTCAGTTCATGGTTCATCTCTCTCCAGCAGGGCTCTGGCTGCAGGCACCACAGTCCAGTCCAGGATCCCTCAGGCTCTCGTTTCTGTGCTCAGCCCCAGTACAAGGGGGTGGCTGCTGGAGAGCTGGCATGGCTTTCCAGGAGACACCTTCCCTGCATGGCTTGCCCAGACCCAGCTGCCTGCTCCCTTCTCCCTGTGCCTTAAAGCCAGGATGGATCTTCTCAATTCAGATAAGATTTTGATTCCTTCAGCAGCTTTGCTGATGCAGCTCAGGCCAGCCCACTGCTGATGCTACAGAATAAACTTCTTGACTCAAGGAGCTCCCAACAGAAAGGCACCACCACATCCCTCCTCTTCAGACCCCACTGGAGGAGGCCAGGGCTGCTCACCTGGCCATCTGGGAGGGGCTGCTGCTCCTTATCACAGACCAGGAACGGCCGCTCCAAGTCCAGCATGAGGTCCAGTGGCAGCATGCAGGTGTTTTTTAAAGCCAAAGGCTGGTACTTCAGCCTCAGGACATCACTGGGTTTCTATGGAAACAGGAGAGAAGGAAAACCAGCCTCAACTAGCCATAGACGTCCTTCTGCTTCTGATGCATCTCACATTCTTCAACCCCACAAGTGCATCCATCTCTATTTACCCTTTCTATTTGTTTCTACCCTTCCAGACAGTTTTTCTTTATAGCAGATGCTTTTCATGTTTAGAAACCACAGCATCATCTGGGGGACAGGGAAACACTCCCAAGTACACATGAGGGAATAAGCCCCTGAGAGGAGGTGGCTGCTTGAACAAGATCTAAAGCAGAAAGTGAATCCAGGCCATTTGTCTCCAGATTTGTCTTTCTGTTGGGCAAAACAGCACTAGATGGTCCTCATTCCCATACAGTCATTTCTCACAACCTTCCTGGCTCTAGCAGCCTCATAAAAGCCTGGGCTCTTCCTTCCTGTCTGTGCATTGTGCTGGGCTTCCTGCATGGTTTAGAGAAACCAGGGACTTTGGGAAGCCAGTTCTGGAGGTACTGATACCAAACAGGTGCTGTGCCATAGTATGCAATAAATCAGTTTGTGTGTGTGGCATTGAGCAGAACCCAGGCAGAATCAGGGAGAGCTGAAAAGCTCCTAAATTACATCTGAACTGCCTGTTCCAGGGGGGATTCTGTACTTCAATGGAAGCCTGGGAAACCAGAGGAGAGGCCTGAAACTACAGAAACCAAAGGATGAAAGATCTTCTCTTTTTTAGACAACTTGCAGGAGAGGGAAAGGTGATGCTGGAGCTGGGATCCAGAGACTAAAGGGCACCTGCTCTGCCTCAGTGTTATCACTGCAGCTGCAAGATGTCTGGGGGTCCTTTGAAGCAGGTGAGACTTAGGGAAATGCACAGAGCTGTACCATATAACTATATCATAAAGTGTTCATGCCAATAGCAGAGAAGGCAAAGAGACACAGGAGGCGATGGGTTTTTCCTTGTCAGCCTGAGGAATTCACAGGAATCTCCATTTTTCCCAGCTTCCCTACAGCATCAGTGTACAGACATCACCGTGCCATGGAGCATCCTCCAAAACCTCCCTTTACAGTGAGCAGAGAAATTGGCATTTCTCTGGAAGTGGCCACGATCCCCCTTGGCAGTGCAGCTGTAACTGCAATTTTACTTTGGGGAAATTAAATACCAGTCTCATCTCTAAAAGCATCTTCACTCACTTTACAGAGTGAAGGGTAAAGAGGGGCTTTAACACAAGCACACACCCCTCTCAGCCATGCTGTTAAATGCTAGGATGCAATCCAGACTTACCTTGTTCACCCGGAAAGAGAAGTGTGTGGCTGACATTTCTATAGAGGGGTGAATAAACTTGCAGGTAAGGACTGTCTCTATTATCTTCTCTGTCCTGTTGGTTATCATACTGACAGCTTCACACATCACATAATCCTGCACCTCCTGCATGCAAGAGTCACTTGTCACCAGTGGGTGGTGGCAGAGCATCCAGCAAATGCCCTCCACTGGCTCAGCACCCACCACCCACCACAGGCTCTATTCTTGCCACAGAGTTATGGTCACTGGCCCCTTTTCTTCCAGTGATGCAGCCTATTTATTTTGTGCTCAATTGTCTGTAGTACTGCACCCCAATACCCACAAAAGGCACTTGTGAAATACTCCCTCTCTTCCCAAGGCTTTTGTTTTACTCTGTGCTTACCCCAGATAAATCACTTGGCACTTGTTTAATTCACTTTCTTTTTGGGCTCTTAGACTAAGTGTAACATTTCTATGCCCTTCTTTGCTGACTAAGCATGCAGCACTGTTTGCCCAAAAAGAGCAATATTTCCTTCCACTGCTGCTTTGGGATCAGCACTGGGTTTTGGTAGCTGTGGAATCACAATAAAGTCTCAGCTGGTCTGATGGTGGCCAGCAAGGAAAGCAACTGGTGCTGCCACAGAAACGTGTGGTCTTACATCAGCTTCTTGAAGGCCTCTGCTCATTTGCCCAGGCAAATGTCAAGGGACTGTGGAACAAGCCCAGGGGAGGGGATCTGATGGTTCCCCAGGCTCAGCCATGGTGGGGACCTCACCTGTGGGATGCGGGAGAAGCCTCGCAGCACCATGTCCTCAGACTGGCCTGGCTGCAGGTCCATCGACAGTGGCTCCAGCCCAAACACGGGGCTGGCACGTTTGGGGCCCTGGGAATCATCCCCAGGGCTGCTGGGGGCTGAGACACTCTGGCCCTCCTGCTCAGATGGGCTGGAGCATTCCACACTCCAGAAGAGCCGATGGAAATGGTGGCCCCTGTTTGTTACTTTGAACTGATGAATACAGGGTATGAGGCTGGAATAGAAGGCAGGATGGAAAATAGTATGGGAGTAGCTATTTCCCTGGTCATCAGATTGCTCCCAGTGAGCAACCTGAGGTGTTAATTTCTTGGAGACTGTCTACATTTCCAGCTCCTAATGTGGACCAGAAATAGTGTCTGATAAGGTGCCCTTTTGACGTCATTATTGCAAAGGGAAATATGCTTATAATGGTAATGTAACATTTTCCAGGTGAGGCTAACAGGAGGTGGTGTTTTCCCCCAGAATGTTTGTTCTGAGTTGATTCATACTGTTGCTGTATTTTGTATTAATCTGTGCCTGAAACTGTTACTGAATCTTTGAGATCCTGCACTTGGGGACCTTGTGTGTGAGGGTATGACTGCAGACATGTCTAAAAGCCAGCTCGGAGACAGTTTCTGGATGATACCAGCAAGCTGGTAAAAACTGCCTGCTCCAGGAGAGGACACCAGGGGTGCAGAGCCTCTCTCATTCGTAGTAGCTTTGGTTTTGCACTGCTAGCCATTTGTAGAAACTTCATTTTTCATTAGAAACTGTTTGGAAGTGAACTTTGCAAACTCTGCTGGCAGTGAAAAATCGAGCAAGGCCCTGGGCAGAGCAGGGCAGCAGCAGAGGAACAGCACGAGGAAGCGGCGGCAGCGGCGGTGCAGACTCCGCACAAACCAGAGAGTTTCCATCTGCCTCTGGAACTGCTCTGTGGGCTCCTGCCTTGCCGGTGGGGGTTGTCACCCTCCTGTCTCTTTGTTCCCGGGGCCCCTGCTTGCCATTTTGGAAGGGAAGGGTATGATGCCATCTTCCCTTGGTCTCTCAGCCACACGGAGGGACTTGCCTCATCTGGGCACCATTTCGGGAACCTTTTGTTCTGGGGGAGCCTGCGAGATCATTTCTTGGTCAAGTGAGGACATCAACGTATTAGAACTCAAGACAATTCAATGGCAATTTAGCAACTGGTTTCCCTGTCAGTGGCTTTTGAGGGTGTCTAACAACTCTCAACTGGCCCTCATGTGTTTCTAAAGGAATCTCTGCCTTCAGGGAAGGAGTCAGGGCTTTGAACACTGAAGAAGACTTTGCCTGAAGGACTACAGCAAAACTGCTCCTTGTTGAGACAGGAGGCGAGGTGGGGGTGGAGAGATCTCCTACCTGAATTGGTATCCCAGGTTGAGCTCTGGGCTGAATGGCTTGTCTATGACAATTGTGGTGCCAGTGCTCAAAGCCACCAGCCAGAAGGCGGTGCAAAAGTTGCTCCCAAAGAACAGCCGGACAGGGACAGAAAAAAGCCCCGTGTCATCCAGCGTTGCTGTGACAGTCACAGACACCTCACCCTCAGCAGGGATCACTCCTTTGCTGGGTTCAATGGCACAGCAGTGGGGTTTGCGAGCCTGTAAGACAAGCACAATATGCATTTAGGAAACCACCCTGGTCTCTTGTGGGGTACAAGAGAAGAAAGACTAAAGAGGGGATGATAAAAATCATAAAGGCTTAAAATCCCTAAAATGCAGTATTGGGCAACAGCAGAGCTCATACAACCTGTATTTTTCCCTCCTTTAATGGACTCACCTAATTAACCCAGTTTTGCCCAACCCAAGGGATGCTTATCCTCAGGAGAGTGTTCCTTCCCCAGTCTTTCTCTGCACTGTGGGCCAAGGAAAGCTGCTTTCTCTCTCCTGCCTTCTCACAAAGGCTCAAGGCCAGAGGAAGCCAGGACTGCTCAAATCCCACTGCAGAAATCACATGGCTGGAGGACACTGCTGAGAGCCTGAAGAATATCTCTGCAAAACCAGTTGTGCAAAACCCCAACACCAAACTATTCTTTCCCAAGGGGCCATCAGTGCTTCTCAACACCCCCTAAAGGACTGAAGCCCTCACTTCCCACTGTGCATCAGCTGTAGAGAGGTGCCCCAGTGCCCTCTGCTTTGGAAAAGTCACCTCCAAATGCTTATAGCAGAGCAGGAAAGCAGGAAGCAGAAAGAAAACTGGACAACATGTGCTCTGTGGGCATGGCCCACTCTTCCCAAGAACTCTTGTCATCTGCTTTCTCATGGACTTCACAGATTGGCCAAGAGAGCTGGAAGCTGCCCAAAGGAGGGAGGAAAGGCCTTGCACCAGCACAGCTGTGCAGACACTGCTCTGCAGGTCTGGCCCTGGCAGGAGCACATGAAACCCAACCTTTACACACCATGAGCACCCAGCCAAGGGGCATTGCTCCCTGCAGAGGCTGAAAGCAGAACTCCATTGTGGAGTCAGGAGAAAGCCGCCCTGGAAAAAACCCCTCGCTTTAGAATAACATTTATCTCCCAAAGAGCTGGAAAAGCAGCAAGAGGAAAAGTCACACCCCTCCTCCTTGGCCCAGGAGGCTGTGGCTGGACTCTCCCACATGGCCTGATGCTTTATCCACAGACACAGCCAAGTCCATGGTATCAGGTTTTAACCAGCTCCACAAGTTCAACACACCCAGCATGAAGAAGAACAAACCTCAAGCCCCTCACAGATCTCCCCCTCCAGCAGACATCCCACCCAGCCCCAGGCCCAGCCTACAAGCCCTTCCTGGCTGCACCAGCCCTGCTCCCCCTGCCAGGGGAGCAGCCCCAGCTCCTTCTGCCCTATGCAGCCCCCACATATTAAACAGCCTTTCTCTGCAGCTGCTCCCCAAAGATGCTCTTCAATAGCACAGAGATCACAGGCTGGGGGGTGCACAACCCCCACCCCTGTCCTTGTGTGGACAGCCCAGCTGGCTTGACCCACAGGAGCCTCCCCACCAGCAGTCTGAGGACAGACCTCACACCCTGCTCTCTACTATTAACAGCAGTTTGGCACAAAGCAAATGTAGATGGGACAGGGAAACCACAGTGAAATCCATGCTCTGGGGAGCAAAGGACCACAGGTTTCTCTTGATCGCGGAGCTCCAAAATGTGACACACACAGCTAAAGACAAAAGATAAAATTAAGGGAGAACTTTGTCAACACAATCCAGATTAATTTCTGCACCAACATCTCTGCACCTGATTTCACTGAGAGGTGCCCCAGCTAAAACCACTCCAGAGCCAGGTTCCTCTTGCCTCGCTCAGAGGGAATATTGGAGTATCTTGCCTCCTCTCACACAGGGCAGTATGGAAATCTTGCATATAAAAACCGAGTCATGGCTGCTACTGACCAGTCCATTTCCCTGGAAAACAGCCCCACAGATACTTACAACCTCCATCCTGAAGTCTGTAGGGACGAGACTGTTGTTGAAGAGGGTAAGGCTTCGTGAAGTAGGCTGTAGAGCTGGGATCCTGCCAAACTCTATCAGCCTGGGACTTGGGTAGATTGCTGCCAGCTGTTGTCCAGAGCTCCGTAATTCTGGTCTCTGTTCCAGGAAGCAGGCAAGAAAGATTTCAAAAAAAACCAAAACAAACCATAACAGGGAAACCTAAAAAAGCTTAAACAGCTCAACTCCACTCGAGTTGTTTCTTTAGGGACTGCTTCCACTTTCCAGCTGAAATGCTGGGCTTTTGGGAAAAAAAAAAAATAAATTACATATTCACCCCTAAATTAAAAAGGATTAAGGTATGAGAAACTTTCAAACCACAAATTATTGGCCCAAAGGTAAAAGCTTTGCAAGAAATTTCTAGTTAAGATCAGGCTGAGAGTTAAACAACTGGTTATTCTGGCAGGGAGAAACCCTCCTCTTTAAGGGAAGCAGCCTGATAGTAGAAAGCAACTGTTTGTGAGACTTCAGCTTGCACTGCCTGTCCTTCCTGTTCACTGATTTACAGGCAGTGCCACAATGGCCCAGGTTCAGATGTTTGGTGCCACCCAGGGAATTTGGCATCATCATTTCCATCTGTTTTAATATAAATTTAAATCCTTCTCCAACCACTCCCACTCTTCAAATGCCAGCTTTCCTTTCTTTTACAGAAGGCTCAAGGTTCCCAGAAATCTTCTGACATCCTCTTTTGTGCTCAGAGAGATGACATTTTAAAACAGACATTTCCAAAATAACCAGCATTAAAGATTAATTAACTAAAATAATCCTTGATTCCAGCTTAGCCAAACTCCATTCTGTGTCAGACACTGAGATTACCACCTATGAGGCATGGGCTGTTTGTGCCACCATCCCTCCTGTCCTTCTCCCCAGCAGCCTGGGCCTGTTTTCCCCGGCAGAATCCCTGTCCCTGTGCACCCTGCCAGGAGCAGTTGCACACAGGCACACATCTCCCCTTCTCCTCACCAGGGGGTTTCTCTCATCCCCGAACACGCCGATAAGAACGTTGGTGCAATGCTTGTCCAGTGTTTGGACTTCAATTGTAACTGGGATCTCTGCAAAGCTGTGAGGCTGGACAATCCCACAGGGCTTGGGGCTGGAGTAGAGCACGGGAGAGTCGTCCTTGCGTTTCTGGAAGGGACAGAATGAAATGCAACTTTAGAGGGACCTCTGAAGAAACCTTAAACTCCTGAACATCCATGCAACAGCAACTTACACACATGTTTAAAAATCCCCAGGACAAAGGTCAAAGGCAGAAACGAGCTGCAAGAATTGTAGGCTTAGCATTTTCAGGGGGTCCTGCAAGGAGGCTGCCAGCACAGGCACTGGTGTCTGTGGATGCAGCAGCTTTTCACAACCCTCTAAGATCTCCCACAAGAAAACAGCCTGAAGACTAGACTAGAACATAAACTGTTTCTTCAGCAGGTTGAACTGCATCCCAAAGTTTACATTCAGGTAGGATCCTGTTCTCAGCAGGTCTTTAAGACTGAATAGAAACCAGCAAGGCTTTATCCAAACCCTTTTTTTCCCCTAATAATCCCCTAATAATATTTGAGAGGAGGAAGTGGATGTGATGCCAAACCTGGGGAATGAGCCCATAGCAGCCAGGAAGGTCGGTGTCATTTGCAATGAGGAACTTCCTCTCGTAGGGCACATTCGGGTGGCACTCATCGTAGAGCAGGATTTCAGGGTACACCCGCAGCCTCGGAACAAGACACCTGGGCAAAGAGATGACCCCAGGGCAATCAGAGATACTGACAGAATGGAGAACGTTTACCCCCAAAGATTGTGCAATGGAGCATAAACCTTGTCACTATCAAACAGGTATTTAACAGCCCCACAGTGATAAATTGCCTTCTACCTCTTCCCACTCCAACATGTCTTGTCAAGGAGGGGCAAACCCTGAGAGGCAGCACCCAGAGGCTGCCAAGTACCCCAGGCAGAGCCCTTTGCCCCACAGCTGCCTCAGCCCCTCCTTTACCCAGGAAGGCTTGACAGGACTCCTGGAACAGTCCCAGTGAGCCACGAGCTCTGGGGGAGCCTTCCCAACAAGGATCAGTGCTCCCCAGGGCCCAAGGAACACACAACTCCAGTGTCTCAGTAAAAATGACTCCCTTCTCTCCCATGGAGCTGCTGCCCTGCCTGAGAACTCAGCTCTTTGCCCCAGCCCTGGAGGGCACGAGACAGCAGCTGCCCCACAGAGGGGCTGATCAGCCCCTGCCAGGCCCTGCAGCTCCCTGGCTCCTTCACTGCACAGCTCCAGGCACTGACTGGCCCCAGCTCCATTTGCTTTACAGAATGGCAGCCCAGGCACTGCCTGGATGGCTCTGCCTGGGACAGGGAACAGCACCAGGGAGCTGCATCCCTCTTGGCATTCAACTGACACCCACAGCAGCACAGCAGCATGGAATTCTGCTGCAGCAACAACCACTTTTGGTCTCAACTCTGAGAACATTAAAGCTCAAAATAGGAAGCACAGGGAAGGAGAAAAACTGGAGCTGACCTGCCACATCAAGGGCTGCTTTCCCCTCATAAGATCTTGCCCCCACCACTCTTTCTGTGAGCCACTTTCCCCTGTCACATGCTCTCATTAACAGAACCAGACCCTGACTCTCAGCAGGCTGCCTGGTGTGTCCCAAACCAGTGCAGGGTGCTCACAACCAGCACAACTCCACCTCTTGTAGGAAGGAGAGGAGGCCCTTGGGAAATTTGTTCCACCTCAAGCACCAAAACCCAGGCCAATAAAAATAGCATTCCTGATCCCTTTAGAAAAAGGCCCAGGACCGTGCTGGGCTGTGAGCAGGGGTGCTTTTCACCACAGGCTGCTGCCCAAGCACTGCTGTTCTCATGTCCAGCTGGCACAACATGAGGGCATTCAGCAGCACTTCTTGGCAGCTGCAGCCAGCAAAGCCTGGGCAAGGCAGTGCCTGGGGGAGGCCAGGCAAGGGTACCTGGCTGTGATGACCAGTGCTGACATTCCCTTGCCAAAACCCTCCAGGTCCACCAGCATTCGCCGGTAGAAATCCATCACGGTGTTGGAGCACAGGGTCACCTGGTGGAAGAGAAGAGCAGTAAATTCTTCCTTACAAAAGCTCATTACCCACGTGTAATATCCTCCAGTTCTTGTTTCATGGTAAGGAAAGGGCAGATTTTGCCTTAATTCTTCTGCTGGTCCATGTTAGAGCACAGTCTCTGAGAGTAACAAAAGCTTTCTGGCAGTACCAGATTTGTTAAACACACCTTGCTATCAGAGCATAGGTCAGCTACATTAAAACATTAGACTAAAGCTTTATGCACCACTGCATTCAAATTAAGGGGCCAATTTTTCATCTGACTAGGATGACATAAATGCAGAGGAAATCTGCTGACTTGAACACAATGAGTTCAGCTTTACAGCAGGAAGCTGAGGGCAAAGTGTGGCCCAGCAGGTGCTGGGCAGTTCATGGCTGCAGAGTGTTTTGTCCCCACTGGAGATTCCTGCAGTGAACACAAATCATTCTGCTCCCCAGGAGAGGGGAAATGAGACCAAGAAGAAAAGCTAACTGCTTTATACAATGACATCTCTCTAACAGCCACCTTCTGCCCTCATCCCTGCTCTGCCCACTTGCAATCAAATAACTCGCTGTCAGAAACACAAGAATGGCCTCAGGCCTTGACCATAAGGTATGTGACCTCAGCATGTGATTTTGGAAACCAAACAGTGCTCCTTGAGGAACATCCCGAGTAAGCCAGCTAGCAGAGGCCTCCCAGCAGTGCAGATCTCTCACTGCCAGGATGCTCAAAGCTGGCACCAGAGCTAAAGCCCTCCCACACTGCAGTGCAGCTCCAGCCCTGGTGCTGCAGCGTCTGTGGCTGGGCTCTGGCCGTACCTCGATGTCCTGGTGTCCCTGGGGGAGGATGGTGCCTTGGCTGGGATTCATGGTGAACTCCCTGGGCTCCAGATAGAAATGAATTCCCTCCTTCCAGGATGGGTCACCTTCCTTGCGTATTTGATCCATGCTGTCCACAGCCGGCTGCGTGCCATCGTCCGACATGCGGAGCTTGAACCTCAGGGGCACCGGGGAGCAGTTGGTGAGGCGGCAGCACCGCGTGTAGGGAAAGCCTGGGGAAGGACACAAATATCCATTCAGGCATCCACTATGGCATGATCCTGGGGGAATATCCTGGCAGGATGAAAGTGGGATTGGAGTTAAGCTCTTTATTAGCTGAACTACAGCTCAGCGAGAAGCTGCGTGAGGAATGAATCGTCACTGAGTTCCCTTTGACACAGATTCCAGACTGCAGCCTTGAAAATGCCCACTCCTAGCCCTGCTGAACACTGCAAGCTTCTCTCTTTGGGATGGGGAGGAGCTCCCTCACCTGCCCCAAACCAGCACCAGTTATCTCTCAGTGATGAGTGTGCATCCAGACCCAGCATTTACTCTGAGAATTCAAGCTGTCAAATTCCCTGGTCAGCCTGCCAACACTACCACCATTTTCAAGATACATAAACAACAGTGAGTTGTCATTGAGAAGAAGCTACAACAAAAGAAAGTGAGGATGGAATCAGGGACTAGAACGTGATGCACCTTAATGCAGTTTCTCACTGCAGGATCCTTAAGGCATCTCTTGGTTTGGGCCAAACAGACTGAGCACATGACAGCTCAGAGCCCACTCAACTGGGGGCACACCCCAGCCTTGCTTTGAGATCAGCAATTAGGAACCAGGTCCCACCTCAGCCAACAAACAGGGACATTACAGCCATGCTGCTCACTGTGATTGCTGCCTGCAAGGGTTTACCCCACTTTAGCTCTGAGATTTGCTTTCCATCCTGCAAAGCCAGAGACACAGCCACTCATGGTGGGGATGTCCTGCAGAGCCCGCAGAGCAGCCACAGCCTGCTCTGCAGTGCACATCTGGCTGGGCTGGCAGCTCTGTGGGGAGGAGACTTCTCCCCAGGCCTGCTCACCAAGAGTCACTGGAACACAGATGGGGAGAAAAAACAACAGCAGCTGCCGCCCAGAGCTTCTCTGTGCCCATCCAAGTGACCACTGCCAGCTCCAGCAGGGACTCCAGCAGGGAGGCAAGAGAGGCACAAAAAGGACAAACCCAGATGTCAAAACCTCAAATGAGACTGAGGCCAGCACATGCAGACAACAGTCAACAGTTGAAAAGAAGCAAAGATACAACAGCTGCCTTCAGCTGAAGAGACTTCAGGAATGAAATCGGATTAAGTAGGGTGAATCTCCTGTTTCAGAACCATATTTCCATCTGTTGCCTTTCTTCTTTCATTTATTCAAAAGGCAACTTGACAAGTGCCTCCGTGGTGATGCAGGGTGGGGAAGAAGCAGCTCAGGAAAGGCAATTAGTTTTCTTAAAAAGTTTATGAACTTCATTAATGTGGGTTTAGGCTTCATAGTGAATATTCCTCTTGGTCTGGGAAGGGGAACAGGAGTTTTGGGGGCTTTTTGCCCTGGGGGTGGGCTTTTCTGAGATCTCCACAGCTCCTCCTGCCTTTGATCACAACTACGCCAAAGGGGATAAACACTAGTTGGTGGGTTGGAAACTTCTGTTATTGTGTTCTTGTTTGTGCTGTCCTGATATATTCTAGGAAAGAACTGTTATTCCTTTTCCCATATTTTTTTGCCTGGAAGCCCTGTAATTTCAAAAGTATAATAATTTGGAGGGATGGGGTCATCTTTGCATTCCAAGAGGATTCCCACCTTCCTTGGCAGACATCTGTCTTTTCAAGCAGCACAGAGACACCAGAAAATACTGACTTTCTATTCCTTGCTTCCATTGGATCTCACAATGGCAAAATGCCCCCCGAGGCAGCAGCAGCAGCCCTGCAGTTGACAGTCTGAAGAGGCTGCTGGGGCAGACGAGGAGTGAGGGATGCTTTTCTGTTGGAAGGCACAGATCCCTGACGCTGTGTCCCAGCCCAGGCAACACTCACCAAAGGAGATTTCACCGAAGTTGATCTCATCGACATCGAACTCTAAACTCGGTGCGGTGACGCTGCCCCTGGAGGCCGAGGACAGAGCAGGAAAGGGCTCGGTTAAAGGGATTGCAAAGGTCTGGACGTCGTGGCTCAGGGCACAAAACCTGGGCTCAGGGCACCCTGGGTTTCCAACCAACACAGCACCGTGTGCTCAGCACAGGGCCCTGTGCACAGGGGGCAGCTCAAGCCAAGTGGCAGCAGCCAACAGCCCCTGATGGGCTTTGGGCACAGGGCAGGCAGGAGAAGCCCCCGGGTTGCTGGGGGTCCCATGAAGGACCCTGAACACACACCCAGACAGGGCTCCGTGCCTCAGTTTCCCCAGCTGCAATGGGATGGACATCAAGGTGTCCCCACAAGCTTCTGTAAGCAGCCCTTCCAGCCACAGGTGCCCTGCTTTGCTCCTTCTTAGCTGCAACTGCTGTTCCCATGGAGGAGCTTTCTCAGGATTTTGACCCACACAATCATTACAGACACAGTTCTGAGACACAAATCCAGGGCATTCCCAAACATCCTCTGGAAAGAGCAGCAACAGTTCTACCCAGGGGACAGATGAATCCTAGAGGAAAGGACCAGCTTGTCAGCAGTGCCCCAGCTGGCATAGCCAAGAGCAAGAGCTTCAACAAGCAAACAAGGCCGTCCTGAATCTAGCACAGCACCTCACCTGGCCTTGAACTCAGCAGACACACACCTTAAAAGTCACCAACATCCACTGAAATCAGCACTTGAAGCTGCACTCATAAATAAACACTCATGAGTTGATTTCATGGTTGATGCCAATCAATGCCCACTCTGCCTTTGGGTTCAAAATCAAGGAGCAGTGACCTGGGCCTTGTGTTGTATTCACAGGACTGCCCCTGGCTCTGCTCTGCACATCTCAACAAGAGACACCTGCTCTTGCTCCAGGAGAAAGCTGCTTATGCAGAAACACCCCATGACCACTTTGGGGGAGGGACAGAGGAGAATCAATTCTTTGATGGTGAAAGGTTCCCTCTTGATTTCCAAACTAAAAAAGCAGCACTTTTCCTCCAAAAAAAACAAAGCCAGCATCATTGTTTCTCCACTATGGGCACACCTACTCACCACTTTTCTCTTGCTAAGGAGTAACTTCCTTGTTCTTTTTAATCCATTTCCCTTATCTCATTGGTATAATAGACTGCAGATTGTTTTCATTCTTTACTGCCTTGAGGCAGTGTCCCCCAAGAGCAGCAGCCCAGCTCCAAAGCTGCAGAGCAACCAGCATCAGCTCTCCTGCTTCCACTGCAATATCCTAGCAGCACATGGCTCAGGCTGGCAGGGACAAGGCCTCACGCTGCTGTGGTGCTGAGGACTGAGCTCTGCCTCCCCTATGATCAGCCCTTCTCCCTTTGGCTGGGCCAGGATTGTCTCTTGCTATGGCACCAGCCCCAGTGGGATGGTGCCCCAGTCCTTGGCACAGTTCCTGCTGCACAGTTCCCTGACTCCCACATCAGCCCTTTGCTGGCTGTGCAAAGGAGGCACCAGAGCACTCTGTGCACAGGAGCTGGGAGCACGGTTTGTGCCCCACAGCATGGCCATGAGAGCTGAGCTGAGGCTGCTGCTGCCCATCTAGCATGGATTATTAACACAAGTTTTTACAAACACTGCTGCTGGGGCAGAATCACCCAGGCTGGCCCATCTGCAAAGCCCTGGGGGCCTTGCTGGGTGTTCAGCTGGGACATCCCAGAGCAGCTGCTGCCCAAAGCTGATCCATCCCACTGCCAGCCATGGCCCAAGGCACAGGGAGATCCCTGCAGGGAGGAGTCATTCCAGCTGCCAGGCACCACAGAGGGCAGAAGGCATCCTCACACTAAGGTAATGCCAGGATCACAGCAAAGATTAGGACCTCAGGAAACACCTTTTTTCTCTGCTCAACCCCAAAATTAGGTAGGTGGGGGATGTCCCAGAGACAGCCACAGATGTGCCCACCCAGCTGCCAGGGTCCTTACTTGATGGTCAGGACAGCAGGCATAGGAGATCCAGCCACACTGAACTGGAACTCCTCCTCAAAGCTCCCCAGCACGGTGCTATGGAAGGAGATCTGAAGAGTCTGGCTCCCACCTGCTGCAATGATGCCCTCCTCGGGCTCAAACTTGAAGAGGGAGCCTACATCTGTGGTTGAAGGGATGTAGGTGAAGGGACCATCAAGAACTCCTTGGTTTATCAGCTTCACCTGCAGCAGCAAGAAATAAAAATGGAAATACATGTGGAACCTTCCCTTCTTGTGAGTTCTTGGCTAATGATGCAATGAACACCCAGCAAAGGCAGAAGATGCTTTGTGCTGCTGAATGGCAGAAGTCAAAAGATACAACAGGACAAGTTCTGCCTTTGGGTTTTCATGCAGAGCAGTGGCAACTCCACAGAACTGCAGTCACCCTGGGCTTGTCCCATGGACACAGAGCAGTGCATCTCTGCTCAGCATCACCAAGCTCATTGAGAGCTGGCCCTGAGAGCAACGTGGGCTGATTGCAGCTGCAGAGTGAATCACCCCAGAGCTGCTGCTGCCCCAGTGAGCACAGCTCCAACAGCACCATCTACTCATTCACCTTTCCCATACCATGAAAACAATACATTGATTATGAGCCATCAGCATCAAAATGTGTAGACAGCATCATCTTTTGGTAAGAAAACTCAGTGTGTCTTTCCCTTCCACAGCCAAGCTTTTGAAAGTGTCTGGCATGATGTAGAGCCTCATTTTCTACCTCTTCAGTTGCTCTCCCTTGATTTTTTTTTTTTTCTGGAGGGAGAGGCAAATAGGTAGAAAACTCCTTTGCTTTATTCCCAGGAGCACTTTTCTCTTTCTAGGATCAGAGATGCACCAAGGCCAAGGTGTGGTGAGGGACGGGTCAGCAAAGGAGAGAACTCCCAAGCCCTTTGCAATGGCCAGCACTGAGCCAGGAGGCTGGATGGATTTCCTGTCACTTGCAGGAATAAGCAGGGACACTTGACTGGGAGCTGTTTGCAGAGGGCTGAAGCTCAAAGGCAGCCAGTTTGTTGCAGCTGCTTCTGCAGAGCCCAGTCCAAAGGTGCCTTGTGTCTGGCACTGCCACAAAAGCCTCTGAACATGCAGCTTTTGGAGCCAGTGCTGGTTTCATGGCCCAAGGGGTTGTTTTGCAGGAACCCTCCCAGCTGATCCCTAAGGAAGGCTGCCCAAAAGCAGGGACTGGGGCTTCAGGAACAACAGACACACGTTTCTGACCCCCCCCAGATTTGAGCAGTCCATCAAATATTCCCTGCTCACAAGTGCCCAGGTTGGCAGCAATTCCACAGCTCCACCAGGCTTGCTGCTGCCTCAGGATCCATCCCAAGCCCTGCTGCTCACCTTAGAGACATGGGGGGTGTTGACAAGAACATTCCCAAGGTTCAGTGTAGGAGAGCTGACTTCAATCAAGGGTCCTTGGCCTTCCCCTCTGAGGTGCAAGGGCAGCCTGCTCTCACGGCCTGGGGAGAGATGTCCATTGCAGTACAATCATTGCCTCTGTCACACTGGATTTTCCAGGCTGCCTCAGTGCTAGTCCCTGACTCTGAGCTGGATGCAACTACCTCCTGATGCTTCAGGAGAAGATATAGGCCCTTCTTTTCCCTCAGGAGATATCCCTTGGGGCTGACTTCTAATTTCTAACCCATTCCTTGGGCTGCTTTCCAATTTTAACCACCAGTCTGCTGAGTTTAAAACATCTCTGATGTCCTGTAGCGACAGGCCAAGGCATAATGGGTATAAATTGAAAGAAAGGAAATTTAGGTTAGATATTAGGAAGAAATTTTTTACTGTGGGGGTGGTGAGACACTGGGGCAGATTCCCCAGGGGTGAGGCTCCAGCCCTGAAAGTGTTCAAAGCCAGGCTGGATGGGGCTTAGAGCTACCTGATCTAGTGGGAGGGGACTATTTGATCTTGAAGGTCCATTCCATCCTGAACATACTGTAACTCTGTGGTTTCTTTTCCATGCCCTTAGAGAAGCTTTGAAATCCATTCAGTGAAGGCACAAAGCTCATAAAGAGCAAATTGCCAGGCAGCAATTGCCAAACTACCTGGCCCAGTAGCACATGACTTTGTTGCCAAAGTCCTCAACTTCTGACACTCAGCACTGTGTTCTATTTCCACAGACTGAGTTGCAAGGTGACAATTCCCACACAGGGACAGAAGCAAGTGCTGGCCAAGGGTGCTCCTTCTACAACCAGCCTGGGCTCAGTGGGGCTCAGCCACCTTTGGGCAGTGGGAGGTGATCCAGGCTCAGGGAGCACATTTACAATTCAGCTCCTGCTGCCTGATGATGGATCCATGTCAAATGGACACATCCTGGAGGTGTCTAGAGGGGCTTAGTGCTTGTTCACTAAAGCTGCTCTGCTCTGGAGCTCTTTGGCCTTTGAGGAAATGCTGGCAAAGCCATGGCATGAAAACCTCTCCCTGCACTGCCTGGGCTGTTCTGGGATTGGTAACCCAGACACAGCATTCCGAGCCCTGGCCTAGCACAGGAGACTCCCTGGAGGCTGCAGGGCCAGGGGGGATGTGCCAGCACTGCCCTGCTGACCAGGGACTCTTCCCAGCAGTTACACAGGAGCCCAGGCTTGCACCATGGCCTCACTGTGGGTGAGAGAAGCAGAGGGCAGGAGCTGTACCTGAGATGTTGCAGTAAGCCATACTTTGGTACCCCAGTGCCTCTAGGGGTTTGAAGGTCACCTTGATTTCAGCCGAACAATTGGGCCCAATTTCTCCCTCCTACAACAGAAAGAGACAGCAAAACATTGCTCTTCAAATTCATGTTTCTTGTTTTTAACCACAGTCCTGTAAGCCTTGATTTAGAGCATCAATGATGAGTGAACAACACAAGGAGCCAAGGAAAGCCTCCAAACCCAGCTCAACACAGTGCTGGAAGCTCTCAATGCTCAGCTGATCAGCTGCCACTCTCCACAAGATTCCTGCTGCTCTGACACAAGCTCTTGGGCACAATCATGCTGCTGTCAGCTACATGGGATGTAACTGCCACTGTGCACTTGGCCTTAGATGGGCCATAGGAGTAACCAAGAAGAGAAGATGATCCCTTCCTTGGAAATAAAAATACTAGTTTAACCTGTTTTGAAAGAAAGCAGAGGTTGGCATTATTCTGGGCTTTACTGCAAGATGAGAAGGGATTTTTCTCCGTGCAGACACCAGGCATTCATCATCTCTCCCAATGCCAGTACTCAGAATCAGGGCTCTGGCTGATGGGAGCACGTGGCAGTTTGCTTGCATCACCAGAAAAGGAAAAGGTTTTCTGTCCCTGTGTGCAGGAGAACTCCAAAGGCCCATTTCAACCTTGCACCCTTGTGTCCAGGCTCACAGATGACATTGAAAGGGACACTCAGAAACAGTGCAAGGCGTGCTCACAGGAGGGGATTGGCATTTCTGTCATTAACCTTGGGCTGAATTTGGCCTCCTTTTGCCAGGGAACCATTGCAAGCCTCAGGTCAGTGTGTGAGCTGGCAGGGCTCCAACAGCCTCTGCTGAGCCCCACATGTAGGGGGAGCCCCTGCCTACAGGAACTGCTCCCTGTGACACTGCAAGGACACGCACACAGGGCCTTGAGCTCCAGCCTGGCAGCAGAGCTGGGCTGTGTCAGGCTCCCAGCCCTGCCTTGAGCCTGCAGGGCACAAATGCTTTGAGCAGGGAGCTCTGCAGCCGCTCCAGAAAGGAGGAGGAGGAGGAGGAAGAAAATGAGGTTCTCAGCTATCACTTACCATTGGCTCAATGAAAAAAATGTCATCGGAGAACAGCATGGAGTCTTCTTGCACCTTTGCCATCTTCTCCTGGACCATGCTGCTCAGGAGGGCACTGCGATCTTCATAAGAGCCCTTCTCCTTCTCCATTTTTTTCTCCTCCGTGAATTTTTCCAGCCTCGCCTCACTCGGTGGGTGCAGCAAAGGACGCTGCCTGCAGCCCCAGGGAGAGACAAGGCCAGCAGATGGTTTCATGAGCCACAGATTTGCAGACAGAAGTGGGAGGGCAGGAGAGCAAAGCACCTGGGGAGGAGCAGCAGCAGCAGCTCCCCAGCAAGGGCTGAGCCCAAGCCATGGGGGTCCCAGATGGATCAGAGGATAACTTGCTGTTCACTGGCACAGCAGGGAGTTTTACTCCACACTTGCAAGCTCAGCAGAGGTTTCCAAAGCCAGCAGCCCTCAAGAGAACCTCCTGGCTCAAAGCCTCTGCCAAAACTGAGGGAGAATCCACCTGCCACTTCAAGTGGCTTTTCCTACCACTGAGCTGCTTGGGGCAAGCAGATAAAAGATGATGGAGCAGAACTTCCCTGGCAAGGAAAGATGAAGCTGGCTTGCAGCTACGTGTTACCAGCATCACTCTTTCTTTCTTCCATTTTGGACCTGCCCTGTTCCCTACTCTGCCTTTCACAAGAGCATCCCAGAGCACTTCCAAAGGAAACTGATGAATTCAGGCACCGAATCCCTTCAGTGACATTCAAGGTTTTATATGCATGAAAACAGAGGCTCTGAGAGGGGAAGGGACTTTGTTGTGCAGGAGGGAGACAGCAAACTCCTGGAGTTTCATGATCCAGAGCTTTTTGGGTCCCATCCCAGTGCATGGCAGTAGAATGTCCTGAAAGGAAAAGGATCCTGCACTATCTCCTCTCATAAAAAGTCCTCTTTGCTCTGAGATCTCAAAAGCTTCTCTGACAGCAGGACAGTGGCCTTGGAGCTAAAACCATTCCAGTGACCAGAAGTAAGGAAGAACAACATGTCCTGGTGACAGTCTAGGACACAAACTGTCATAAAACCAAATATAATTGGAAGAAACCCCACAAAACCAAAACCAGGTTGAAGTTTACTTTGGGGAAATGTAGTTGCTTCTGAAGAGAAAGTGGATCACCTGGGGTCCAGGCTGAAGCAGGCAAGTGGGAAAAAATGGAAATAAACAGCCCAGGGAAGTAGCCAGAGAAGGTCATGGGATTTTCTTTTAACACACAGAGCTTGTATGGAAGTCAAACACTGTGTAAGGAGATAGAGAACAGTGGAAAACCAAGAAGCCCAGGGCACTAAAGGACCCTCTCACCAGCCATTCAAGCGGGCAAGGGTCGCTCTCCTGGTCCTTTGCAGGCAATTTCAAATGGCTCTGGGGAGTGCAAGTGACCTGGCCCACAGCAAACAGGGGCATGCCAGGGCAGTTTTGGCCAAGCAGTTTTGGCCCAGCAGTTTTTCAGGTTTTGCCTGGCTGAGCAGAAAGGGTGCAGTGACCCATTCTCCTTGTGTAGTGGGTTGTGTCTATTGGCTGGTTGTGAGGTGCTTGCCTTTTTTTTTCTTTCTTTTTTTTCTTCTTTCTGCCTTTTTTTTTTTTTCCTAGCAATGGTTTGCAAATGATGAAAAGCCATTGCTGCTGCTGCTGCTGCCAGCAGGAGTGCACTAACTCAAAGAGAACCCCCAGGAAGGATGCAGCTGTCCAGGCCCCTGGCTGTAGGGAGGCTCTGAGCCTGGTGTTAATATCAGAGGATATGCAAAGACACCTGCGTGTGGTGTGAGCAGGTGAATGATCTGCTCTGTCTGGTGACAGAGCTTAAGGAAGAAGTGGAAAGGCTGAGGAGCATTAGGGAGAGTGAAAAAGAAATAAACTGGTGGAGTTACTCCCATCCAACCCTGAGAGAAGCTCAGCAGGAACCAGAGGAGCCCTGCCCATCTTGTGAGCAGGCGGAAGGAGGAGACCTAAGAGACAGTGGGGAATGGAAATGGGTCTCTGCTGGGGAGGTAATAAAATTCTGTCCTGACCCCCATCACCTGCCCAGGTGCCCTGACAGACTATGTATGGGGCCCTGGCTCCAGAGGGTCAGGCAGATGACACTAAAGAAAAAATTCTGTCTGGAGAGTGTCCCAGTTGCACTTGGTCTCTCAAACAGATCACAGCCTCAAGTACTAAGAAGAAGGGTAGTGGTAGTAGGTGACTCCCTTCTAAGGGGAACTGAGGGCCCTGTAGATTGACCAGATCCATTCCACAGGGAAGTGTGCTACCTCCCTGGAGTCCAGGTACTGGATATCACCAGGAGATTCCCTAATGATGAATTAGGGAATTTAGTTCCCTAAATGAACGTGATCTCTTCACTACTGTTTGGGATACAGTGACCGTGAAATAATCAAGTTCTCAATATTTGGTGAAACAAGGAGGGGAATCAACAAAACTTCAACACTGGACTTCTGGAGGGCAGACTTTGGCCTGTTCAAGAGACTGATTTGGAGAGTGCCCTGGGAAACAGCCCTTAAAAACAAAGGGGTCCAGGAAGAATGGAGATACTTCAAGAAAGAAGTCTTGAAGACACAGGAACAAACTGTCCCTTTGTGCTGAAAGACAAGCTGATGGGGAAGACAACCAGCCTGGATGGGCAAGGAGCTCTTGAAGAACTAAGGGAAAAAAAGAGGGTGTATCACCTTTGGAAAGAGGGGCTAGCAACTCAGGAATTGTTTAAGAATGTTGGTCATGTAGGAAGAAGATTAGAGAGGCAAAAGCCCAATCAGAACTTGAGGAAATCCAGTCATTGCAACCAACCTTTCCTTCCCAAAATGCCATTCCTGGTTGGAGTATAAATGGAACTGGAATGCTGAGTGCTGAGCTCCTGAAGCCCAGGGACACACACCCCAGTGCCAGGCATGGGTTACTTGGCCTAAACCATTCCAAAGCACCAACACCCCCCTGAGGCCACACGTCAGTTTTAGTCTTGGGCCATATATCTCACTGAAATGTATCTTTCAAACCAACCTCCTCTTCTCTTTATTCTCATCTTCCACAGTAGGAAAAGCCTTCCACTGGAAGTGGGCTGTGATGTTACTCCTGTTATCAATGAACAGGGTTCTGTGGCTTGACATGGTGATGAAAGTCTTGTCAGCCTCCACAGAATTTGTGCTCAACCCAACGTTGACATCTACAGCTTCTCCGTGGAGCTTTGTGTGGATTCTTTCTTCACCTGGAACAAAGCAAAGGGGAGTCTTTGCTCAGCTCACTGGCTGATGGAAGCACAAGGAACAGAGCAAACCACAGGGCACAGAAGAAGGTGTCACAGCTTTTAGCTGTGTTAGCAATTCTGTGGATCAGTCCATTTGTCACATCCTGACAGCTCTGTGTGTAGAGCGTGGGGATGTCCTGGGCAGCTCCTTAAACACCTTATTTCTGAGGGTGTTTGTGGAGATTTGGCCCCAAGGTGATGGTATGGGCAGGGAGATTTGTCAGATGTGCTCTGGTGACTCACTCAGAGCAGCCCTGTTCAGCCCTGCCTTGCCCAGGGTCTCCCTGGGCATCCCACGAGACTCCCATCTCTCCTGATCCCTTGGATCCCTTGTTGCTGACCAGCAAATATGCCTGGGGGCAGGTGGGCAGCAAAAGGAGGCCCAGAGGAACAAGTGAAGTGACAGCGCACAGCAGGAGGGGACACAGGTGAGGAAACACAACCAGCCTGGCTCTGCAATATGACAAACCACTACAAAATGAGCACCATGAAAATCATCATCATTTCCCTTTCCAAACCCACAGCCACAACAGTCTTGAACTATTTTATATTGTTCTGATCTCAAAAACCAAGCATTTCAAATTAAATAAAAAAGGGACAAAGGAAAGATTAATAAGTACAGAGCAGCTTCTTTATGAAGACTGAATGGGATTCCTCAGTCTAGAAATCAAATGGGAGACAGATGTGAGAGGTTTGCAACAGCATGAACAGCCTGGGAAATGGGGATGAGGAAAACTTTGTCTTGACTTGTCACTGACCAGGAACTCAAGGGCCTGAAAATGTTATTAGACAGAAACTACATTTATGTGTAGAGGGCAACATAGAAAAAGGGTCTGTGACAAGCCAGTGGAGAAGCAGCATATGGGACAGAGGTGTGCAAGAAATCCATTGCATTGGAGAGAGTCTGATGGAAACCTCACACCTCTCATACAGCATTGTCCAGGAATCAAATAAAACTTCACCCAGGCATAGCCACATGGTAGGGGAGAATTAGGGTTCCTCCTTCCTCCACTCAGCAACTCCCAGCAAAACAGGAGTCCAAAAATCCCCTGTTAGAGGGGGTTTTATCAACTCCCCAAACACCAAGGAGTTCTCAGTTTGCTTTGGGGTAAATCTGGAACAGGGAGGCACCTCTAGAGGGAATGCAGGGGATGGGACAGCAGGGAGCCATGTGGAGAACTGTCCTGTGCCCTGCAGGGCCCAGCACTCACCTGTGTTGCAGCTCAAGAGGCTGCAATGGTCACCGTTGGTCAGTGGGTGAAATGTCACTGTCACCTGCACGGTGTCCCCAGCACCCAGAGTTCCTGCGGTTGGCACCACGGAGAAAGGACTGCAACACAAAGAGAGGGATCAGGGCTGGGGGGACACCTGGCCAGGAGATTCCTGCTGCACTGCAGCTCCCTGCAGCTCCCTTGGGCAAGCAGGGAGCAAACCAAGCACAGGCAGCAGAGGACAGAACAGACAGGCTGAGAAACAGCCACTGAGCCACTGCTGAGGAGATCCAGCCCTCACAAGATCCTGGGGGTAAAATGACCTCAGCTCCCCCATACTCTGCATCCAGCTCTCTGCAATGAGGCTCAAGGGTCCCACTGCCAGCAATCCCATCAGAGAATGGTTGGTGAAGAGCACAGAGAGGGTTCAGAACTATCTGCATGCACAACTTGACACTAACTGCCCCAGGAATTTCTCTTTTCCTGCTGCCTATAAACCTCATGAGATGCAAATGTTAAGGCACTACCTGTCCTGTGAGATTACAGCCTAGGAATCAGGGAGAAGGAACTTTTCCTTGAAGACCAAGGCATAATTACTGTTGAATTTGCAGTGTGGTTCTTTGGTTTATTTTACCTTGAAAACATCCCGATTTAGCCTAAAAAGGGCACATTTTATCAGCATTTCAATTGAAGCTGCTCTAAGAAAAGGAGCAGTCAAAACTCTAAAAGAGTGCAGATTGTGGGAGGATGGATTGTAAGAGAATAGAGATAGTGCAGGAGGCAATCTCACCCCTGAGGAGTTGCAGCTGTACTAATTACCAAAGAGTAAGAACAGCCTTGCCCTTAATAGGTCACTGCTGTGTCCAGTAAGGATGGTGCAATAAGGATGGGTGTTATAAAAGAGTGGATTAGCTGGTGGAGAGGAGAGTTGGAGTTTTTCAGCTGTGCTGTGAAGAGTAAGGGTCAGGTAGTTGTGTAGGGACAGTAAGGGTTAGTATGTGCTGTGAGGGACAGGAAGGAGTCAGCTGGCCATGAGGAAGAAAGAGAAAAGGAGTCAGTGTTGTGAGGAGCTGCCCGTGAGAACTCACAGAGAGAAGGTATGAAAGTTTTACAGGGGCATGATAAACTGACAGAGTCAGTTCCCATCTGCCATCAACTGGTGCCAAGCACCAACACCAGCAGCAGATTAGAGCAATACAGTGACATGGAAACAAGACCCAAAAGGAGGATGCCATTTACAGTCTGAAGGATCCAATCCCAGCTAAATGAAGCACCATGAGCAGGAGCACATCAAGGGAGCAGAACAGGAGGTTTCTGTATGTTTACCAGCAATGTAGTCTGGGACTCTGGGCTGTCATGCAGGCTGGTAATTGTTTGCTTGGCCCAGCAGAGAAACTCTGTGCAATGTGTTGGAAATAATTATGCAGATGTGTTGCTGCACTTTGGATTTAACAGGAGCAATCAGGATTGGCTACCAGGTAAACAGCTCTTGCCTGACAAGCACAAGACTGTGCTTTGATGCTCAGGGAGAGCTCAGGGGAAATGTGCTTGTGCCCAGCAGCTGCTGGGCTTTGTGCTCTTCTACAGCCCTGGCCTTGGTGCTTTGCTGCTGGTCAATCTGTCACTAAAAGTGTCTTCTGGGGACTTTGGTGATGAATGCATCACACATAAAAACAAAGAGAGCATCTGGCAAGCTGAACTTTGTTCATGTCAGTAGTGACAGCTGATGAACTTCAGGTTCAGCTCATTCAGAACCTCTTGCTGCAATGATGGGCTGAGCTGTTCCCATTCCCACCGGTGAGAACATCACTGCTGGCTGATGAGGAAGCCTTGGGCCAGCAATGTTCATGTGCTGGGCATGAGACTTTGGAGGGAGGGGAGGAAAGACAAGGCCCCAGCAGCCCCAGAGCCAGATCAGTGCATGGGCTCCTGCATCTGCCCTGGGGCTGATGCCAGCACTGCTGCAGGTCCCTGCTGGGGCTCGGGGGGATCAGGGCCTGCTGGGGGCAAGGCACAGCATTCTTCTCTTAGTCTTTTGCCAGAAATTTCATCAGAACAGAGAAGCTGCCACTTAGGGGAAGCCCTGGCCAGGCTTCAGCACTACCTTCTGTTCCATTCCCTTCCCACTGCTGCCCCATGTTACATGCTCCCATGCTCCTGCCCTCAGATGGCAGGATGGGAATAACATTTCTGGGGGTGACTTCAGGGGTTGCCTGAGAAAGAAGGTATCTTCATATTTTCAAATTATCAGGAGAAGAGGATCCAGCCGAGTCCAGGACTCAGTTGTCAGGACTGAAAAACTGAATGCAAATCAGCCCCTGCATCTCCTGCATCCCTCACCAGACTCCTCTGTTCCTGCTGTAGCAGGACTTAACTGAACTTAACTCCTCTGAATTTCAGCCAACATCACTAAGCTGTTCCCTGAGCCCACAGACAGAAGAGCTGTGAAGGAGACATCCCTGACACTGTAAGAACCAAATGAAAGCCACTGCCAAGAGATGGGGCCAGCAAGCTAAATTTTGGCCTTTTATCTGATAATTGTGAGCTGTTCCTTAAGATAGTTCTCATCCTCTTAGATCCATCCTCTCAATGAATCACTACTGCACTTGACAGGCAGAAAAGATAAGGGATGGAGGGGGTTTTAATAGGCTGTTTTCTTCTGCTTTTTAACTAGGTCCATTGGTATGTTTGTTTCCTTGTGTGGCATCTAAAGACAGGTCCAGATCTCCCAATGGCACCTTGCAATCCCCAGACACTGGTCTTGCTTTGAGCAGTGTGCGTGCTCAGATGATTTCCAGAGGTCCCCTCCAGCAAAAGATATACTTTTATCTTCTAAATCAGCCCAATTGCTTTTCACATAGTCACTAAATGTCTCCTATTTCCTATACACCTGTGCATGTACCTATGGGCATGTGGTATATGGAGAGGCATTAGAGGAGCTTGACTATCATCAAAGTTCCCAATGAAGAGTTCATGATCTTTTGGCAAACATTTAACACAAAACAAAAACAAAAAACAGCAGAAACACAGGAACTTCGGAGTATTTAAAAAGAAATCTCAATGAAAGGGGCACAACCTTATTCAGAGATTTAAATCATCTGTTTGAAATCTTAAACTGTCTCTCAAAGGTTCATTATGGAACAGAAGAGGTGACTGAGGCCCTCAGCTGACAAGGGTAATCAGATCAGCTTTAAGTAACAGGAACTGCACTGGCTGCCTGCAGCACAGCTCATTTGGGCATCTCATGAGAGGACCACTGGAAAGCCCCATGCCTATGGTGTCCCAGAGAATGGCTCTCTTTGGCTGACAGTGCTGAGGAAGCATTTCAGAAGCTGCTGGTGCTCAGCAGGGTGCAAGCCAGCTACCAACATGTTCCAGCAGCCTCCAGGAAATCTGGGACAGAGAAAGCTCAAAGGTCACTGAAAGCAAGAGCAGATGCCATCCATGCTGCTCACTTCCAGCCAGGCTGCAGGGCAGCAGCTGCAATGCTCTGGCTCCTTTTGCTGCTCTTTCCCAACTCTGCTATCACCCAAAGGTGTTTTGCACAAGGACAGATGAGCTGCCTCACCTCTGGGTGCTCAGCTGGTAACGAGCTTCCAGGTTACCAGTGTTGCAGATCAGCAGAGTCTTCTGGGTGCTGACCTTGACTGGACACTCTGAGAAGTCCAGCTGGGCAGGGAGGTCCAGCACAGCTCGGGCACCGATGGCCCGAATTGGCACAACTATCCTTTCCCTGGCAGTGATGCAGACGAACTCATGGCAATAATCCTGCAGGAAAAGAGCACAGGACATGTAGTGCCATCCCCATGGCAGAACAAAAACCATTTCCTATAACCCTTCAAGGGCATCAATTTACCTATTGCACCCTAAAATGAACACTAAATTCTACTAATATGTCACATTTTAAAGACACCAGTGCACTTTGCAAAGCCTGTCTCTGTGGCATTCAGCTCCCGTGTCACTTGGGACATACGGAGAACTACCCTAGGCCACCATAATTTTTACTCTAAACTTTAATGATGTTAAATAGTTCCTAAGTCCCTTCTAAGGAACATGGAGCTAGGGAACACAGGACATTGCTCTTTAGGTTTCTATATTCTCACTGTCTGAGAAAGGACAAAGTGTTAAACTGACTCTAAGCAGCAAAAGGAAGATGAGAAAACAGCTGCACCCAAAGAGATCCTGCACCTCTGGCCTGGTGCAGAAACATCAGTTGGCTCAGAACTCCCCTCTAACTTTGCCTCTCCAACCAAGTCAGGAGAAGAACAGTGCTAAGAGGCTGCAGGATGCTGTTGGAAAGGGCCTCTCTTTGTTTGCCTGCAAGGCTTCCTCCCTTCCATGCCATGTCCTAAACCCTTCCGTATGAACAAGCCTGCAGATGCCAGCACTGAGATCAGACTTGCCAGGGCCTCAGCACTGCTGTGCAAACCTCCCCACAAAAGCACCTTTGGCACGGAATGGGTGCCAGCTGACAGAGCAAGCACAGTGACAGGCATGAAGACAGAGCCCCAGCAGTGCCACTGCCACAGGCTCTGGGCCCACAGCTCTGCCTGCAGCTTGTACCTGGCCCTGCAGCTGTGCCATGGTCACCTGTGCTCTGGGACAGCACAGCTGCAAGGCTGCAGAACAGAGGGGCTGAAAAAGCACCATCTTTGTTCCAGCCCAGGTGAGGCAGGGAAGCTGTTGGCAGTCAGGAAGGAGGAAAGCTCCCTGACCTCTTTGCTCCTGTAGTGTTTTCCATAATAATGAAACCCCTTCCACTGGACCTAGAGATGGCTGAACATCTATCAACAGCCCTCTGTCCTTTTCATCCTGTTCCCTGTGCATCTTCCCCTGGCAATGCTCAGGGATGTGCAGGGAGGGGAAGCAGAGCCTGTCAGGCCTGGCTGCAGTGCCTGCCAGCAGTGCCAAGGTGTGACTGGCTGCTGCAGGCTGCCTGCCCACGGCCTGGAGCCCAGCTCATAGCATGCAATGGGCTGGAGCCAGAGTGCAGGGAGAACAATGGCTGTGGAGATCATTGTGTGCTTTGGCTCCTCCAGCCTCACCTTGCTCTCGTCGGGGCTGAAGCGGACGCGCACAGGGACGGTGGCGCCCGGCAGCACGACACGGTACGCGTCGTTGGAGCTCATGAGCTGGAAGTAAGGTGAGCTCTCCATGGAGATCTTCACCACCTGAGGAAACTGCAGCAAAGACACCAAATGATGATTTTGCCACTTGTGGAAACAGGACCAGAGGAGACCTGTCCGTGCCCTGCTGACATCCCTCCCTGGCCCCTTTTCCAAAGCACTTTCAGCTGTGCAGGCACAGGCACATCATTCACAAGGCTGAGCTTGAATCCCTCCTGTCTGGCTCCAGCATTGTGGCCAGGGCCAGTAGGGCAGTGCCTGCTGGGAAGGAAGGGCCCAGCAGCTCAGCACCAGCAGGATGGAGACAGAGCACCTGAACCAAGTCATCTGCATATTCAACAAGGCCAAAAAACCTGCTGGCTTCTGCCTGCACACAGCCATGAAGTTGTCATGGTCCAGAGGGGGAATGTGCTACCTGAAAGCAAACCAGTACATTATCCTGGGGGATGGAAGAAATTCCCTTTTAGCAGATCAGGTTTGGGTAGGGACCTTGTGGGGATACAGTCAGGCAGGCAGAGCAGCAAGAGAGGAGATCAAACACTGTGGCCTTACTGGGAATAAAATCAAATCTGAAAAGCAAAAGAAGGAACACAGCAAGACCATCCCTAAAACAAGGAGATGACAAAGAGAATTTAAATGGGCAGTAAAGCAGCAAGGAGGAATCATAAAACCATGAAAGCAATCAGCTTGCCAAAAGTGACAGAAACACAGACAGGCTGTGCCTATTGACTCTGGGCTTCAAAGGCATTTTCTGCCTGGAGAAACATGACCAGCACTGAGTGACAGTGTGGCTCCAGTATGCAAAGCCAATCTTGGCTCTCCAGGGCTTCCTGCAGCCTGTGCAGGCAAGCTGGGCTGCTGGGCATTCCTGCCTGCAGCCAGCAGGCCAGGTGCTGCCCTCTGGGATTCACAGACACAGCACACATGCATTTTCTAGCACACTGATATCATCAACCCCTGAGCACTTAAATGCTTTCCAAAAGTCTAAACCAGATGATTTGGCCTCCCTCCTGTCCCTTCCCACCAGCCCACTCTTGGCGCAAGCCTCACTTGAGAAAATGTTTCCCTGACTGAAATTCAAATGGTCTCAGTTGTCCTCTTTACAGTGGAACACAACTGCTGACCTTTTTCAACCTTTTCCCTCTCAGCTCTCTTGGGAAACTCCAAAACAATCACAATTATTTCATGTGAAGGTGGAAACCTCCAGGAGCACATGGCTTTGGATGTGCTGTGGTTCTCCAAAGGGAAAGCAGAGCACCGTGTTGCTTTTGGAAAAGCTGAGCAGAGCTGGATGAAGCTGAGCAGGAGCCTCAAGTGGCACCTAAAGGCCTCTCACTGCTTCTGCTCCATCAGTCTGATTGCAGGGCTCTTTCAGAACACAGTTCCTGCAGTGTCAATGCCATTAATGAGAAGTGATTCCAGCATAAAGTGCAGAAGACTCAGCCCCTGAGCTGACTGTGAGCTGCACAAAGGGAGCCAAACTGGCTGAGAGAGGCAGAGATTCCTACCAGGAGCCAAGATTAACCAAGGAGACACAGGGTGTGGTATAGACTCAAGGCAAAGCATGAGAGCAGGTAAGAACTGTAGAGCCCTCAACATTCTTATCAATGCAGAGCTTTCCAGAGAAGGAAACTCCTTTGGGATAGACACCATCAACACATGGCCAAAATCAGGGGACAATTCCCAGCACAGGAAGATTTCCATCATCTTGCAGAACAAAGGTGCTGAGGCATTTTCTTCTGCATGTGCTGCAGCAGATAACTTGCTTTGCTGTACACTGGGGGAATGACAGCACTCTCCTCTTCCAGCACAGTGTTAAAGCTCCGGGTGCCAGCACTTACCTTGTTCTTATTAATGAGAGACAGCGCCATCTCATAAACCTCATGAGCAACGGTGCTCTGAAACACCATCTCTGGTGGGGAAACCTGAAACGAGCTCTGTTTCTGGGCAGCTAACGACAACTGGAGAGGAGAGAGAGCAGGGAGAGCTTCAGCTGCTGGGAGGAAGGTTCATGCAGGATCCCTTCCACTGATCCCCATGAAGTACAGACTCTGGGGGAGCCAGCCTGCCCAGCCCACACTGGGCAAACAGTGGCTCACCCACCTCTGCTCTGAGCTGATCCAGAGCTCCTGGGCCACACAGAGCTGGCTCAAGCCAAGCTGCTCTTTTGACATGGATTTCTCCAGGTTTCTTTCTCCAGAATGCCAGGCAGCACTTATTTTAGGCACAGCCCTGTGCCCATGTAGTCACAGAGCTCTGGGGCACTGACTGAGCACTCCTGGAGTAAGTAAAACCCATGAATTTGCAGGAGACTCCATGGGAAACAATTTTGGTTTGTCCTTTACTCTGAGACAGGGAAACCGAGGCCCACACAACTGCAAATACCTTTTTTGCTCTAGAACTTAGACATCAGTAAGAAGATTACAGTACTAGACTAGGAGGTGTGAGAGATGAGCTGACATTTGGCTGAAGCCAAAAGGTTATGAAGCAAAAGAATGGAATTTGGTGGTTCTGTGTGTTGTTTGTGGTTTGGATTTGTTCAGGTTGGTTTGTTGAGTGTCACAGTGAGAGGGACAGGGTTGAAGACCTGACCAAAAGGAAGGAGGATGACAGGGGAGGGGACAGAAAAGTTGGTGGTCAGTAGAGAATGGAAGCTCCTGAGCACCCATCCAATGGCAAAGGGCACAGGGGCCGCCCCAGCCGGGTACAAAGGGGATACAAAGATTGCCCTTTTTTCAGAGGGTGTGTGTGTGTGCTTGGCTCTCGGGGAGGGAGACATGCCCGGCTCAGCTGAATCGTTACTAATAAACCATTTTCTTTTGCTTCGATGATTTTGTCCCCTTTCATTGTACTTAAAAATTAGTGCTTTTCAAACAGAGGGAAAGGCAAAAATAAAAAGACAAGTGAGGTGAATGCTGAATGAGGACAAGGTTCAGTTATTTTCTCAGCGACTTGGGTAAAAGTAGAGTTGCTATCTCCTTTTTCCATGTGTTTTAAATGGGTGCTTTCTAGTAATTATTGCTATCTTATTTAATGCCATTGTAGAGGCACATCTGGAATGATGAAGCAACAACAGCAAATGCTTCTGGAGCAGAGACATTGCTTGGAGAAAACTCTGCCCTGCTTTGTCTGCCTTCTCCAGCCACACTGCTGTCACTGCAGAGACGCAAGCAGGTCTCCTCTGTGACTTCCCAGCAGACACATTCTGCTGAAGGGAGTGGCTGCAGCACACTGTCCCTTAGCTGTGCCCTTCCCTGAGGTGTTCCCAAGGCCCCTCTCCAGGACAATCCTTAACCTGGATTGTGTTCTGTGTCTCTTGCTGCCAATTTCCTGCTCAACAGCCCACCTCGGTCACCTACCCCTTTGGACTGTGCTTTCTACTGAGCCAGTCCTGCCAGAAAAGCAGCTTTAAACACACCTCTGAGTAGGCACTGATCCAGATAAAGCACATCCATTCCCTTCTGCCCAGGGCCAGTCCCCTGTACATCTGGCATCCTGCAAAATCCAATACCCCGTCCAGGTCCCAGCACATTGTTCCAACTCAAATATTAATGCAATTAATTCATTTTGTTAAATCTGAAGTAATTCCTGCAGGTCCTCGGCCTTCAAAGGCCAACGCTGCCACTCTGGAGGGAATCCCATGACCCCAAGCATTTAATGGTGACCACACCAAAGCAAGAGGTGGCTCCTTCAGCAGGAGAATGGCAAATGGCAATGTTGTGCCTTTGTGTCTCCAGCCTTCCCCCTGTTAGCAATGGCAGCTACACTCCAGCACACCCCAGCAGCCTTTAGCAGAGGTCATTTGTGTTGGCTTAGTGCAGATCAGGACTCCCCGTCCACCACTCCCAGCAGTTTGCAATGACAGCAGGACCTGGACACTGAGGTATTTTGCTGGAGGCGAGCCTGTCACAAGCACACACCCTCTTCAAACTTCCTGTTAAACAGAAAGGAAAAGAGCAGGAAAAGGCTACCTTTCGACGAGTCTCACTCCTGTCTAGAAACGGGCCAATTCTGGGCAGAATATTCTTCCCAGGGCTGGCCTCCTTCTTCGTGCTGAGAAACTTCTCCCTCAGGAACTTAGAGGGAAGCAGCTGAAAGGCAAAAATAAACCAGCTAGAGCCTCAGAGATGTGCTTGTTCAGAAAGGCTTTTCTTGAACAAGTGGCACTGATGAATAATTTGTGATCACAGCCACTAGCACAGTTCTGGAAGCCCTGGAAGTCTCCTGCTGAAATACTTAGCATCAGTCAATTAATAAGACAGAGTGCAATACACATACTCCAGCCACATGGCTGTGTCCCGTGAGCTTCTCTGTGACTGGATGGGACATGGTTGGGGATTCTGCTCTTTGGGCATTTGTTTCCTCTTATGTTTCATTGGATTGAGGCAGTGACCTTTCCAGAGAATGGGGAGGAGCTCTCAGAGCTGCCTGAACTCCAGCCCTGCACAACACTCAGAACTCACAGCAAGGAGATATCGCTGCTGGCTGAGTCCAAGAGATGCAAGAAAACAAAGTTGTACCTAGAGTGAGGTGCACAGGAATGTGTCCAGGTTTTAGTTCTCCCTGTTAATTGTTTTCTCTGTCTGGGCTGACAGAGCCCTCCACAGAAGAAAAGAGAGGGATCTCCTTGGCAGAGCCTCAGCAGTGGGGCATCTTCAGTCAAGTGAGCTGCAGACAGCAAGGGACCTTTGTGGCCCTGGCTCCAGTGCTGCCTGCAGGGCTGCATCTGTGCCCACCCAGGAGCTGGGAGAGAACAGCTGCTTTGGAAGCTCTTCCAGCTGGGACCAGCCGTGGCTCTCAAGGCTTTGGGCAGAGTTTGAGCCTCCCCCCCACATGCCCAGGTGCCCAAGGGCAGGATGGTCAGAGCAGCACAGATGAGTGCCCAGCCTGACAGAAGGAATTGCTGTGGCAAAGGGGAAGGGACAGAACACATGCTCAGGGCTTCAGCTGTACATTGGTTTCACGTGGCTCCGCTGGCACAGCCAGGCAAGGCACTGAGCTGTCCCTGACACATCCCACAGTGTTCCCTACTGCACCAGGACAGCCCCAGCAGCAGGAGCACGGCACAAAGGGCTGGGGAGGGGCTCTGCAGCTTCAGAGCACTGCTGGACAACAGGGGCAGGGAGAGCAGGGACACCAGCAGAGTTTCCAGTGGGTACTTACAGTAAAAGATTTCAGCATTTCCCGGGACAAAAGACGAGGTGTTGGTGTCTTTGGCAACCCAGACTCCATTTTCAAGGGATGATGTCGCAGATGAGCGACAATGCCTCAACAAAACTGTAAAGAGCAACAATGGAACTCTGAAAATCCAGAACCCAATTCATGGCAGATTCAAGGCATATACTGGTGCTAAAAATGTTATATTATTTGAAAGTAGTTGAGTGCTTGTTTGGCATAAGTAGCTAATATTTTTAGGCCTCTAGTTGGACTTTATTTGACCTATCTGGCTACTTTGTGCAATTCAAAGATGGATCATACTGAAACCTGGAGCTAAATAGCTGAACATTAATAATAGTTTGAACGGAGAAAGCTGTAGCTTAAATATTACTTAAAAATAGCTTGAGTGAACCTCCTCTTCTTTAGGCTAAATGACCCCTGCTCTCTCAGCTGCTCCTCACAGGACTTGTGAGAGACTGGAATGTTATGGCTAATGGCTTAAATATTGTTAGGAAGGACTTTTTGCCCATTCTGACAAAACTGAATAAAGAAGCTGCGACCACTGAAGCCCACCCCTCCCTGAAAATGCCTCCTGACTGAACTTGGGACTGTGAGTTAAGCCACCTAAGGGAACTTGAGGCAAGATAAAGGTGACACTATTGTCCTGTTCTCTCAGGTCTGGGGAAAAGTAAAGAAGACTAAGGGAGAAAAATGTATCCACAACAAAGCCAAACCCAGCAGCTGTGCTGAAAATCAGCTCTGTCTGCCTTCATGCTGGGGAAGTCATAGCCACAGACTCGTCTGCTGAGGCCAGGTTTGCACACAAACCTCCCATCAACAGAGGGGGGAGGAGGAAATTCTGGGCGTGTGGCACAACCTCTGCTAAGGGGCAGTGGACACCCATCCTCCCTCAGACAAACTGGCTCAGCTCTAAAAGCCCCCAGCCCCAGAAGGCCACATCCAGGGGACCTTCCCATGAGGGGCAGCTGAGGGGGTGTCATAACCCATCAAAGACCTCCAAAGTGCCCCCAGAGCCATTCCTGAGGCCTTGCACCAGACGACTGCAGGGCATGCAAAGTAACACAACAGATCTGAAAATCCACAACCCAATTCATGGCAGACTCAAAAGGATATACTGGTGCTAAAAATTTTATATTCTTTGAAAGTAGCAAGAGATAGAGTCCAACTTGCCCTACCCCAGGGAGGTACCTGGGCACTCCCACCTTGCCCAAATCTGCATTAATCCATTGGAGTCTTACATTTTGCAAGACCTCACCACAGAGAAGACCAGAAGAGGATTTAATGGTATGCCAGTGAGATCCATGCAATGGTGATACTTTCTACCTAATCTGTCACTCTCTATTTCTCTCCCCCTCCCCAACCCCCTTCTCTATCTCTCTCTCTCTCTTCCTCACATTTACTGTTACATAAAATCCAGACTACTAACTTTGGCATATGGTCTTGCTTGCACCTAAATTCAGGGGCATCTCCCTAATAATTTTAGTAACTAGATCATAACAACCCACTGAAACTTGAACAGAACTCATTCACCTTTAAGCAGTTTAAGTAATCGCTATAGAAAAAAAGGTATAGACTAGTGTATATATAGGAAATTCTGCACTTCTTCAGTGGAAAAAAAAAAGCACCATCAGTCGACCATACAGTGCATCCACTCAACTGGACATGCCACTGAACTGCTGCACCAGAAGACTGGCATTATCACATCCTGTACTTCCCTTTGGAATTCTCTTTCAGAGCACCGATGTGACAAAACCAAAAAGTACAACTTCAGTCAATCTTTACC